CTCCTGATTGATGGCAGATGGTTGGCCCGAGCGAGCCCGGCGAGCCTATTCCCGTGACGGCGCAGGGCCACGAGCTCTGCCTGGGCGTCAACTGCGTGGCCACCCACCTACTGACTAAGCTGCTCACGCCGACTCTCGTCGCAACCGACGGTCTGACGCGCATCGTCTGGTATAGCTCGTTCGGCATGGAGATGGGCGCGCACCAGGATGTGGGCATCGCCACCGACAATCTCGACTATCACAAGCCAGAAAAGGAAACCCAGCGCTACATCTTGAGCAAGACGGGTGCCTGGGCTCTGGGCATCGAGCACAACCGCCACTACAGAGCACAAGGCGTCGCTAGCGTGCCTATCGATCCCGGCAACGTCGTCTCCGGCTTGCCGCGCGACCAAGCCCTACATCTGCGTATAGTCGCCAAGCTAGTCTGCTATCCGACTGTGTACGGCGCCTACACGGCTCTCTACGCCGGCTTCTCGCCTGAGGTCGTTTCCGATCAGGCCGACTGGACCAAGGAGTGGGGTGAGTGTGGAACTTCTATAAGACTCCGGGACCGAGACCCCAACTAATAATGTTTGACCCGCAGTTGCTCCGTTTGGACGTATGTTTCCTCTCCGGTCCGATTTGACTAAGGCCACACTGCTTGAGGAAGATGGCGGAAACGGGGGCACAGCCAAGTTCTGGAACTGGTGCGAGGAACAGATCAAAGAGTACCATTAATGGCACGGTGCCAACGGTAGGAGTCCATATCCGCTGGGTGTTGTGATGTGTTCTGAGCATACAGCCCACGGCACGACTGAGCATGTTACAGAGTAGTTTATACCTTCCATATCAGGCATCCTTTCCTCTGTTAGTTAACAATCTGAATGATATCAAGAAGAAAGCATACTTGCATATGTAGACTTTCGTATAACCCATTGGGTTGAAGGTCTCGACCGCAGAACCTAAACCAGACCTAGTGACACCCAGTTTTTATATAAATTAAGTCTTGGCGGTCATAAACTACATACATATTCCGTACATACTACACATAATTAGCGTGTTTGCTTAGTTTGTAACCCAATTCGGGACAATGGGGACCTGAACTGGACGTGTCCACCTGTAAAAAGCGACGCGAGCTAGGGCATACATTCTCAGGTATATGTAAGGGATACATAGTCTTTCGCACGACCCAGTACTAGGTCATTCCATTCACCCCAGAGAAATATAATCGTAATATATGGCACCATCAATACGTATTTACATCGGGACAAATTTTCGAGAAATGGGAGAAGAAATGCAGAGAGAACGGATACATATGAGCGTGTAGAGGCGGTATATGAAGCGGTCTACATCAGTACATTGGTTTGGTCCAATGTATTTCGAAGTCCCACTGTATGGAGCGGGACGGAGAACGGCCAATGAATGAAACTAGCGCCACTTCCCACGACCCACATCAACAAAAAAATATTTGAGAAGTGAAACAAAAGCAAAAAATGCTCACACTCGGAGTCGAACCGAGGATCTCATCATTACTAGTGATGCGCTTTACCACTAAGCCATGCGAGCTGATTGATGCTTGGATCAGCATTTTTGGCTATATGGAGCTCATACATCAACGAAGCACTTTTGTCAACAATCTAGATACCAATTCTGTCTACCACAGCCCCCCACTAGTTAACTAGTTATATGCATGACCTTAGTAATACCCATTGGAATAATTCGATTGGTTATAGTGAGAATACCTGGTGAGGTACCGGCTTCATCGACATAACGGCCGGCGAGACAGGAAACTGGATTCAATGATAGTGGGAAACTTGAGGTTCACGTTCAAGTGGACAAATCTGGTAGAGACAAGCTGAGTTGTTGCCCGCAGAGCCTAGGAGCTTATTGGTTGGGACTTGGTTTGGTTGTAGTGGAAGTATCTGTTCCTATCTGGCCCTTATGCTCTCTACCAAATTGTAGAATAGCTTAAGGGTGTGCCTGATACCAATTTTGTCCCATAATATCTCCTTTGCGACCTGTTAGATTCCATCCTTGGTTTACACTGCCACTTTGCTTTCAATCCATCACGCTATCAAACTTCCTACCTGATACTTTACTATTGAGATGAGGGAAGGCTTATGATTCAATTTCCTCTCCAATAGCAGATGATGGAGGTTATCTCTTTCTAAGGTGCTCAATTTTCTTACGTTGCTATCTGGATGGCTGGATCTTAAACCTATTTTTATGTTTTTGGTCTTTTCTTGTGTCTGCCTTAAGGCCCACCACTGTCAACCCTAAGGGTAAATTCGGCGTTTATATATAGTGTTGGAATTTTCCTCGTATTTCACATGCGGAATTTAGCACAATTTGCAGATAACGAGCGGTTTTAGGCTTTACATCTCTCTCGTTTCATTTTGTATCTGACACCTTCTAAGCGAGATATGTAGACCTCATATGTACTCCGTACATACTATATGTACAACATAGATCCGAAAATATTCAAGTGGATCGACTCCGATCTTTGATTGGTCAATGGCTCACCACATACATCACTGGTTTTTTTTTTTTTTTTTCAGGCAAGGGCATCCAATTTATCCTTCGATGCTACCTACGAACTACTCAATTTTTTAGGGACACTTACTATTCGGAATTCGGACACAAATCTGATGTCAATCTTAGAGCAAATCTAGACAATTCCAACCAATCAACAGCTCGCATGGCTTAGTGGTAAAGCGCATCACTAGTAATGATGAGATCCTCGGTTCGACTCCGAGTGTGAGCATTTTTTGCCTTGTTTGTCTAGGAATGTATCTTGGTTTGCAACAGGGTACTTTTTTTTGGTCTTTCCGCTTCATTCAGCGGATACTGATCACCACGAAGTAAACAAAGCGCCAATTGGGCTTGAGCTGGTTAGTATATACACTGCCTTCAAGTATCCCGAGGTCTGTGGAATGAAGGCCTCAAAAAGTGCATTGATCAATGAGTCGATAGAGGAATGAATATATAAGCGAAGAGCTACTCTACTGGTTGTGGTAGAAAGGATATTAAGATCCTGATGTTTGTTGATTTTAAATTTGGCAGGAATTTTCCTGGGATGTGCCAGCACTGGATCTACTGGAGGCTGGGTCTAGGCAGCTTGGAGGTGATGGTACATACATAATGTATGCTACACATCAGATCGTTGCAGCGCAGGATTGTACATAGGTTAGTCTCTCTAGAATTTGTAATTAGATCAATCTTTTCTTTTTTTTTCTTTCTTACTAATACTATTGCTAAAAGACCTAAAGTAACTATAGCCAAATGTCCTGTCTGTACCATTTACTACGTTAAAAAAATATAAAAAACTAGAGTTTGTCTGCACCCACGCCTATCGAGAAAAAATCCATGAAGGTCGTTTTCGGATTTTCATCGACGAAACTCGATTCACTGGTTGGAATGCAACTCACTGGGTGCTTGAGGTGAGTTGGTAGTAATGATCAGGTCCCGACGTGAGCTATTATGGACCTATGTGCCCATGCCAATCAGCTCAATGACGATACATTCATATATATATAATGTGCGGATTGAAAGTCTATTCATGCACAATTAATCTCATATCCAACACCTAAATAGGCATAGATAGCTTCTTATGTTACAAGAATCAACTACCGTGGACAATTATAACCCTCGAACAAAGCATCTAATTACACAATAATAGCCTACTGTTGTGCCAATATCTCCCGTTGTGGTGGAGAATGACCTAAAAACGACACAAAAACCCCGATACGGAATTTTAAGTGGGTCTTACCATAGAAAAATTTGCATTCGCCTATATCGCACTTTATGACCAAGTCACATATAGTACGGCCGGCTGGCCCAATGGCAAGGCGCTTGACTACGAATCAAGAGATTGCAGGTTCGATCCCTGCGTCGGTCACTATATTTTTGCTTCCTGGCTTTCTTTTTGCTCCATTGTTGACAGAGATGCTGTCAAAATATCTTAGGGTAGAGTGGTGCGGCTGTATGACTACATGTACATTTGTTTTTGCCAGATGGATGGGAGTGATTGCTGAGTCAAGAACAAGGGGAAAAAAGCCTGGGATATGAGCCGTATTTCATTATATTCAGATATGTGGAATATAACAAAAACTCAATGTGGGTTTTATACTATGGTGGCATGGGGTTGAAAATCTTTTCCGTTAGTAGAATTCCAGAAGTCATACCATGAGATGACCCATTGTTGGAATATAACTTCTACGGGGAATTTTTGGCATACCACTACTTTAAACATGTTAATTCCCCATACTCAAATGGCGGGGTTTCCATATCCAAGAAGGGTGGCTAGAGCCATGGGCCACGAGAGGAGTATACTGAAACGAATGTGCTGGAATTTCTAATTCCATTTGTTGAGTGTATATATAATTCAGACATGAGAGCTCGTTGAATCCCATTTTGCTTGCTGTTATTACTGCCAAAGTATTCAGACCTTGTCCGAATTCACAGGGCGTTCTAACATGACAACACAGTATCACGAAGATGGAAAGCTTAACTATCTACATATATAGCTCCGTCCTATGTAGACCAAAGTCGAATCTCTTTCACCCAGCCCTTCATCATATTCAAAACTGTACCAAATAGACGATAACAACGGATACTAAGTATGGTGACCTGCCTACATAGCGATTCATGTATATACTAAAGTGGATTTGGATAGAACCCGATCTGTGAGATAGATCTGCTCTTCAAACTTTCGAGAAACAAACAGAAGACCATGTATATAATCAAGACAAGTAAATAAAAGACGTGTAACAATAAAACACCAAGGAAAATATATGAGCCAAGAACGGTTGGTATCCGCGCCCTTGGTTTGACAAGCGTCCACCTGCCTGTTCAGGTAAAGGATAAGTGGGTATCTAGAAACCTCGGGTCCCCGTTCCGACCTCGAGGGACTATTAGTATAAAGCCATTGAAATCCGCATCTACCAGAGCAAAAAAAAAACTGCCGATAAAGAACAGTCTAAAACCCAAGTTTGCTCCCTAGTTCTACATAACCCCACAAAATGGAAATCCCACAACCCCTCCAAGCTCCAGGCCCCATCAAACCGATAACCTGCGTGGAAATGCACACAGCAGGCGAACCAACACGAATAATCTGGAACGGCATACCACCTCTAACAGGTACACTTCTCGAGCAACGCGCGCAAGCAAAATCCAAGTTTGACGAATTCCGCCGCGTTCTCATGCTCGAACCGCGCGGTCACTATGACATGTACGGTGCGATCTTACGCCCAGAGACTGAGCTTGTCGCCTCCGGAAAAGCACATATAGGCGTTTTGTTTATGCACAATGAAGGGTTCTCGACTATGTGCGGACATGCGACCATCGCACTGGGCCGGTTCCTTGTCGACGTCGACGAGAAGGTATTTCCTCGTCGGAAGGAATTGAAATATGATTCTAAGTCCCGGACAACAACTCTTAATCTGCATGTGCCCTGTGGTGTGGTTGAGGTGACTGTTCCCACATTGGGATCTGGGAAGTCGGATGCGTCAAGGCCTGTTTCGTTTGTATCTGTACCGTCATTTGCTACAGCTATCTCCTTACAGATTCCTCTTCCTGAGAAGTATCGCTGGGCCGAGCTTCACGGAAAAACTGCTGTTACGGCAGATTTTGCTTATGGGGGTGCGTACTATTGTATGATTAGTGCCGAAGAATTGGGATTCCTTAGTGGTCTTGGTGAGATCAGGTTGCAGGATATGGATCATGCGACAAAATTGCTCAAGGAGGCGGTGGTCAGCAATCCAGATTTACAGTATCTCACTCAAGATACTCGAACTGCGGAGGATGGGTTCCTGTACGGGATTATGATCACAGATACGCGATTGGGACATGTTAGTGCAGCGGAGGGGACGGCGGCTGCTCGTGTGCAATTGGATGCTGGTAGTGAGGAGACGGGATTATGTTTCTTTGCGAACCAGCAGATTGACCGGTCTCCCACTGGAAGCTGTGTTGCTGCGAGGGTGGCCCTTGCGCATGCCAAAGGGACTTTGTCTGTGGGCGAGAAAAGGATCTACAACTCTCTGGTGACTCGTGCATATAGAGGTCTTTCTGGATTCGCTGGGTCTGTCTTTGATGATGCTGGCTCAAGTGGAGGAGATCAACGGAGTGTTCGAGTCTGTGTCGAAGGGTATGCGTATTATACCGGATATCATTCATTTGTGGTAGAGAAGGAGGATGGTCTTGGGGTAGATGGATTCTCTATGAGGGACATTGCTTTGTAGTGGCCATCTGAAGTTGTGAAACCTAATTTTTATACCTCTATTTGTCCCTATTGAACATAAATTGAAGTACGCGTGCTTGAACTCTTTGGGGAATGGGCCTTTGGCTAAGCTGGCGACATGGCGCTCTCACAAGCGACACGGCGCCGCCTACCACTGGACCTCCTCTTTTTGGTTATTCTTTTGTCATTGTGAGGCTTACCGTTCGTTTATACCTGTGATTTAGTTTTTTATTTGCTCTCCCTCCACCCCGGATTGTTTGTTCTGGAAGACGTATATGTAGACATAGATGCTCTACCCTCCCCAGACCAACAAGAAAGCCCTCTTCGACAATGACACAACCGGTACTCCGTAGTATCAGACCCAGTCTCATTGCTGATCTCGCAGGTTCCCGCTATCAATCTCAACATGCCTCTTAATATCCGATTGCTTTGAACCTAAGGCGTCAATACGTACATATATATAACCAATAGTCACTACAAATATTGACTACAAAAGAAATGGAAATAGTTGTAAATGTAACAAAAGGCGAGCTTGTTCTTGAAAGGAAATGAGACAAAATAGTGTACATCGTATGTGGGGGATGGACAAGGCATAAACAAAAAGAATTCTAAGGGTAGTCTCTATAATCCTCCCGAGTATATTAGACTCGAGTCCTCTATTTACCGATCTCAACACCGCCAGTGGCACCGAGCATGCGCTTGATGTCACCGTAGATGGCGAACTGACCGGCAGTGATGGAGCCAACCATGAAGAGACGGGCACCAATACCACCGTAAGAGCCACGGATACCGAGCTCCTTGGCGATCTTGATCAGACGGGTGACGGTACCCTCACCAGGAGCACCGGGGGTCTTGTTGATCTTGGAGAGCATGGTGTCGGCGGGCTGGGAGATGATGGCGGCGGCGAGACCAGCGACGAGACCGGAGCCGAGGTTGATACCGGTCTTGCCAGCGTCGGAGAGAGTCTCCTTGTTGACGGTGGCGAGAATGGCCTCGGAGACCTTCTCGAAGACGACGAACTTGGCCATGGTGTAGGGGACCCTGCGGGGGAAGTCAAGTTAGTCGGAATTGCACAGGATAAATACTGAAGCAGAGGAAAAGACAGAGAGAAAAAAACTTACTGCTTGAAGAGAATGGGTCCGAATCCAGAGTAGAAAGCACCAATGCCCTCCTCCTTCATGATACGGGTCATGGCAGGGAGGAGACCGCTGGCGAAAGTGGGCTGGGAGACAAGACGGATACGGGTGGCCTCAAGAGGGCACAGGGCGATATCAGCAATGAACTCAGCGGCACCGGCAGAGGCGAGGTAGACGGCAGTGCGGTTGTTCTTGGCGGTCTCGTAGCCGAGGGCGTTGATAGACTGCTGCTTGAAGAACTCGTATCCACCGAACTTGAAAGCACCCTGGAGGAAGTAACCAGCGGCGGTAGGACCGAAACCAGTCAGGAGAGCGCCAGCACCCTCGTTCTGGATGACCTGGCGGAAACCACCGAGCATACCGCGGTTGTAGGTGACGGGGTCAAGCTGGATACGGGTCTTGACGCTGTAGAGAATCGGATATGAGCGGAAATTCTTCTTCGCGCGCTGGCGGTAGTTTCTGAAACTTACACATCGAGAGGAGTAGCAGCACCGTGGGTGATGGCGCAGCACATGGCACCTGCGAAAGCGAAGCGAGAGTACTGGAAGTAATCGAGTCAGTTAAGAAGCATTGTGGAATTTCAGAATTAACGCATACCAAGTTAAGAGGGCTCATCTCCTCCTTGGGGGCGGTAGGGGCAGCCATTTTGATGGATGTAACGTAAAGAAAAACGTTAAGAGAGGAGAGGTTGGAAGAATTGAAGCCTTTTGGAGTGAAAGAGAAGAAGAAAGGATTTGAAAGGGATGGGGCCGCCGAACCCGAAAACTTTTCGCAGCCAATGCGGGAGCCACTCGGCAGCAGCCACTAACCTCCGATCGCCCGGTCAACCGCATAGCTTTTCGTTCGCAATCATTTTTACATGGTCAATTGTTATTATAATCTATCTACCAATTTCAATTGAAGGTCGAGGTCGACTATTATACTTCATTCTAGATGTTGGTGGTTGGAATCCGTTGCCGGGAATAGGCGGGATTAGGAACTGTAAAAAAGGGTTTGATAGCCCTGGAGGGCCGCATTTCAAGCTAGTTTTCGACATTGAATTTATCCAGAGCTCAGCAATAGAATTGATGTTGAACTGTTTGTATAGTATGTACAATAATAATTTCAAAAGATTGCAATATCAGACCCACGTTGGAACTGGAAGATTGCGCACCAGCCACACACATCTTTCCCTACGTCACAGTGGACACGTATTTAATCTGACATGATAAGGTAGACTTTTGCGGCCATTATGGCCTATTATTCATACATCCTGGTATACTTCCAAGGAATCTTGGGACTACGTGGTTTATAAAGGAATATTTTAGATGATTGCCTAGCAGAAAATAATTAGGCGTCCGGTTATTTATGATACGATCATATTTTGATATACTATCTGGCCTATGATTGAAGGTATCTACGTCATTGATTGGATACAGACGGAGTAGGAGTTGTAGGTAAAATTGAGATTGAAAAAGAAAAGACAATATATATATATACAAGTGTCGGCCACTTGGGAGGTAAGGAGGTATGATCGTTTAGCCTGTAGTATTGTATCTGCACTTTTTTGGTGCCTTCTCAGAGCGCCTTTTTCATGTTTTATCTTTTAAGCCGCAAGGGCTAAAATAAAAAACAATTCAAGAAGAGCCGAGGGTCTAAATTGATTTCCTATTAACAGAACTAAGAAACTTCAAAACTGTATGTTGCCATGGCCCTAAACCCATGCCGTAGGGCCTTGGCGTGCTTACCTACATAGGTACCTAGGTAGGACTATCAACTCACTAAAATGTTAGGTGAAGCTACTTTGTATGCAACGTTGGAAATCAGAACCAATAAGATTGGCAGATAAAGGCCACGAGGCCACAATAGAAGATATCCAGGATGATAAGAGACAATTAAATCCCTGGAATTTGGATCTAGAAAATTATAACATCACATCACTACAGCTGCTGTTTATCATATACAAAAACCTATTTCTGATCAACCATCTCCTAAAATGGCCTCAATTACAGATGATATTTTTGCCCCTCAACTTGCCATTCTGGAAGACCTGTTCAGCGACAGTGTATCTGCACAGCAAGCGGCTGAATATTTGGCTTCAATCTCATTGGCAGACGACCTAGAGCCCGAGGGGGGAATTACCAGTTTATGGAGATTGATATTCAAGTGTGCATACAAATTCCCCGAGCACCATGATAAACTCGCCAATATGCTAGTTCGACTCTCAAAACTTCCGAACGCGAAATCATCAAACGGAGAGTCAATTTTGCTCTACAATATGCAAGTCTGGAAGGACCTACCGATGCTTGGCTGGCAGGTCCGCGATGAGTGGAATGCAACCGTACCTGCTGGACCTCCTGAATCTCGTCAAAATGCAATCTCGCGAATTATAAATAGGGACAAATTCACTGCAGGTTTGATGGCGACAAAAGAACCTGTTTTTGCATACTCGTGGTTTGCATTGATTACCCTGCGCGACACATTGGAGACACCAGAGCAATCTTCTGCAAGGAATTTAGAAGCCTTAATTCCTGCTGCTGCCGCGTGGATCAGTATTCTCGGTGCAGAAATCTATCAGTGGAATGAAGAGTTTGATGGTGCCCTCGGAAGAGGAGGCCCGCTCTGGAAAGGTCAACATGGGTTTTGTAAGGAGAGATGGCAGTTTTGGAAGGAAAGGTTTGGGGAGTTGGCTGTAATCGAAGTTGAGATTGGAGACGAAGTGAGAACGGCAGCAAAGAACGCGAAGCAGATCATGGAAGAGGTTGAGAAGTGAAACATGAAGTGGAAATTCTGTCACAACTTTGTCAATATAGAAGATTTCAAGGACTTTGTCTATTTTATGCAATGGAGATCATAAATTTATGAAAAAGGTCAGTAGGCTGCAATAGTAATCTGCCTTACACAAGCCACATCTCCACTGCGGACACGTATTTACAACCTTGGAATTTATTTATTACCTTGCTATTTTGAGGCATTTCCAAATTCGGCGCTTTCATTAGTCATTTTACATCTACTTTGTAGATGGATCGCCGCCTTTCCACGAATCAAAAGAGCCCAGTTTTCTCTACTCAGTCAGATAGCCGTGTAATTGGCTACATTTGTCCATATTTCCCATGATAAATGTGAGTACATACTGTATGTACTCCCTAGACACCACGAATCTTCCCTGCTTCACATATATCGATCCATGCGTCAAATTCATGACACTGATTCAATGGATCGCATTGACCATTTGACAAATCTCATTTAGCGGTGGCGGTGGGCGTATGTATGACCTAGGATAGTTGACACAGTGTAGCTGCGACAGCCTGCACAAATAAGCCTCTACGAATAGTCAAATAAATGAACTCTCTGTTCATATCGATAGGAAAATTTAAGTGAAGCATTTATATTATCTTTCAAAACTAGACCGTGTTTGCTTCTCCAACCCAATGAGCAGATCTTTAAATCTTTACTAGCCAATGTATCTTACACAGCAGGTTGTGCCAGTATCACTCGTCAGTTCCGCTCAACGCTGATTTTTGGAGCCCATGATATATTTAAAGATTGCAGGATGACGTTATTCCTTCTACATAGGCCACTGAGATCTGAACTGGTCTAGAATCATACACGGTAAAATGCTGTCATTCCTAAGCTGCTGTTTGAAGATCCGGAGAAGAGTCAACAAGTGGCGAGAGATTGAAGGTCCTTAAATTCCTTATCCTCGTGCATTTCCTACTACGGGCTAAAAATCTCGAGATTGAGCAGATGCTGTTGAAGTTGCTGAAAAGCAGTCGTCGTGGTCTCTCCTCGAAAATACACTCATGATACAGGGCTTGAATGGCATGTGTCGGTCAACCAACGCTATTGACAGCGCCTCCGTAAGGCACTCCCCGATTTGAAAGACATTGGAGTCGATAACATCTGGATTCCGCCTGGGTGCAAGGGGATGAACCCATATGGAATTGGGCACGATATCTACGATCTGTATGATCTCGTCGAATTCGACTAGAAAGGAACTAGAGCCACGCGATGGGGCCCAAAGGAAGGCCCGCAGAGCATGGTACGGGCGGCACAAAACATGGACATTGGAATTTACTGGGATACTGTTTTAAACCACAAGGCTGAGGCTGATTCTTCAATCGAGAATTTCACAGTTGTTAAGATGGACACAGAAGGTGATTTTCCCCCTAGTGACAGAGAGAAAGTTAGAGAGCTTAAATATATCAATAATTTTGCAGATTAGAATAATGGGGTATCTCGACGTCGAAGATCGCCGGTTGGGTCAGGTTCGACTTTCTGGGACGTGGTGAGAAGTACAGCCCCATGAAATATCATTGGGAACATTTTACTGGTGTTGACTGGGACAATACGAGCAAGCAGCATGCAATATACAAGATACCGGGAATCAAGATGGGCGAGGGATGTGAGTGAAGAGCACGGAAACGATGACTATCTGATGTTCGCCGATCTCGATCATTCCCATCCAGAAGTTCGAGCTGATATACAACATATTGAAATGGGGGGAGTGGATTGGCACCGAACTACTAATCAGTGCAATGCAAATCGATGCAACAAAACATTATTCCGCCTCTTTCCAGAAAGAATTCATGACGCATTATGCGCAATATGGTTGGCGCTGATTACTTCTTCGTTGGAGAGTACTGGAGAGGGGAGATGGGTCTACTTCTGGGAGATCTCAAACTAGTGGATTATGGGGCCTCCTTGTTCGATGTGCTACTTTGGGCCGGTTTGCAGCTATCTCCAAGATGGCAGGTGGTGATCTACGGAAGATCTTCAAAGGCACGTTGGTAGAACAGATGCCGTCGCATGCAGTTATCCCACGGGAAATGATTGCCACCGACATCACTTTCATCATCAGACTTTTGTTGACAATCATGATATGGGATGTCGAAGATCCTCTGCATGTATTTAGTAGAGCTTACAATCCTACAGCAACATGGGAAATTATTAGAGGTGAGATATACTCAACTTTTAGCATTATGCAGCCCTGAAATGTGGATGATAATTAGGGTCCTGACCGACTATCATTGCACCATTTTTCAAACCTTTCGCATATTCTTTAATGCTCCTTCGAAGCCAAGGGTGACCGTGCATTTTCTATGGAGATCTCTATGGAATGGCGGTGGACCCGAACCCCAGCTTGGGCTCTCATGCAGCGGAAAACTTCCCAACCTCACGCGTGCCTAAGAACTATATGTACATGGGGAATAATGAAACACCTTTAATAGACGACGAAACTGCATTAGTCGGTATAGTTTCCTTGGGCTGTGCATCAGTCGTTCATACAATTATACAGGATTCGTGCGCCATAAGAACTATAAACACCAATTCGGTCTTGCCTGCATCCTTAACAATGGTGGCGCTTCCTACAAGCGCATGTTTGTTAGTCCCATATATGCCGGGCAATTGTGGATAGATACCCTCGGCTGGCGAAATGAGACGGTACTCATTAAGAACCGCGGCTATGGAAATTTCCCAGTTGCTGCTATGTGTGCTAATGTCTAGGTGAAATTTCGAGCCGAGGGAAGAAATGAAATAATCGGCCTTTGTAAGTTCCATCTACCGAGAGTATCCATTTTGATATATCAGATATTGAAATGATAACAAGTCATTTTATTTTAGCAACAAAAACACATACAATCTCTGAGAATTTAAGTGGCAGAGGATGGTGATCATCCATGGATAGATACCCATTTATACTGAGCTTTCATACATAATTGTGCTCGTTGAAAATTGAGTCATGATACGGAGTACATTGCTGCCGGAATTGGGCAGGATAGAAGGTGTTTTTTTGGCCATTTTGAGGATCCAATTGTAGACTTCTCCCCTTGGTACATTATTCATTTTGCAGATCTGTCTCTCCCCTGGAAATAGGAATTTAAACATTTATCGAATGTTCCGGTGCTCGGGTGATGCCTTGTTGGCTATGTACATCGATGCAGTACCTGGGCATGGCGTGTTATAGTCGCATATTTAATAAATTTAGAACGAACATATTATTAGCTCAGCATACGTCTTTTTAGGTGTCTTGGTTCTTTTCCCCTTTCTTAGTATTGTAGCTAGAAAGATGGTTGGAAATGGATAGTAGCAAACCATACAGTGACAGTGAAAAGCATAGTTTCTACCAAATGACTTCCCAATATACAAAATGCGACATTTGGATTATTACGATAGATAGATCTATGGTAGTAGATCTGTAGATGTTGTTAATAGTTGCTCGATGATTTTCTGCCGGGTGAAAACCGTTGTCCAATGTGCTGTGCCGCTTTAGTCCTGTACCTGTGGACGCAAAATGGTGCGTCAGGCATCACTAAACCCCGGAATCACCTGGACAAAAATATTTGATGCACACACATACACATAGCACTCAATTTATTTCCAAAAAATATTGTCAGGCTTTCTGTCTGCAGGAGACTCTTCCAGATTCTGTTCTCATGACTATGTGGGCGGTCATGGCAGATCGGCTTTCTGGCCGATCCCGTAAGCACGCAACCGGAAATGATCCCGGGGAATTTTAGCTTGACCGACACCAGCCCAATCCCCGAAAAGTGAGTGGCCCAAGGCTTACATATCGAAAGAGACGGCATCCATACCCCTGAAACGGCGTCTTTTGTTTAGTCTACGGAGGATGTGGAGCGCTTTCGGATCCATTCCCCGAGAACAAAAAAGTCGAGCCCACGTTGTGTGGAATACCCGTTCCCGTTGTCTCCAGCATTGGCGTTCCCGCTACTCCGTACTCCTTATATGTAGTCACATAGTACTAAAATCTGGCCCTAGCTTGATCGGGTCAACTATGCTGCGCAAGTTACGCATATCATGGGAACAAGTGCTCATCATCCTAGTTGAATGCGCCCCATTGGTCCTGACTTACGTGACAAGGAAAGCTACCTGGCGCAATTGCTAATGCAAGACCAATCGATTGATCGCCAGGGTCTTGGCCCCCATCACGCTGAATAATTCAATATTGAAATGAGTAACTAGATGCATGCGGATCGAGATATTTGCCTGAAATTCTGTAAGGATGGGCTTTATTTAGTCCTTCGTAGTTTCGCAAGCGGGCGTGTGCTACGAAGTAGCCGAACATGGGTTATGAAAATCGGTCTTCTATGCGAGATCCCATGTGATATTTTATAGAGTCGCATTTCTGGTTGCCACTTTAGCAATCTGCAGCTTCTTAGCTTCTGTTTTTCGCCCAAACAGTTGGGGAGAAGCCGTTCTACCCGAGCCACGCCTACCGATCAACACCACCAAATACCCAGTTTGACAGGGAAGACTAGTCTTTTCTCGCCGTATTTTCCAAAAGCGTCGCGTACAAACCCTCGATTTGTCAAAATTAGGGCGCGTACTATCAGAGATTGCTTTATGGATGTGGAGCCGAATCCACATGAAACGCTTTTATTTCTCTGAGTCAAACATCCACTATCACTGTGTGGGGTTAAGGATTTTTTCAACATTGAATCCTTTATAACTATTGCGTCCCACCTGGGTCTTCATCTAGCGTACCAATTGTTGATTTTTGTTGAACGAAGGTCGTCAAGATGTCAGACGATGTGGCTGCCAAGGAAAATTTGCAGAAGGCCATCTCAACAACGGGTCAGTCGCCTACCCTCTTTGTCGATGCTTTTTATGTTGTATCTTAGGAGCTTAAAATACTGAAACTGTTGTATAGAGCACGTAGTGGCTTCTTCAAACGAGTCACATCACTTCCACGGCTCCGAAGATCAAGACTCAGATGTCGACCATGAGCCCATCCAAGAACGCTATGGAAACCCATCATACTCTAGATTCCGCAAAGTGGCCTCCAAAACGATTGTTTCATTCGGGCCTAATGACCCAGAAAACCCTGTTAACTGGAGAGCGGTATGTGGGATAGTGTCTCATACAAGCAAGACGAAGAAAAGAGTACTGATGTGTCCAATAGAGGAGGAAGTTCCTTGTTCTAGCATCTGGTGTCATGCAGGTCATGAACAGTACTATCGGCTCGTCAATTTGTAGCAACGCCATCCCCCAGATTGCCGAAGAATTCCACATTACCAACGAAACAGTCCTTGTCTTGCCAATCTCCATCTTTCTCATCGGATACATTTTAGGACCGTTGCTATGGGGCCCTAGCTCTGAGTACTTTGGCCGGAAGCCCCCTTTGCTCATCGCCTATGTTTTATTCATGATATTCACACTGGCGTGCGCTGTCGCAGATTCATATGCCTCTTTGCTTATCTTCCGATTATTCAATGGCATGGTTGCGTCGGCGCCTATCGCTACTGTCGGCGGATTATTCGCTGACGTTCATGACGATCCAACACTGCGAGGTCGCCTGATGGCTTATTTCATGGCTGTAAGCTTACCGCAAACATTGAAATGGGGTCTTTGGGTGACAGCTAATTTGTCAATAGTGTACAACCTTCGGGCCAATAATTGGCCCTTGGGTGTCTGGTTTCGTGGCAGTTGTCAGCTGGCGTTGGTGCTTTTGGATTGGACTCATTTTGTCAGGCGCTAGCTTGCCATTGGTTATCTTCATGCCCGAAACCTATGCCCCGGTCATTCTAAAGCGTCGTGCACACAAGCTACGCAAAGACACCGGCAATTCAAGCATCGTTTCGCCATTGGATGTTCAGAGTCGCAATGTGCGAGAAATGCTTATCATCACCATCTCACGACCCTTCCGCATGATTATACATGAGTATATCGTTTCTCTGAGTTCGCTGTATCTTGCTCTGGCATATGCAATCTTTTACCTCTACTTCGAGGCATATCCAATCATCTTCCAAGGTCAGTGGCCTATCCCAGCTAGCGTATGCAAAAACCCGTCAGAGAAATTCTAACGAAAATCACGCAGGTGTCTACAAAATGAGCCCTGGTGTGTCTGGATTGATGTTTCTACCCAGTAAGTTCATCTATATGGCCATTTCTCTAAACCGAAAAGAAGTAACGTCTAAAATTCACGCAGTCGGCATCGGCGCCATCCTTGCCTGTGGCGTCTTCATCTGGTACGATGGTTACCTAGCACGAGCGAAGGCCCGCAACGCCAGCTGGGCATTCATTGAGGAATACCGCAGACTCCCCCTCGCCTGCATTGGTGGGCCACTATACGTGATCTCCCTCTTCTGGATAGGCTGGACAGCCTCGCCAAACATCCACTGGGTCGTACCTTTCCTTTCCGGCATTCCCTTCGGAATGGGCTACCTATTAATTTTCATGGCTATGCTGAACTACCTGACCGATGCGTACGAGACACTCTCTGCCAGCGCACAGTCTGCTGCAAGCTGCACACGCAGCATCTTGGGAGCTGTGCTCCCGCTCGCAGCTAAGCCGATGTTCAACCGGCTCGGCGTGCCTTGGGCTTGCAGTTTGATTGCCTTTCTCAGTCTGGGTGTCTCGATAATTCCGTTTGGTTTCATTCGCTACGGCGACCGCATCAGAGCAAACAGCAAGTTCTGCCAGGAACTCAAGCGCATCAAGGAGGCTGAGCGGTTGGAGTTGGAGAGAGAGGAACGTCTCGCGAATGGTGATGATACCCTTGAGCCTATCCCGTCCCGCAATACTGGGATTTCGATGACAAGGATCGATACTGCTCGTACGGATAAAGCGTCGATTATTTGTTGAAGATGGTAAGCGAGATTGTGTATCTGAGACTAAGTGCCTTCTCACTTTTCTCGGCGAGTATATTTTCTTCTCGCGTGTTGGGACATTTGCTCCTCTTTGCTTGGTTCTTCTGGTTTTTCTTTCGATTTCATCGATTTGGCGATTCAAAAGTTCTCTTTTTCTTTTCACGAGGCAACACGACCATATACTTATTCTCTAATGTTTAAGAAGCACAGGACCCCCACTAGCTGTTTCGAACCACGCTCCTGGGAACAGGAGAAAAAACATACAGGCGCCTACATTTTTTTTTTACGTTTGCTTTTTGTTCCCGATGTCTCAGTATACTTTTTACCGGGGACCAGAGATTACATCGGGCGAGCGTTCCTTCATACCCAGATTGATTGTGATATCTTCCATTAGGAGACCCCGGAAATAAAATTTAGTCTAGTCTAATGAATGTTACTGCTTTTCTTTGACATATTCTCGCTTCAATTCAAATTTTCAACATTGTGTAATCCCAAAGCCATCGCCACAAGCTGCTATGATTAATCCGAAAAAGGTTCCAAGACACAGCTGGATAGTCGCCATTGAATAGGCGGGGGATATCACAGACCACTGCCGATTTTGGTTTTGGTATTGGTTTTTATTTCCAAGCAGAGAACTGGCACCTACGTGATTTTCTAAATAGCCAAATTTGATCCTATATTTTCCGGCGAACTGCTAACATTCTATCGCACCAATAAAAGGAAGAAATAACCCAAATTTACATCTGGACTACCAAAAGTACGTATCAAGGGCGGATAGGCGGTCAACTATATTGTTGTCACAATCATCATAAACCAACTAACTTCATTATTCAAGCCATATATCATTAACTGTGTAAACAAAAAAGAAAGAACACTCCGATAGGGGGAATCGAACCCCCGGCTGCCGTGTGAGAGACGGCGATGTTAGCCACTACACCATATCGGATATAGTATGAAGATTTTTGGTCCACTTGCACATCTCTGGCCTAGCGCTCTTGGCTTTGTGCATGCCCATGCGTAGTTCTATATAGTCCCCTGTCCTCCCCCCAACCAACCCACCGTCTCAAATTTTCTTCTTCTTCGCCCTCCTCTTCTCTGGTCTCTGCAGATCAGGCATTTTTGCTATTGAATTGGATCACCGAGCTCTTGAGCTCCGCCACCCCCTTTTCCCTGTATGACTCGTCATAACCCTTTCGTGACTTTCCCTCGTCCCTCGCTGCTTTCTTGGGCTCCCACCTCGTTCCTGATCAAGTGCTTTCTCTGAGGCTCTGACGATAGCCCCGGAATTTTCAGTCCTCATGTAACTAACTGTCCGTCAGTCGTTCATAATCCCGTTATCGACGTCCCTTCCGCTCTCTCTGGACAGTCGCCTACGCGAGAGGGCCTACAAACCGCAGGATACAAATAATGTTTTTACACGGCCCTGTTGTACTTGAGTAATAGTTAGCGCTTGCTTTGTTTACGTTATGACCGAAATCCAACGTGGCTTATCTGACCAATCGAACTGCCCCAGCCGTCGTTCCCCGCCTTAGACGGGAGACGAAACGAGTGCAGGGCACCAGGACAGAGAGAGGCCTCCTCGTTATCACCAGTGCATGTGACGCCGATAATACAGCAGTAGGCCTATTTCTGGGGACCTCCATCTCTACACCAATCAAACACGATGCCGACCGAGGGTTGCGTTGACAAGGCGACTTCGGTGAACAGAGGCCGCGCATTCCTCGACAAGCATACCGTGCATGTACCACTAAGGATATGATCGCCATAGATTAAAGCCCCTTAACTATACTTGGTGTTTGGTATTCGATGTTTGTGATATTTTGTGAAATGAGAAGGAGTTGAGCCTGATACTAATGGCGTTTTTGACTTAGACCCCCGACTCCCAATTTGGACTCGAAGAAATCAAAAACGAGTCAGACCTGATTCCATGTTAGAACAATCTAGATATCCCTACCAGAATTTCACAGGGCATGGACCTCGGGACCCATGTCCACTTCGTAGTGTACTACCCAGCAGCCCAGGGATTATTGAACACATGGATGAGTCCTATCTAGGTACAGGTACTAACCGGCCCCTGCTACTGTTTAAAGTGGGAATCACAGCCTCTGAGCTTTACGTTGAACAATCTTGTGTAACGAATGCAGAGAACATCCTGAAGTCAATCTCATTTGAAGATCATTTACTAGTTTCAAGTTTCGAAGGCCGATACAATGAAGTCTATCGAATCCCCTTCACCCTCCGTATGTATAAGCAATGCTTATTTGAGTGTGAATTTCTCACTATATCCAATTGGTCCTGTACCGTGAATAGTCCATGCGACCAACCAAACATCACTGCGCAAGCCAGATCAGTATCACTCTCATTCAAGCAGGTGATCACTTTTACCCTGGCTCAAGATTCACGTCTCTCGGTAATCTAACACTAGCCTTCTCCGGATCGGCATCAACGAGATCAATCCACTCAAAATTTTTGAAGTCTCGGGTAAGGGTGAGGCCAATTTTTGGCGTGTCGAGTCTCCATGTCACGTCCCAATTCCGATGCGATTTTATAGTTGGCGTATCGACGACAACCGCAATCACCGCGGGCGCAAGAGTGAGGATAGAGAGTAGTGGGAGATGCATATTTGGATATTGAAGACCGGGTAAGTGAAAGAGAAGATTATGTTGAGCTACTCGTTGAAGCGGAGCAGAGGAGGCTCTTATAGTAGTCGTTCAATAAGAAGGGTTAGCAAAGACCTCGTTCTCATCCGTGCATCTCCATGAATTATTGCGGGGTATAGTTCCACCAAATGGTCTGAAATTATCGAGATATAGGATTTCACGGTGCAAAATAGTCAATATTAGCGAGTCTGCATGGATTGTGTGATTCTTTCTGCACTCTCATCTGCAACGACGCCCGATTAAGGTCATGATGACGATTGAGCATGGGTAGATAGAAAGATCTTGACCTATCGTGCATTTATAAAATGTCGGCTGTTATACTCGTATACTGATTCTGGTCCTGCTGAGACATAGCATGCGGTCCACTTTCGGCATGTATAATACGGATTGCACAAAACGAGAAAAGAATACCTGACACAAACTCTTCGAAGGCTTTTTTTGGTACTTGTCAAATACGCTCTTACTTCGAGAAAAGGCCTTGGAGAAAGGTGAGTTCTACTCCGCCGAGTGGGAACCTATTCTTTTGCCAACAAAGAAAATGGTATACATGTGCTTCAGAGACCAAGCCACTAGTTGTGCCACCAACATGTGACGTGATGAGAAAGCCCCTTACTGCTTCTCAGGGTCTTGTTGCTGCCGGTGAAAGTATAGCCGATAGGTTAGTGCACCTCAGGTCTTACATATACGAGGCCAAGACCGCATGGCGCTCGGAAAGTGTGAAGGCTCAAACTCTTGAGTTCCCGGTTAGTGCTTTTGTTCTAATTTATCTCTGACCCCACTTATCCTAAGGATTGGTAACTGGCGCTTTCTTGAGCGATTTATCACCGGCATTACATTAGGCCGAAACCAGATTATCATCATTCTGACTATCTTCAAACAACCAAAGAGGACTTGTATATTCTAAGTTTGTCGATTTGGATAATCCCCAGGTGCAGAAGCGACGTTATAAAGTTACCTGCCAGGTAGGTACTACAGGGAAATATCACATTGCTTTCCTTGTTGCAAAAAAAAACCCTAAGCATACCCCTGAAGAGATGTACCTGCTCAACAAGAAATATTGCCTTCTTACGGTATCTCTGGCTTTCTTCTGCGACAGCCATACTTGTTGTTTGATCCGCAATCCTTGCAAGCATCAGCGCCAAAAGGAACTTCGATCGTGGCACGAGACCGGGTTCGCTAGGGTCACTCTCAAATATCTCCTATTCATTGCGCCTGCTTCCCCATGATCTAGACCGCGTCTATGCAGTAGTCATGCAAGCTGATCGTAAGAGACCCCAATCGGTTTATGCCGCGGCCCGAGGGATCTCAGTCGTCCTTTCAGTGCCTCCTTATGTTCCCGTTCCGCTTCCGCCCATCGACATTGATAAACACGAAGGTTTCCGAACAGAAAAAGGGTTAATGGCACGAAAAACAAATCGGCGCTAAGTGCACTGTGCAAGGACCGAGCTTTTCTGAAGGCTTGTTCAGCTTCTTCAAAACGGCGAAATGCCATAAGATTGCGTCCAAGATTCGAGTATGCCCCTTCAAGCAGTCTCTCATTTCTCACTGGGTTATGTTCCTGAATGGAGACAGATTCTTCAAATAACTGCTGGGAATCTTCGAGTTGATCTAAGTCGTGGAATCCACCAGCACAGTTGTTTAAGAATTCGATCTGATAATGGTCCCTCGGAAGGCACCGCCGTAGTATGGACAACGCATGCATCCCAGTCTCCAGAAATTCAGCGGCTTGATTTTGATTACTCAGTACCACTCCAATGTTGCTGTACACTAAGGCAGTGAGTGGATCTGGCCTTGCGCCATAGAACTCGCCACAAATCTCCTTTGGCGTGTGGAGTGCGTCGAGGGCGGCTTTATTTGTCCCTGTCTCGTACAGGTACCAGCCACAGTGACAAAGAAGTTCAGCCAAAAGTGGAAACACGCGAAGCGTCCTCTTATTTTTGGATTCTGCTTCGCTCTTTCTGACTTTTTTGTAGTTTTTCTCGAGCGAAAGCAATTGGGGCGTAAGCAACTTTCATTGACTGAATGAATCAAATATGGACCCTCCTTGCTTCTGGCGAGGATAAACTCGAGATATACAGGTGGCGCATCTTTGAATGCTTGCTGAAGCTGGTCGGAACTTTGAAGATGGCGTATACTCGCATCCTGCACCAGTCTATGAACCGGGATGGTACCCCTTTTCTTGTCTCTACTTATCAGGGTATGCCGCCGCAAGGATGCAGTAGCGAGTCGATGGGTGGTAGTGCTCTTAAATGGACGTATATCTTCTGATATTAAGCGTGCGAACCCTTCAAGAAGCTCTTCTGGCATACTATCCGGCTTCAGCAAAGTCAGAATGCCCAACAATCTTGCGGCAGGAGTATCCTTTAGTTTCTTGAATTTTCAAGACCAGCAGCCGGCGTAAGATCTATTGTCATCACACGTAGCGCCTGATGCTTGATATTTCAAAGTAATAGTCGCGTTGCTCTATTCGTAATCCTTGACAAATTCCTCGAGTGTCGAATCAGTCCCTCGGATCCAGCTTGCTATGTGCGAGAGAGCTAAGAGGCTGTCTACCAAATAGCTGTGAAATTGATTTTGCGGTTTTCGATCCTTGGAGTTGAAATCCTTGAAGATCGTCTTCCTCATCCTCGCCGTCACCCGTGGGATGCGCCAGTTGGCTCAGGAGATATTCTGTATTTCCACTGATCGAGCGGTCTCGGCAGGATACCCCAGAATCCAATAGTCTCGTTGAAGTCCGCTGCTAGCTTGGTCCCATCATACGAAAGACTGATATCCGCAATCCAGGCGTTGGAGTTGGGGATTAGGGTCTCCACCAACGACCCGGTGATCACATCCCAAATCCTGATATGTTTATGATCCGTCGCCATCAGCAAATGTGTTCGAGAGAAGGCAACAATATACACCCAGTTAGAAAATCCCTCCAGCGTTTGTTGTAGCTTCCCAGTCTTGGCATTCCAAACCCGGACCGTATAGTCGTCTGACGCTGTTGCGAGCAGCTCCCCATCATAGGAATATGCACAGCATCGCACGTAATCCCCAGTAAAGGGTGGCATATTTGGTTTGGCGTGAAGCATCTTTGGAGAGGTGAATGGAAGCATCCAGCAAGATACTCCCGGGGTTCTGGGAGCAAAGGGTGTTCAGCACCTCTAAGCAGCGCCTGGTCATGTGTGCATGGCTTTCTTGGGGCATATGCACATCTTTTCGAACAAATTACTCCGCTGAAGCGCTGGTAAAAGATACCATACTACCACTCAGTTCAAGAAAGGGAAGATATTTGGTGACAAGAGTCGACAAATCGACCTGGGACGGTATATTCGCAAGGTTTATCAGGTCGCTGACCGCGACTGACCCATATGCGGCAGCCATAATGTATAAAACTCTATTGCAGTACCCGCCGTCTTTCCAAAGCAGGCTGTTGATCCTTTGCTTCATGTTGTCATAGAACTTCTGGAATTCACCCGGTAAATCGTCAAGCACATTTAGGACATTCCACACAACCTCCGTGGCGAGGGTTTTGCATGCTAGATCGATCCACAGCAGATTCCCCTTGGATTTCTTAGCGACACTTGTGAATATTTGTTCTCGATCGTCTTCCTCACGCACTGCATCTTCGAGAATTTTTCTGAACACAGAAGAAGTATATTTAAGAACGGTGGTTGAAAACTGAGCTTCCATCGCATGATCCAACGAGAGGTGATTTTTAGTGGTGCTTTTCCTGTATGCTGCGCGGATTTCGGTTTCTTTGAAGACGTTTAGTGAGCATCTGCGGAGGGTCAATAGGTTACTGAGATTTCTTTCTATTCATGATTTGGCTGGGTCTGGTATTCATGGTTTGCAAAGCTTGTTTTGGGCACCTGGCTGGGGGATTATTCTTTTTTGAAGCGGGTGAGTCCTTGGAACTCTCATTGTCACTCTTCTTAGTCTATGCATGGTATTATTGAGTCACGTTATACTGGAACGTTACCTAGGTTCAATGCTCCTGAACTATAGTACCAGCATTTCAAAGATGACCTAGACAACCCCAGCCCGAGGTCCATCTGGGCGCTGAATAATAGACTAATATACCATAAACTAGAGAAGGGGAATAGTAGATAAAAGACTATACAACGAATAAAGTATTGGGTAGCTTAATATATAAGATGAAAGTGAAAAGGCGGAGGAAGAGAAAAGATCAATAAAGGAGTTAAATTTCGATAAGTATAATATCCCGCGAATAACTAGCGAGGAACAATCCGAGAACCCCATCTTAGAGCCCTTGTAAACGCCATGTTCTATCAGCTAGTTCCTGAAGAGTCTGTCTATCCAGAGTAATATCGTTCTCATCTCCAGTTGGTTGCCGTAGGAAAAGAGATTCAAAGGGAACGGTCAGAGAGTCATTGGTCAATTCTATTTGTCCATTGACCTTTGAGATTTCAATCTGCTGAGTGGTTTGAACCACTCCATCAATACGCTCCCATCGATCAACCATAAGCCGGGGACGCTTCCTGTCGACCTTGATTGTGACTGTTGTGTTGACATTGCCTTTGGCTGGGTACAGCTACCACTCAACGTCCCGCTGAAGCTTTATGTGAGACTCGGAAACTCCCACCTCTAGGGTCACCGTAGGCTTATCGGGAAAGCCTTGAGGAACTGGAAGAGGTCCCCAGCCTTGATCTCCTTCTTTACCACAGCCCTCTTCCCTAATTGTGGCCCCGGCGTAAAAGCGAACGTAGGCCGCAAGACCCATCTGGGTAATTACGCGGGTCAGCGCTAGGTTGATAAACTGACCGATGTCAGAGTGGATTATTGTGATCATCTTGACAAGTAGAAGGTTTGCTGCAAGATCGAAGGAATAGCGGTTGGGGCCAGACAGCACAGGGAAATCAAGGATATCGGATTGGATTGAACGGCTAGGGATGTAGAAGAGGACGCAATCACTGGGAAGATCGCTGTCTGGAATATTGTCTGTTTGATCAAGTGAGTCGATAGAAATGAAGTTGGACGATTCGTTTTTTAGGGAGGAACGTGTGACCCGACGTGAATAGGTCTGCTGTTTATCTCCCCTTTGGATGTTACGAGACAACAGCGAATCGTCCTTAATTGCCGGATGGTCGGTTTTCTCCTGAGGAGCACTTAGTTGCTGGGATTGAGCAATCATGGACTTTTCAAGCCGGCGGAGCTCTATATCCATGATCATGCAGAATTGTGTTCCTCCTTCATATTTATACCTTGGTATATTCGAAGGGAGGTCTTGTAAGAAACTGTCCCTATAAGGGAGTTCACGTGAGCTGGAAAACATCGCAGTAAATCCCACGGGTATCAGGCCGTAGACATATAATACGGAGAAGTGATGATAGTCCTGAGATGGCTGAAACACAAAGAGAATCTAGACTACATAATTTCTTGTTGACTATCTAATAAATTAGGCGGTCAGTCAAGCTTAGTAGTGACGTTATTATTTTCGTAGAAAAGTGTAATTGACTGTTAACCTTGGGACCGGAAAGGGAGCGTATGGAAGCGTCCACTGGCTAATTCTGTGGCCCCGGGGGCTAGGTCACGTCTGACGACAGTGGAATCCAAGGAGGATAGGCGATTCATCGAGAGAAGTGATGGTCTGACTCTTCCGACAGTGGTCGCCAGTTGGAAGCAAAGGAGAGCGACGATTTTATCTTGCTTAAGTTGAGACACATGTTCATACACTTTCTTGAGGACTTTCCCTTGAGAAGGGACGGGAGTTCAAACTGTATGGGGTAGAGCTAAGGTCTTCGAAACTAGGAGCGATCAAAAGTCATCTTGTTGGAGAAAGTTGAGATCTGGGTAAGATTCAAGAAACTATAGATCGGCGGAAGATCAAACCAGAGGAATACCACAGTGATCATCATCCCAGCGAGCTTATTGATGGGTATGAGCCTGACGATGGTCACTGTCTTGATGACAACAATAAGGCCGAGGATGACGATGTTGATTCTGGAATCTTACTTAGAAAGATTGTGTCTGTTGATACATACCTCCGTGCTCTTGCCGTCTTCCTTCGTTTCTTCCCCTATCAAGTCTTTGAAAGACAGTACCAAGTACCAAACCTCATAAAAACTCCTACGGATTGTCCCAATCAAAAGAAGGCGGATCCAATATTTCTCCATTTGCCTGCCGAGGTAGGATCAGTCAAAGTGCAGAAAGCCGTGCCATCATCTAGTTTTCCACGAGATCAGCCATTGAGCCTTTTAGATAAAGACAGCATGCATTTGCGAGACTGTTGTAGATCAGCAATTGCTTGGCAGGCAACCTCGGGATGGATGAGAAAGAATCACGCATAAACTGAAACTAGCCAAAAGCGAATTGAAAGCTTATTAGCAGCATGATCTTATAGAGGAAGGTCAGGCGAATATTGGCCGAGACTGTAGCCTCCGTGGCTTTCGGTAACATATAGTCACATTTTACGCCTTTTCCACCAACTATATTCTACATTTTGCGGCTCAATCTTAAACTTCTAGCTAGAACACCAAAAAAAGCAACGTCTGAAAATAGTCCCTGACAAGATAACCAAAAAAGACTACTAACTAAAAAAACATGAAAAGTCTGCATAAACGGCCGACTATTGCAGGGTTCTTGTTTTCGTCCATTCGAAAAGTTTCAGACACTTAAGAATGCCAATTGCATATTTCAATATGGAGTATAGCTGGATTGAGGAATCACTGATGGACTACTCCGTACTTGCTCTTCTTGAAACAAAGAAATAACCCCTTGCTCTCAACATCGAAATCACGCACCTCTACGGAGTATGTCCGACTGGATCATAAAATGACCATGTGATCAGTCAAAATGTGGCTCATTTAACAATAGTCCCACCAAAATCCAGCCCCGTCAAACATAAATAACCCCCCATTGGAGATATTATTCCCGTAAACATTACCTAGAGTTTTCTCGGCTGGAGCGCTACTAATGCAAAAAATCAAGGGTAGACGGGAGACCCACCTTGGAAGATACAACCCAACCAGCGAGAACACTTGCAGGTGATCTAAATGTCTGTGCACAAGTCACAAAAAAAAAAAAAAGAGCAAAAAAAGACTTGATAGACCTGACGGGGCGATCGCCAAAGCCCCAGGTGTTGACTTGCATTGGTCCGCACTCTAATTGTTTTCGTCCAGGATGAAGAGTTCAAGGATTAGGATTCAAGGATTGAAAGAGATCTAGTCGAGGCCCAGACTCTACAAAAGTCTTGGATCGTATCTAGCTGGGAGAATTGATTGGTCCGTGTGGATGTACTAGATTAAAAACTAGTCAATTGGCAACGAAAGGATTCCGGACGAAAAGTAACTACGGAGTACCTACGGAGTACGGATTACGAGATACTACAACATTTCCCCTAGTTACGAATTAAATGTGCATGCAAACAGACTCGTGAAGATCATGAGTGGCGAATATCTGTTATGCTTTGTAGATCGATTCAATCCTGGTTGTGGTGGTCTGTGTTGGGATTATGAACATGGGGGGGAAATAAGCTATGACGGGGAGGCGAAAACAGGAGCAGGGAATAAGAAAATCTTTCTAAAAATGTCAAAAGGCAAAGCTGAGGCCGGGGGAATAGAAAGAACCTATCTCATAGGTCTGAGCAAAATAGAATAATAGCGGCAAACGCGCTTTCCGCGAAAGGGGGGAGGTGTGGATGTGCGGTTGCAGCGGGAACCCCAGACACTGTACAGATGGAGTCTGTGGAGCCTCTAAAAAGGGCGTGGGGTTTTTTTGATCTGGTGATCGAGGTGACACAGCTTTTACTTAACACTTTACGGGGTACTTCTCGGATATTTTTCTTGTTTGTGACGTTGGGTTTAGTGTTCATGTCTGATCCGAATGACATTGTTCGCCCAACCCCAACCCCAACCCCAAGCCAAGGAAAAGCGAAGGTCCTGTAGTAATCCTAGTATCTTTGGATTGGGGCTGATGTGACGAAGGAGAACCGGACCCGTTAGAGAAAAAAAGGGAGAAAAAAAGCCCCTTGGATATCCACCCCACACGAGGGGGTACTACATGTACTATTACTATTGATACGTCAGACTAACTCCATGTGCCCATCCTCGGATGTGAGGTGCACCTGAACTAGATCGGGCCCCGGGCCCATCCCCGGGCCCATCCCCGGGCCAGTCAGATCTAATATGCCTAAATACTTCCAGGAGAACAGCTGGAGCTGGACCTGACTCAGATCAAACATCCGGTTCTCCGGCACTCTCGGGTATTAGGTACTTATAAACATGAGCTGGGAAGCGTCTCACGCGGTTCAAATCAACTCTTGGACATTTTATCTCTCCGACGATATCCGGAGTTTAGTTGTTCGGGCGAGAATTGTTTTTTACCCGAGTCGGCAAGCTGGCGGTTCATGGGGCCGCGCACGGACGGTATAAACGAGCTTGACGATTTTGAAGCTAAAGATGGCATATTATGTGTCTAGATCGTGGGGGCCCTGCGGATGGGGTTGGTCCAAGAAACTGATGGGTCCTGCCCATTTCTGGTCATTTCCAAGCCCTCTTGTCCGACTGGTAAGGAGAGATCAAACAACCAGTTAGAGAGGTTTATACTAGTCATTCATCTCCACTCATACACACTCAGAGCTGATTGTTTGTTCGTGCACAGCCCTGGGATGTCTGTTCCCACACTTGAACTTTTGGAAATAATATAATTTCTTTTTTTTTTAAAAAAAAAGTCTGAGATCATGTGGCTGCTGGCAGTACTCCCCGGTGAACTCTGACTTTTTTTGCGGGGAATCCCTGGGCGTATCACAGCAGTTCCGCAGGCACAACTTCGCTGAATGAGGAATGTGGAATGCAGCTGCCATACCTTTGAGCTATCCTTTTTTTTGACTGGAGCTAGTGAGAAGCTGACTTGAATTATCGTCTGGTGATCTTCGAATTTGCTGCCTGTTCCCGAGAGTGACTTCATAGCCTGTCTTTTAAAATCATATTTATATCGTCTAGTCTAGTCTAGGTTATAGTCAATCATATTCACTTTTCTTTTTCTTTCCTATTTACCTCCATTTTGACATTGAGCGTTCTTCATTAGTTTTAATTTCCAAAAAAAAAAGTTTGAACTATATATACGTGGAACTTTTACATGGGAAAAGTATGACAACCTTCTCACTGGTTGCCATTCCAATCTTCGTCTTTCTTTTCGCAGTTAGACATCAAAAACAACTACTCCAATGGTTTTCACAGAAGTTGAAAGGGAAATGTTACCCACATGTCTCCAATCCATCCGATGTCAAGCGTATGGCACCGTACCCAGCGCAGCCTATCAAAGGCAGAGAACGATATCGCGTGATGATGGACATTCGCAAACTTGACGCCCAAAATTGGCTCACCCTCGATAAAAACTATATGGACGAACACCATGTCCGGACCCAATTGCTTCACGAAAAAAGAGAGGAGGTCATACGCTGCCTGCCGGAATCAATTGAACCGTGCCAGGAGGCATTGGAGGAAGTTTCAGACTTTCTCTGCGAGAGATTCCCTAATATGTTTGAAATGTCGATTCAAGACGGTCGAAAGATCGTCGACAATCGCATGACAGGCGATAAATTCACTGTCAGCGGGCGCGACTCCAATGAGGGACTAACGGAGGCACTCGAAGCTGCCGTTCGTCTCACTATGGAGGATCTCAGTATTCTGATGATGAACGAGGAAGGGGAATTCTACCTGTATGTGCAAATTCACACATAAAAGCCAATTTGTCAATACTAACACTACCAACACAGGGCAGCTAGCGCCAGTCTCTTCCCAACCGGGTGGACAGTGAACCAGAGAATTGGCTGGACCATCTCTCAACTGCACGGCCCCGTACCACTATGGCACCAACAAGTCGCCAATTCTGTCAGCAAGTAAGTGATGTCCGAACCAGAGGCAGAACGGCTACAAAGAACACGATCAAAGAGAAAACAAACTAACTTCAATTCCCAGATTCCTCGCCCGCTTAACTCCAACCTCTCCAATGGAACGCTCAAACTTCTTCGTAGAAGTCAAGGGACCAAACGAGAATCTGACCGAGATCCTCTATCGGCCTAACTCCCTCTGTGAGAAAGAGCTGCGCAGCCCTTTGCCGTCAGATATCCTGATCCGTCGCGAGAGACAGACTTTCCGTCGACTGCCGCGGACAGGGGCGATTGTATTCGGTGTCAAGACCTATCTAACGCCGCTGGATGAACTTCCAATGGCTGAGCTGGATAATCTTGCCAAGGAGATGAAGAGCTGGCCTGATTATGTGGGTGAGTATAAGGGGAGGGATGTTTGGGGGGCTAAGGTTTTAGAATATTATCGGAAGCGGGTCGAGGATGAAAAGACACTAAATGAGAAGGAGAAAGACCAGAACATTGAAGTTTGAGTGGACTTTGTAGACATATCGAGCGTTTCTTCGCATTTTGGCTCCGGGAGATCAAAATTGGGTCGGCTTTTTGTCTTTTTGTTTAACAACGGAAAAGTTGTTTTGTTTTCTTTTCTTCCTGGACTATTTTCTACTTTTGCATTTTTGCATTTGGTTTGTTAATTGGGGAAGACTGTGTCTTCAATTTGACGGAGGCAAGAAACAAATGTGTATTAAAGCATCCAGATATTTGGTTATTGAATGATACCACACTCATGCGGTGGAGTTATAGTTATGAATGACTAGCTTCAGTAAAAAGCAAAATCACATGAAGTTAGGAGGGACTAAGCCCAAATCTATAAATAAAGATATGTGGGAAAAAAAAAGGTAAATGGGTATAGCACAAGCTCTTTAAATCTTTGACAGCGGCGGCTTGTCTTGCTTTAACCGCACAACACCCTATGATCGAGTTAGCACTAACCTCTAAAATAGAAAAACAAACACATACCTCTTGCGTGCAAGTAGCAATAAGCAGTCCATCCTTAGACCAAATTTTCTGAATCGCCAAGCCTCGTCCTTCACCAGCCCACGGACTCTCCATCTCCGTCAACATCCACTCATCGGCACGGAATGCCAAAGGATTGTGGAAGTAAATTGAGTGATCCAGACTGACCATCATACCAACTTCTTTATGGTCTTCCTCCTTTGGGCTCATCGTGGCCCTGTTCAGGGCCCCTTCCAGACGGCGACGCAACTCTGCACCCTCTTCTTCCTTCAACTCCTTCAGAGCTCGCGTGATATCCTCATCGTCGAGGTCAGACGGGTTCTTAAGTGCTTTCAGAAGCTTCTCGAGTTCGGCCGGGGAAGAAAATCGCGGGATATCATGGACGAGGGCGATGGTACCGATGAAATAGCTGTCGGTGATATACGCAAGCGCCGACAGGTGTGCTTGATAACCACCCTGCTCGGAGATTGCGCCGCGGGCGCGAACGTGTCGCCGGACTCTCTTATCTTCTTGGTTGGGGGATGTGCCTGTTTGATTATACGCATTAGTTCGACGTGCACAGCATGGATATTCCGACCAGGGACGTAGGCATACGGTTCAAAATTCCCGCCTTCCTTGATTCAAACGGACCGCCGCCCGCATTGCTAAGCGCTTTTAAACTTCCAGGCTCGGCTTCTTCCGGTAATGGAACATCTGGCTTTGATACGGCGTGGTGAATTGTCTTCTCGCCACCACTGCCGACCCGACTGAAGCTCAGCGTGGTGGTGAAAATCGGCCGCCCGCGTTGTCGCGCCTGCACGGTTCGGGTTATAAAGCTCCTCCCATCGCGTACCCGCTCAACATGGTATAGGATTGGGATCTCTGAGTCGCCGGCAAGCACGAAGTAGCAGTGCATGCTGTGGACGGCGTAATCGGCGGGGACGGTCAACATGGCGGCTGATAGGGACTGCGCGATCGCGGCGCCACCGTAAATTCCTCGAGCTCCAGGGGGATGCCATAGTGGGCGCGTATTAGTGAAGACATCCTAGAGACAAAGAGTGTTTTGTTAGAATGTGGCCCTTTCTGCAGAAAAATTGAGTTGTCATACTCGGCCGAGGTCCACCACTGGCGTCAGGTCGAGTACATTCTCGATAAGAGATTTGGAATGATCTTGCGCGGGTGGATCGAAAATCGTCACGCGTTTCGACATGTTTGTAAATTATATTCAATAGGGATTAGAATCAGGGGGGAAATCCGGGGTGGCTCCCTAGACTTTAAATGTGGTCGGCCCGTCGCGAAAAAAAAAACAGCCGAGGTCCAGGGGGGTTTCTCATCTAGCTCGGGACTTGCTAACTCCAAGGCTGTACATATTGTACACATTGTGCAGCTACACGTGCGGGAAATAATACGTTCTTCAATCACATGGATTTCAGGTCCAATTCTTCCTGTAAATTTTTTTTTTCATACTCATGTCCTATACCCCCTATACTGTAGTGTGCTTCAAGATCAACCATGTAAAGGAGTCCAGTCATTCGGTGGTGTCTCATGCTCAGGTAAATCGAAGCGATAAGTGTTCCGTACAAGCTCAGGTGATGGCGCACTAGAAGTCTGCTCCCTCAGCAATCGAAGCAACTGGCGACGTTGCATCTCTTCGTCGGTGAGCAGCAGCGTATCTTCCTCCACTCGGTGACGTCCATGCTCTCGATATATCAAGATCCCAGCGAGAGCGTAACATACAGAGAAAGCAGTGGGTAGGCAGGTATTCACGATCTGCAAGGTGTCCATCTGCAGGCTTCGTCCGTGGATGTGGAACAGGATATTCAGGAGTGCGAGCATATTCATCGTCGAGTATGGGCTGAAATTGTTAACCAATAGCCAGTAGAAGAGAAATAGCATTCAGTGTTACTTGCATAAAGATTGAGTGGAGGAGGAACATCATTCGGTGGCGCTGGGTTAAGATAATCAGCGCTGATACGCCGTAAGACGCACCAACGAACACAAACGCAGTAACCGTAGATACTGCAGGATTGATTCGCAGTTCATGGGGAGGAGAGCCGACTATCACAGCCAGCATCATGTACCTAAGCACATCAACTTTATATTCAGCGATCTCCAGTTCCCCAGTCAAGCTCATATCTTGTTTTTATATCAAACTCACCCGACTAGCTGTAAAGCTGCAAAGAAGGCTGCTACCACCTTCCATAGCCATGAAATCTTGGTTGCATCAGTCGGAGGTAGGGTCTGTCTAGAGGTAGACCAAACGGCCTCGTAGAGAGAAGCCACCATACGTACTAACGACTATGCCAAGCTCAAAAGCAAATCAACAAATGGTGACAGAGACGGAGGTGCTGGGAAAGCAAAAACAACCCAAAATTCAAATAACCAGTGTCAAGGAACTGAACCCACCTTGGGGAGAGCCAAGTGATCAAACGAGTTCATGAGAGGAGGTTGGATGCAGAGCTGCAGCTGAGGTCTGTGACCCCTCCAGAGCCCAATGTATGCAAACCAGCCTGCAGAACTAGTCTCTTAGCTCTGACGATCGGACACCCTGCAGGTTACACAAACAACGTCAATATAAATAATCTGTTTCATAAGATAGTAGGATTCCGGAGTTGAATGCCTGGTTACCTATATAATTGGAAGATTTTAATGTTAGGTAACCTATATCTACCAGGTAGTAAGTACCTCTATGCTAAAACACAAAATACTGAAAACTGTCAACCTTTTAGGCTCAAACAATTCCAACACACTAATTGGCAATCTTATTCAGACAATAATATAACTCGATCCCTCCTGTGAACGTTATGCAGGTACCCGTGGCCCTGTCACCACCCCTGGGTCCATTGTACAAAACTCCCCACGGCCCTGTTGTTTTGATGATTTGACAGGTACGTTGACATTTTCTCATAGGAAATAGATAGCTGTCTATAATTATAGTTATAACTGATCAGGGCTAAAAGAATGGGCTGAAAATCATGCTATGGTGTAGGAAAAGCTGTTAGTAGGTATCCCAAAGTCTGCTATGAAATATACCTACTATTATATGATATGAAATCATGTTAATTTTATCTACCTTGTTCCCATAAAAAGCTCTAGAGCACTAGATAAAGCTAAAATGGTAGAATATAACATATAAGAACACTTTCCAAGGTTTGATAAATTTCATCTCATGACATCAAATTAAGTTGCTTCAACAATGCCATTGTCTAAAATTAAAATTAGAATCCGATACATCAATACTTCACATCTCTCTTCGCTTGCTTTTCTCGGAACTCGATGAGATCATGTGCCTTCAGTTCTTCTATATCCAGAGCATCTTCTCGTATCTGAGCTAGACTCAGCCAGCATTGGTGTATGATTTTCGCATCAAAAGTATACATGTACTCTTGATGGGTTTAATTCCTCTTCATAAAATTTCCTCCATGATCCTTGACCCCAGACACGAAACTATATACATCGTATCAGCCGTTTAAAGCACCTGAACATAGACAAATAGCTACAACATACTAGCGGATGTTACGCAATCGCTCGGATCACATGCTGTGATAGATCGGTTGAACTTTATCCGTATACCGCAGTAAATGGTGTTTTGACAGCGAAGAAAAAAAGATAGAGAGTTTAAAATTCGAAATAAACAAGGCATAAGTCATTTGGCTATTAGAAAATAAAATACCGCAGCTCTTTGATCTCGAGGTCAAAAATCTGTAGTCACTCATTCATATCTGTAGCGCAATTAGATAGCGCATGCGACTTGTCAGTTTCCAAAACCCCCCAGTTAGAAGGCTAACATGCCGAAGCTACCCGACAAGGTTGTCATCGTAAGGCTGCGGCTTCGATTTTGTTTCTTTGTCATTTCTCCCTTTCGTTTATACCACTTTACATCCACAAACGAAGCGAAAAGAAGCAATATATAGGGAGGAGGAGGGTCCAAGTTGAAAAGGAATGTCTATTTTGACGGGGGGCGGAACACAGGTGGAAAAATGCGGTGGTAGACTTAATTTGTGAAAACTGTACTTTTTCTACTCCGTACTTTGTATGTAGTAGAACCTTCGATATTTGATAACTAGGTGATATATTCTCATAACAGCAGATACATATATAGTAATCATTAGTAGGGTTTAATTACTTCCAAATTTTACACTCAAAATGTATCATAAACCAAACGTGGTAAGATTATTATCTCAATTGGATATCCACCCGGTTCTTTTTTACCCGCTGTACTTCCATTAGTGGTCCTTTAATTTTCACATATACCATACCCGATCGACATAAAATCTGTGAGTCCTTTGCCCACACGTATGGAAGCTACTCTGCTTGAATAACTAGTGTTGCCAAAGGCAAGCGGTTCCCACTGGGTCCTCTCACAGCGCCCTTTTGGGTACTACCAGCCCTAACCTCATGCCGTACATACTCATATATACTACAATACTCCGCCTTACCCATTACTACGTGAAAGGCATTTTTATATTATCGATCATTAGTCCCAATAGAAACGGGAAGATAGAAACAGAATATGTCTCAGAGTTCGCGATCTCATTCGTGAGCATGACCAACATATTAATTTTATAACAGTCCTAAAGTGAGTCGTCTAGATAACCCATGTGACAGTTTCCGGGCCGCAAGTTCCTACCCTAATCAGCCCGTAAGCAGACGCCAACAAGGTCTCAGATTTAGATCGGAATTCCGGTAGCAGCCAGACAAGACATCCCCATAATATATTAAGGCTTGGCGTTAGGCGAGAGGGAGATATGTGGAAGAATAAATTACAAGCCTGATGTCTCAGTGTGTCTGCATGACTTGGCAGTTATTCTAGCGTTTGAATCAGGGGTCTGGATCCTGAACCGAGCGGCATGATTCATGGGGAAAATACAGAGAAAAATGACGCTAATTAGGTAACTAAGCCCAATTTGGATATAGTATATGCACATTTAACCCAATTGAGGATTCGGCCGCGCTGACATATGCTGACAGCCAGATTATAGGCTATTTTGCAAAGAATCAAAATAACGCCAAATAACGCTAAAATGAGCGCGGGTGGTTTAGTAATTTATTACGGTCTGCTGAGCCGATGGGCTGGAAGCGAGACTTTTGGCCAAATTTCTGTTCAGTACTTTCTACATAATTTCTAGTGCTTCTTAGCAGTGGATCTGCTAGACCCTAAATACGCCTTGGGATTCTGGGGTCTCCGGGCACATTTCTTATGTAGTTGTTCATAGTGCAAGCTTAATCCTTGCAAGAAATACATATAACTTCGTTACCAGGCAATTCGACATGTTGACCGATTTATATAAAGTCCTTTAGCGGCTCTTGGTATGTTGATAGTACGGAGTATGCTTAGGCAATAAACTACTCCGTAGAAGTCTCCACAATCCGGAGTCTTGATAATTTACACTTTCATTTAAATAAATATTTTAACATTGTGGCTTATTCTGCGAGTCTCCTTATCTCGCAAATCACGGGCTATCGTGGTTGATAATCTTGTCCACTTGTGATAATTTCTCGGAGCGCCTCCGAGAAATGCCGATGCACCCAAGATTGAAGTAATCGCTGTATGTCTTATATTTTGCAGTGGCTCCCTACGGATGAGGTTCCGGGACTCCCAAGTTCTGTCTTTGGAAATCGTACCGCTCATTTATCCGAGAGAGCCCGAGTGACATTGAGATGGTGTAAACTCTGTCTGTATTATAAGATGAGCCTAGACTTAGTATACTGAGACTTGATGATACTCGGATCGGGTTGATCTATAATACTTAATACTAGGGTACTAGTATCAGCGCGTAGCGCTTCCTTTTTGGTAATTATTCCTATTTACTCCTATTTACTTCGACGCAATAAGTGAACCTCGAGGCCATCGTTATTAGTCTAAATTAAACGACTATCGTGAGAAAGGAAAAAGAACAAAGTCGTTGCATTGAGCTACACCGGGTTTCAATCTAAAATGGATCCCGAGACCAAGCAATGACTAGAATTCATCTATACTATCCACCGGGAGTGAAACTAGTACACGCTAAGCTTCAAGATTGGGACAGAAAGGGACAAAAAGGGTAAGAATGAAGTCTCTAATGCTCTGTCACCATCTGATAATCTCACAAATCCCACTTAATCTAACCGCCCCATGCAAGCCAAGACATGACGGTAGCCCCTTCTGGACATCTCGAGCACTGGCAGCAAACATCACCCACCACGGACAGCACGGCAAAAGTGGCAACAAGCAATGCAGTAAGCAAAGCAAGACCTTTGCAAGCCTTTTGTCATGATTATGAGACCTAGAGGAGAATAAGGGCCCTTGGCCCGGGAGGGCGAGCTATCCTCGACCCTGAGGTATAAAAGCAACCTCGTCCCCAGGTCTAGAGATATATCCAGCAGAACTCAGACAATCTCAACTCCTCTTCTATACCTACAAAAAGAATCTCATCTTCAAGATGTATATCTCCGCTGGAATCAAAGCAGTCCTCCTGCTCGCAGCCTCCGTTCCCGCGCTGGCATGGAACAGACTGGATAAGGACAAAGCAGTGAGTCAACTCCCTTAAATGAGAAATACTACCCAAAGAAGATAAAAGAGGAAGCAAAATCTAACAGCCACAACCCTAGGCCCTCCTCATCATCGACCACCAAGTCGGCCTTGCCCAAGTCGTGCGTGATTACAACACAAACGACTTCCGCAACAACATCCTTGGTCACTCTGCCCTTGGCAACGTCTTCAACCTCCCAACTGTGTTGACCAGTTCCTCGGACGCAGGACCTAACGGCCTAATGCTCAAGGAAATCACCGACATGCACCCCAATGCAACATTCGTCCGTCGTCAGGGTGAGGTCAATGCTTGGGATAATGCGGACTTCCGCGCTGCGGTCAAGGCCACCGGTAGGAAGCAGTTGATTATTGCTGGAATTGTTACTGAAGTTTGTAAGTGGAGCTTGTCGGGGGAAAAAGAAATGAGAAAGGAAAGAAAAACAAACACTAATATTCAATCCAGGCACCTCCTTCCTCGCTCTCTCGCTTGTTGATGCTGGCTATGAAGTCTTCGCCAATACCGACGCTAGCGGCACTTTCGATGTTAAGCTTGCTGAGGATGCGAACCGTCGTATGGAGAAGGCTGGTGTTACTCTCATGGGCTTGTTTGGTATTGTCTGTGATCTTATGCGCGATTGGCGCAAGACCCCTGGTCTTCCTGAGGTTCTGCCTTTCCTTGATAAGTAAGTTGCTACGTGTGTTCGATTCTACTGCTAGATCAAGGTTTCTAACTGTTATCTTGTCTGTAGGTACCAGTTTGCTTATGGTCTTGTTGCCCGTCACCACGCTGGAGCTATTCAGAATGGTACCTTTTTCCCTGTTGAGGGGACTTTGATTTAAGTCTGTTCACGGAATTGGGAAGTCAGATTTGGAGAGGTGAAGAGGTTGAGAGATTGAGAGGTCGAAACGAAGAGGTGGGAAGAAGGTAGTGGTACAGAAATGAAGACGGAGAGGGAAATTGGGGTATGAAAAAGAAAATTCTTTGGTGATTGGGTATATGTACTAGCTTTCTTGTAAAGATAGTACGTTGAATGCAATTATCCAAAAACTGATGTTACTGGTAAATCGTCTCGAGATTAGCTTAAGCTTTGCTAGGAAGCAAAGACGTAGAAGCGAATATAAACTGAAATAGTTTGGAATCAGACAGTGTGCTTGTAGATATATACATAATAAAAGAGAAAGCCTATAAACAAGTACTTGGGCATGGGTATCGGCAATGCAATATTTGCAAGGAAGATAGATATAAAAAAATTGGCAAATGACCCCGTATAGAGTTTGCGCTCTAGACCTGGCCTAGAGTACACATATACGCCGAAGCCGTGTAGTGATATGCGATAGTTAGAGATGGGTATGACGTAGATGGAGGCGAGGAAGAGAGAAAATAAACATCGCGTGTGTGATCCGTGGCCTCGATGCGATGGAGCCAAGTAGAAAGCGGAAAAAAACGTAACACAACAAGTATAATATAACCGCTTCAAATAATGCTAGCAATCGTCATTCGTGAGTGAGCCGAACTCAACCGTCCGTCCGTATCAGAAGCCGATTCCGACGTAAGAGTAGTAGTAGAAGAAGACGAAGCCTCCAGTTTCGGCGGACCGTAAGCCATCTGCTGATGTTGCTGTTGCTGCTGATGCTGCTCTGTGAAAAGATCATGTACGGTCTTCTCAATCCACTCCCACCCCTCCCACTCAACATCCGTCTCGATCTCTGCCCGATGGCTCGAGGATGTCGGCGTCGAGTTCCCCATCCCCTGCAATTGAGAGCCCGTCTCGGATCCATGCCATACCCAGCTACCGTCGCTAGTCCCTTGCATATCACCTGAGACATAAGCCATCATTTCTTCGTCACGCTCGAGATCAGCGACGTGGCCCTCAGTTGGGCGGAGGCGGGCCAGGAGATGGCGTAGGAAGAAGGCGAGGTATCGCCCACAGGCTGCGTTGACAGTGCGCACGTCGCCGATTGATGAGAGCGCTTGCACGCAGGCGAGAGCGCCGGCGTACTCGGCGCGGAAGAGGAGGAGGAGACTGCAGCGCCAGATATGTGTGCAGAGGAGGGAGCTGGCGCAGGAGGCGAAGTGGGAACGGGGGTCGTTGACGCATGGTGGTCCTGGGTGGGTTAGGTAGTTACGCATACAGCGGGCGAGAATGTTGGAGGTGTCTAGGGCTGTGGAAACACAGTAGTCCATTGCTGAGGTGCGGACCATGTCGGGGCAGAAGGGGGAGATGTTGTGGCGGTGGAGAAGGAGACGGGCGTTTTGGAGGTAGATTACTGGGGCTAGAGAGCGGGGGTCGAGGTCTTGGTCGGTTTTAGGGTGAAACTGAGATGGGAATGTTGCGAGGCATGTGTTGAAGTGGAGTTCGAAGGTCTCCAGAGTGGCTGGGCTGATGGTTGCCGAGCGTAGGGTGTGCGTGAGTTGGCCAATAGACCGGACGACGTGGATCGTAGCCAGCAGCGGCGTGGTTTGTTGGCTGTCTGGGATCTTGCCTCCCTCTGTGATGTATTGCTCATCCACGGGACATGGGAGATCGATATCGCAATCTTGATCGTTGATCAATACTGGCTTCCCCATCTCAAGCGCAAGTAATCTGTCCCAGGCGTATAGTCCCCACCAAAGACGCCTCCGCATCTCCCCTTCAACTGCAGGCCACGGCCCAGAGTCGATGTGCAGCCCGATCTCTTGAGCTACACGCACTGCTGAGCCAATCCACACCCAACTAGCCGACCTCGAATTAACCTCGTAGAGAAAGATGCTTGCCAACAGCGAGGCACGAGCACGATCTAAATTGAAGTTGTCGTGCCAAACATCAATAATCCCACAAGATGTGCGTACATATTTCTTTCCTTCCTCCTCCCGATTCGCCTCATTCGTGTGGATGGCACCACAGGCAAATACACCAAACAGCACAGCCGCCCATTCATTTGAAACACCCAACAATGTCCCCGACCGATAAACTTTTTCATATTCTGCGATGAATATGGGCCAATGGAGTACCGGAAGTACAGTATGGATACAATTGAAATACTGGGCCAGTAGATGATCTGCTAGAGTCTTCGGCGGTAGCTCCGGCGCATCCCCCGTTACCAATGACTGTGCACCCTGTTGACGGTATGGGGTGGGCACCTTCAAAATACCACGACCATAACGGCGGAGGTTGGACCGCACATCGGAGAAATCCTGTGGGATGGGCGCTTTTGAACGGCGCACGGGTCGATATTCAATCTCAGGTAATTTGACCATCGGCTGCGGGACACCTTCATCGACATCGACCATGCGATCCGGCCGCATCATACCGGTCTGCAAGTGCTGTAATTGTTGTTTTGTATTCTGCAACTGCTTCTCCAGATCCTGGACCTGTTTGATAGACGACATGCGACGGTTCGTCTCTTTGGTAAACTGACAACGGACCCTGCGATTGTTACATTCGGTGCAGCTGGATGATTCCGATGCGTCACATTTGACCTTGCGCTCGCGACAAGCATCGCAGCTGGGGTCCTTTCTACGCTGGCGATACGCGCGCTTCTGCTGTAACTGTGCGGCGGTTTGCCCATGCCCGGGGCTGGATTGGTAGAGACCTGGAACTGAATTCATTGGTGGGGCATCGGGCAGCGTAGTCTCAGCTGGTGAGCCAGAGGCGGAGTCGTAAAAACGCTGATAGGGTGACGTCGCGGGCACAGCTGGAGGCATAGGCTGTAATAAATGAGACATTCGCATCCCGCTGTCAGGTCTGCTCGGCGGAGCGGAAAGCAGCGCGGGAGCCGGGAATGCGCCCGACGTCACCGACTGCACCGGTGGGAGGTCGTAGCCTTGGTTACCACGAAAATGAGAAGGCTGCATGATGGATGTATTCCCTTAGGAAACAAAAGGAAAAGTGAGAATCTTGGAAGCGGATTAAGATAAGGGTTATCGCCACAATTCCACGCATTCAAAGATTTCGATTTATGGAAATTGAAAAGCCATTGTTAGAGATTGAAATAAGAAGTGAAAAAAAAAAGTAAAAAAAGTAAAAAAGAATAAGCCCAAAAGCCCGGACAAATATGCAAATGCCGAGGTAGCCCAGATAGCCCCAGGTGGGAAAGGTGAAGATCAAGGAATTCCTGTGAAGAAAGGGGAGATCGGGGAATGTAAGATCAACGTTAAAGAGGAAAGTAAAAAAAAAAAAGGTAAAAAGAGAAAAAAGAGGAAAGAGGAAAAAAGAAAAAAAACCGAACTATAGATCGACGCAGAGTATTACGATCTTCCTAATTCTACTACTAGTGTTCCGTCAAATTAAAAGAGAATACTACTAGTAATATATATATATTGTATTGGGTTTAAAGAACCTTCAACTGATCTGAGAGTATATTTTTTATGCGTACGGAGTAGTATACAATGTATGGTAATATATAAAGCAAGTCAACCCGAGATCGACAGTGGCAGTGTTGGAAGTTAGATACTTAAATACTTAGTAGGATATTTGTACTTGATTACAGCTTATATACAATTTAAAGTGGTTAATAAAGCCTTAATAGTGCAGATTACTGAGTAATAGTGTTAATAGTGTTAATATGTTTAATCTGATATCCAAAAAAAAAAGGAAAGGAAACAGGAAAAAGACGAAGTCCATGAAGATCTCGCCCCTCTAAGTGATCGACTTCGGAAGACATGCACCGGGACCACATGGAATCGGATGGTTGGCCCGGATCCCAACTTGGCTTTTTTTTTTTTTTCTCTGTTCTAAAGTAGTACTCTACCTCGCCTATCAAACCCAACTCTGCCCGGGGTTTAACCGATTTCGTATCTATGATATCCTGAGCCAATAGTCCAACTTAAAAAACTCCCTCTCTTTGATTATAAACCAAACCTCCGGGGCTCCACCCTATCTGGGTTTGGTGCCGAGAGTCGGAGAATGTATCCAATACAGTACGACTGGTGCTTAATTTCATGCATGTGTTGTTACTGGTGGGTATAATGAATGCTGTGCAGGGGAAAAATAAAAGAAAAAGAAAAATGGAGCACAGACAGCCTCAGCCGCTTAGCTACTCCATATAGGTACGGAGTACGGAGTCCTTTGTGAATTGTTAGTGTACGCTTCCGGAACTTCTCCGGTCAGATCATCAAGCCAAAAAAAAAAGTTAGGCAAAACATAGAAACACTGAGTATTGCATTTGGGCCCTTGCAGAAACACAAATTGTGCGAGTACTACTTCGTAGTTGTGCCACCGTTAGCGCATTCCCAAATGTTGCCATCCGTCAAGGCTTGACCCTTTTTTCCCCGCCCTCGGTTAGAAATGGGCTTGGGAGTTAGGGAATTGGGGCTTTGGACTTGCTCCGAGCTAAGATACCCTCGTGACAGGTTGTTTTGCCGAACTTAATTTGAATGTTATTAAAAAAAAAAAACCACTAACAGTCTATCATATCCCTAGCTCGGCAAGGAGCGACACGTTGGATAACAGGGGCCCGTGTGTATGCACGAGCTAAACGCTTAACCCTAACGAACACAGGTTTTTACTCGGTTCGTGCCGCTCGGAAGTATTCTCCATATAAATAGTATGCAGGGGTTCAACAATAACACGTGTAAAGTAGTGTGCACTTCTGACATTGCCCCAATGATACCTGCAGAAATATATAATTACCTGTTGGTTTTACTAGTTTGAAGCTAGCCAAGAGACCTTTCCTGGGTTTCGGAACTTGCGGTGTACCATAACTTCCTCCACTGTTGGTATTTGCAGCCTCTTGATTTGATAGCCTCTGTTTGGGAGGGATCCAATTGGAACACTTCCATATAACGACTATCAATTGCGCCCCATTCTACCTAATTTTATATACTTTGTCCGTACGGTACCTGGCTCTCGGTTCACTTGGGACGGGGTTATTCGCCATACGATAGGCATACACAGATCGGATCCTTGGGAAAATAGCAAAAATAGCAATCTATCTATGCGCCCCGAATGTGGCATTGCTTTCATCCCCCCCACTTTCAAGGGCCAGTGCCAATATGCCTGTCTAGAAACAGATTAGGTCCACCTCAACCGTACGAAGTACTCCATACAACATAGGTCAATCTAAATACTAATATGTATATGTACGGAGTATACATACCATAAATTGCAATAATCATTGTTTTCGTACGGCCATGGCTCCATGCCCCACAGCGGGACAACGATCTCGATGAAACATCCGTTAGCCGAGCCATTCCGATTTGCTCTGCTTCACAACTGTCACGGTTGGCAGCCCGAGACACCCGATGTCTTCCGTGTGCTAGTCCACGGGTGTGTCTCAGATCAATTGGGGATCTGAGATACCGACTTCGGGTTGTCTACCGAGTTGATGTTAAATGCTTTCTTTTTTTTCACTTGTATCGTGGGGAGAATTTTATTTTTTAGTATTTTTCGTTCATTAGGCTTGATCGGGGATTCCGAGTTATGCAAGTGCCAGTATGCCAATGTGGAGTAGATGCAACGGTGATATCGGTGATAAGCACAACATAGATACTCCGTACATAGTACTCAGTACAACATAGTATCCTAGCGGAATCAACGTGCATGCGAGGTCTCATAATACCTCAAAACTTCACTATATTTGTGCCTTTATTTTACCAAGTCAGGCTTTTTTTTATTTTATATTGATATGTCTGTCACCCACATGGAAAAGGTGGATGAGCAAGGATATTGACACCACCCACAGGGATTCCGTTACACATCTATGGACAGTACATTACCTATATAGCCACGTGCTGGATATAACTCCACCCCACTTCCCTAAACGACCAAGTAAATCAGAATCTAGCGCCAAGTCCTGCGCATTCCTCACAACTGACAGACTAAACTTAGCAACCTATCCCCAAAGCTAAGGACACCAACTCATTTGCCGCGAAGCTTCTCCTTCACAACATTGCAAGAACATCGGCCAACTACGAGTATATGCTCGCATTGTACTCCGTACGGAGCACATATTCCAGCGCCTTGTCAGGTGCAGTAGACTAGACCGCATGCGCCCACTCCCGAGGAGCCTAGAAAAAGGTTACCCACACTCTTATCTTTCAATAAAGGTTCGGTATTTCCAACCGAACTGAAGACGGGATAATATCGGGATCAAATAGGGGGTTGTTCTCGGAGTCAACGGCAGGGTTACTGATAACTTTGCATGAGCCTTGCTGATATACTTGCAATTCCACGTAAAGTTAAAGCCGCGCCCAGTGGAACCAGAATAGAAGCTGATGGATCCAGGGCATTCATTTATATCTTCCGTTGAAGTCCACCCCATAAGTACCTACAGGCAAAGCTCTCCGAAAAGCGCCAATCAATTGATGGAGGCTGCAGCCGAGTCCAGGCTTGTACAAGTCATACGTGTGGCGCATACACGACGCGCGTTCAGAGGCTCAACGACAAGCCTTTTACTCATAATGAGTAGTATGTACATACCTGTTAGCTACGCAAACAGCGTGGCGTAGCTGTCCAACGTGCCACGACTCGTTTTAGTGTGTGGCGTGGAGTAGCGCTGGAAAGTCCTGTAGCCGGCCTTGTATGTGCTGATTTTCAACCGGCGTTCGCCGTGAGAAGCTTCTTTTTCTCTGATTTGTGGACCCTGGATTGCCCTCGGGTATTTGCGTGCCGATGACTAGGTGGCCAATTACCGAGGGGTCTGTGAGGTTATTATTTAGGGGGTAGAGACTGCCGTTGAGGCTAGAATATTGGTGTCCGTATTTCTTTGGCTTAGGCTCAAAGTACGGAGTAGTTGGGGGATGTTGTCTCTCGCCTTTGCAGTCGTTGTACAAGCTCATGCCAGGCCTACACTGCCGGTGACTGGTCCCGGTATCAAGGATACCACGGAGCCCGGATAATTGCATAACCGTGAATTCTTCCAGACAATAATCAAACGAGAGATAGCAAGAATTGTCTGTGTGAGAAATAAAAAGAGCAAGAATTCGGTCAAACCCTTGTGAATGAGTAGTTGCTCCAATTAAGTATGTGATTTTTGATGGAGGGCTGAAACAAAAGTTGCATATTTCGTTCCATACACTTTTATTTAGCGCTTCCAGCCTTCTCCTGCTTGTGCTCTTCCCATTTCTCCATGATCACGTTGATGATCTTGGTCAGCCCTTCCATTTCCTCTGCGACTTCCAATCCCATGCCATGGGGGTCAATACTGCAGCCAACATGGACCGGGACAGAAAATCGTCGGGCCAATATCTTGGCTATGCGGGATGTGTATTCAATGCTAGATGGTGATGTGTAGAGTGTTGTTGATATTGTCGACTTGGATGAAGTGCGCTATGTAAATGTTAGCCATGTCTTGATAACGCAAAAATAATCTATTGGAAAAGATAGGAGAATTCGAATTATATGATGTGGAGATATCTCTTTAGCGCGACTAGTCTCCTGCCTAATTGAAAATTGGGGTTGGGTTGTGCACGGCAGATTGCAGCATATCCCACTTCGAACTGAATAGGGAAGAGCCACTCTGCAGCTAAGCTAAACAACAACGCACCCCTTGTCCATATTGTATGGGATGGAAAAATGACATTGCTTTTACTTGAAATATGACAAAGAATTTTAAAGTTGACAGGTAAGGTACTTACATCAGGCATCGCATAGACGAAGCTCCCCATGGGCTTGATAGAGCCGCCCGAATCACCCGGCGAGGAGGTAGCTAGGAATACCATAGCACAATGGTCCAAGAAGTTCAAGTGAACATGTGCTGTTGTATGCAATGCTTTAGGCAAGGTGAACGAGATCTCTTGAGGCTTAACGCTGGGAGCGACTAGCTCGGCCGAAGGAACGGCTGGTGGGGCTTCAGTCGCCATATTGTTGTGGTGCTGGTTCTTGATGTAAATGAAGAAATAAGAAATATATTAAAAAGAAAGTGGAGGCAAGAATGGTATTTAGACAGGTTGTTGAAAGTCGGAACATTCAATATCGAATCCCCGCCCTGGCATTGTTACGGTGCGCCACAACAGCCACTCGTGACTGAATTCCTATTTGGCTCAGTGTTATTGCCGGCAGAAATCACTAGCCGGTTGTCTCCTGGTGTCCACACAAAAAAAGACCCACCATAAATATCAAATATGGATGAGGTGGATGAAAGATTGCTTGGTCTTACCCCGTGCCGTTTCCTGAATAGATACTATGACCATATATATACGTTCATATATCTAGGTAATTAGGCTACAGCTATATATCCACCTTATAGTGTTCATATTCCAGATAAGAAGGCGGAGAGATTAGCGGTAAAGCCAATTGACCCAATAGGAGCCATTGGTCGCCTTAATGAAGGATTTCCCACTGTTTGTTTCTTCTGCCCCTCCATATACTTTCTCTGTCTCCTTTTTCGTTTTTTTTCCCCCAACAATTGTTCCTTCTTTGCCGTTGCCAGCTCTCTCCTGGGGTGTGTGATGCTGTAGCATTGAGCAGCAGCGTTAGACGTGGAGCTAGTTTGACATCTGACAATCTCCGTATGGCATCTGAGCATCAAAAGCCCCAGACCGGGGAAGAGAGCAGTTGGGGAGGTGACTTTGACCCTTTTGCTGATCCTGAAGAGCGTAGGGTACTATTTGCTGCATTTGACTCATTCAGGTACGTGAGTAGACAGTTGATTATAACATATGTCTTTTTGGCCTGTAGCTTCTGTATCGGGTTAAGACGACCAATTACCTAGATACTACTACATTTGCAATGGTTTTGGCTAATCCGCCCACAGACAATATCGGCGAAATGCGCATATGAATACAACTCATCGTCGACGGCAAGCTTTCTATGCCCTACCTTCGGCACACTGGCAGATGCTTTCGGAGCCTCCATTCTCCATTCTCGATAACTTCAACAAGGTGGATGATGCTATTGATACCAACGCTGATATCGCCGATGCAATTCTGGCGTTAGGTCTCCAGTCATTTGGTCTTTCTGCAAACCCCGACACAACTGACCCTACTCAGAATTGGCATGACATAGCAACTTCATCAGATGTCAACAAAGCGCACTCAACGATACGTCAGTTCTATCGTGACTGGAGTGTCGAAGGACGACCCGAGAGAGAAGTCTGCTATGACCCCGTTCTCCAGGCTCTCAACGAGGAGTTCCAGACACGGCGTGATAGCGGAGAGGAAATCCGTGTTCTGGTCCCTGGCGCTGGCCTGGGCCGTTTAGTTTTCGAAGTCTGTATGGCAGGCTATGACGCTGAGGGAAACGAGATCTCCTATCACCAGCTGCTAGCCAGTAGCTGGGTTCTGAACCACACCGAGGGGCCGGCAAAGCATGCTCTTCATCCTTTTGCATTGCATTTCTCCAATCTCCAATCCCGAACACAACAACTCCAGCAAGTTATGATTCCAGACGTGCACCCTGGCTTCGCCATGCAGGAGGCTATCAGTGCTGGTCGCCGTTTCGGTACGATGTCCATGTCCGCAGCGGATTTTACTATATTGTATACTCAGCCAAACAACCACGAGATGTTTGACGCAGTAACGACCGTTTTCTTCATTGACACGGCACCAAACCTTATTCGGTATATCGAGACGATCCGACACAGCCTCAAGCCCAACGGGCTCTGGATTAACGTGGGTCCACTCCTATGGCATTTCGATGACGGCCACTCCCGTAGAGGAAATGAATCCGGATACGAGGGGGCTGGGATTGGCGAGCCAGGAAATGTGGAGCTATCCGAGGAAGAAGTGCTGAGCCTTGTGGAGCGCATGGGCTTCCGCCTCGAAAAGCGTGGAGACCGGAAGGCTTGTGGCTACATTCAGGATCCCAACAGCATGCTTCAGAATCTTTATCAGCCATCACACTGGGTGACACGAAAACTGGCGATTTAAAGGGGGGCTGGTCGGAAAGCGGACAAACCCCTGTAATTCAGAGAAACAGGTAGGCTAGACAAGGCTGTTTTCGCCTCCCCGATTTGTTTTCACCTTTGGGGGCCAAAACTCGAGACAAAGAGAGATCTTAATAATGGTCTGAGGATTATTCTTCGGTCAGTTAAAAAAAAAAGGGGGGGGGGGGGACTTGAAAATATCTACTCCATATAGCCTGCATACTACCTCAACGTAGTAGTTCACATACAACATAGTTCACAAAGAACATATATGTACTCCGTACCCCGCGGAGAGAACTGGACGCCAAGCGAATGGGTGAGATTGAATGTGTTCAAAATAATAATTTGAGTGATTTGAGTTGGAGGTTTATATCCCACCTGGGCATCTATCTACTTATCGTATAATATCTTATAGACAATATGGAACTGACTATACCCAAGTATAACCGGGTTTCAGCCTCACCCAGAGAGTCGGGAATTTAAAATCTTCATATCTCTTTCTTCTTCAATTTCTTAATTTTCCTAATTCTCCTAATTTCAACTAAATTATATTGTAATTACTTCAGTGTTTCATTCTTTCACTCTTTGATCTCCACCGTAAACCTCAGCCTCACTTTCCCCCTCTTTCATCTTTTTCCCCCCCTTCACATTTTCTTATCCTTTTCCCTCTTTTGTCGCCTCACATGGATCTCATGAGTTCCCGATTTAAGTCATTTGGCTTTAGGCACAAACATAAGACTACTTCTAGTACCAACCCACCGGTTCCAACTCCTATCCCTAGCTCTCCACCCCCCTCCGGTCACAGTTCATCGACAACAAGTCTCTCAATGAACCAACCACAACCACAACCACAGTCAGGCCGACCGCCAAGTTACACAAACAACAGACCCACCAGCCCAATGGTACCTAGTCAACTTCCACCCATCGCCTCAACCCTCCAATACAATCCGTCAAATGCTCCCATGGGCGGCCCACCGGGCTATGGCATACAGCATATGGCTCCTAGTATCCCCACCTCACTGCCTAATCCTCAGTATCTAGGGCGTAATCCTGCGGTCGAGATCGAGGGCGGGGGTCGGAGCAAGGCTCAACTAATTGTCGGTATTGATTTTGGTACAACTTTCTCGGGTGTCGCATATGCATTCGCGACCAACAACCAGGCAAGCGAGGATATCATCACGGAATGGCCTGGGGCCGGAACCCACGCAAAGCAAAAGGTTAGCATGGACTAAATATAATCTATGGAGGCGAGTCTGACGCCTTCTCTGCTAGATTCCCACCGTCCTCTACTATGACCAATACCAAAAGGTGGTAGGATGGGGCCCCGATATCGCCGACGCTCTCGCCCCGACCGGATACCCCAAGCCTCAAGTGCAGAAGGTCGAGTGGTTCAAGCTTCAGCTGATGCTCTCTGGAAACACCTATATCGACCCAATAAACCTGCCCCCGCTCCCCCCCGGAAAGTCTGAAATCGATGTCGCTGCCGATTACCTCTTCAAGCTACGACAAGCCATTCGCGCTCAGCTTCAAAAGGCTCTGGGAGAGGTGTTCACACGTGAGGAACGTAATATTCGATACTACTTGACGGTACCGGCTATTTGGAACGATGCTGGCAAGGCCGCGACGCGAACCGCTGCTATTCAAGCTGGCTTCTTGCGCGACGAGAATGATAACCGTCTCACACTAGTTTCAGAGCCCGAGGCAGCGGCCTTGTTCTGTGCCAAGAGTGGACTGCTCAATTTGAAGGTGGGCGACGCTATTTTGATTGTGGATTGCGGCGGTGGTACCGTGGACTTGATTGCATATGAGGTCGAGGAAGAGCAGCCTTTCAGTGTGATGGAGTGTACTGCCGGGTCTGGTGACTCGTGTGGTTCAACAGCACTGAATCGGAATTTCAGTAACATCTTGCGCGCAAAGATTCGCAAGATGAAGCTACCGGATGGCTCTCGGACTGCGGGCAAAGTCTACGCGAAGTGTATCATGGACTTCGAGAACCGTATCAAGGCCGACTTCCGCAATAATGGGCAAAAATGGGCAGTGGACGTGGGTATCGAGGCCGACTTCCCCGATGCGGGTATTGAGGAGGGCTACATGACATTCATGAACGAAGAGATCCTTCAGTGCTTCGAGCCCGTCGTGAACCGTATTCTCGAGTTGGTCCGCAACCAGATCATCGCGATTCAAGCACAGAACCGTCCGATCCAGGTGAGAGCATATCGGCCTAGTCTTGAGAGTAGAGCTAACAAGTTTATAGAACGTTCTGGTCGTCGGTGGATTCGGTGCTTCAGAATACCTTTTCCAGCAGATCAAGCTCCATGTGCCGCCACAATATCAGGCAAAGGTGGTCCGCCCGATGGACTCTGTGGCTGCAATCGTCAAGGGTGCAGTTACCGCAGGTATCACCGAGCGCGTTATCACACACCGTGTAGCACGTCGGCACTACCTTATGGCCACGCTTCAGCCATTCAAGGAGGGCTACCACCCAGAACAGTACCGTGTGCCCAGTTTGGATGGTCGTGATCGATGCAAGTACACCCGTCAAATTTTCGTTCAAAAGGGAGAGCGTGTTAGAAATGGCGAACCAGTCAAGGTCAGCTTCTTCCGTCAAGTTGCACCTGGCGCCACCCTCATGTACGAGGATGTGCTGTACGCCTGCGACGAGGATGTCTGCCCTGAGTACACCAAGGATCCACGTAAGTTGAGATATTCCATTTTCCTTGTATACACTACTAATTCTTTCCTTAGGCATCAAGGAAGTTGTCACACTCACATCCGATCTGTCGCGCAAGAACCTGGAGACCGACTTCGAGCGCATGGACACCCCACAGGGTATCTTCTACCGTGTCTACTTCGATATCTACCTTACACTAGACGGCAGTGAATTCAGTGCCGAACTAGTCTGCCAGAACGAGATCATGGGCCGCTGCCGTGCCAAGTTCCGGTGATTCAATAACTTTCGCACACAGGAAACACATCTCAGAAAACACAAATACGCGCGCCGTATATACATCCCTCCTGTACGAGGCTCACGACATCGGCAAACAGAGGTGTGGCCATGACTTACGCTTTGTTGATTTGAATTCCCCTCACATTGGTCTTGGATCGGTAAATTGGTCAAATACTCCTAATCGGATGACCGGAACTCACTGTGCCGGCGAATAGGCGTTATGTGTGTTGATTCTTGCAGAATCCTGTGCCGTTCCCAAATATATGCCACAGTTTTGTGCCATTTCTTTTGCCTACTTGTTTAGTCGGCGATCCCTGTTTGTGATTTGGTTCTTTTCTTCTTTTTATTTTCTCTTGCCCCTTAGATACCTCTTGACTATTGTGTTTTGTTTGAATGATATTAACGAGCTGTGGTCCTCATCTATAATATCCAGCTCTATCTACATATTTAGAACTCCATGTACTCATGATTATGAGTAGATATGAAGCGGATGCCATGCCATCTAATCTATCATGAAGGTCATCCATTCCACATATTTGATCTAGACAACAATTGAAGATTGTCAAACCTCGATCCCCATTTTTCAGTTAGATGATAGAAAATAATGAGAAACAAGTCCCAAGAGGCAAAAACTGAGAGTGGTAATAAATCCAATTCATCCCAATTAAGTCTCCAGGTTAATGCTCCGGCCAAACCGCGCATACAGCGCCACCTTCAGCTGCTGCATTTCTTCACGTAGCTCACCAAGCGAATCCTCCAGCTTGGAAACATCTGCGTCGATTTTTTCTGTTGATGTGGAGAGCATTGCTTGCGCGTCTGATAGCGGTAGTTGGAAGAATGAGTCGCCGATTTTGTAACTGGGGGTTTGTTAATGATGGCTTCTTTATTCTTGCGCTTTGTTTTTCCAGTTGTCTCGCAATATTCCAAGATGAGAGTGCAGAGAGCAACCACAATGGAACATGTTTAAAAAGAAAATAAAAAGGAGATGGGAAGAGGGTATTCCTTACGGCACAAGCTCGTCTTCATCAGCAAGCTCCAACTCCATCGAAACCTCTTCCAAATCCTCCTTATCCTTCTATAAACTAGTCAGTAAGAGATTCAATACATGGCAGAAAATAAGATCGTTAAAAGGACGTTTCCATACCTGCTTTCCCTTCAACTGCTCCTCGAGCACAGTCTCGCGCTGATGCAACCGACTGAACCGGTTAATCTTCTCCTGATCCTCGCGACGGACTTCATTCTCATCATTGGCGGATGTCTCGTCCGCTTTTGTGAGCTGTGAGTTGGTCCCGTTAGCTCGAGACCTGGCCTTTGGTGGGGTGTGTCGCGCTTGAGCTTAGTGGGGGTTGGCTTACCATACGCGGCTGCACCATTTTGGTTGTCTTGTGCGGAACGTGTTTGGTTGGATTGGGGGATTTATCTGTTCTTTTGTGTTTGTGCTTTTGTTTTGTCCTCGTTGCGGGTTGGTTGGTTTGCGCATTTGATATCGGGTTTGAGTGGGTGGTCCGTGCGTGGCGATGAGCTGGATGAGTTGGTATATCAAGGTGGAATAGGATCTATACAATATATATACAGCCCTGAAGAGTGCTATCAGGTCTTGTTTCTGCTTCTTTCTCAGGATATATATGTTCTTTTCGCCCTCTTCTATCTTCTTTACTTCAATACATCGGGTTGAGTAGGCCATCAGGTACTCGCAGTGACATTACAGTAGCTCTTATTTTGCAAATAACATAAATCAAAAATAAAGAACATTGATAAAAGTACCTAAACTTCAGAAATAGCTTCAAATACTTTAAGGCATCTTCATTTCGAGTTGAGCGTAGGCATCACCTTTTAGTGCCCAAAACACCGCCACCGGAGAAACGAAACACCTCCGCAGGGACAACCTCGTCATCGTCACTTTTTCCACTTCACGCCCACAAAGCAGATCTCTTCAATCTTTATTGAACTGCAGTGGTCGTACTTTTCCTGTGTACAATCTGCCCTCGTGACCATTTCCAGCTGAGCTATCGAGCTCCATCCCACGCGAAAGCCTTATCCTAGCTTTCATCGGTCTCTCCAACCTACCCTTCGCGACCAAGCAGCACATTGATCAAAATGCAAATACAATCAAGCGGATTCTCACTCCTCCTCTCCGCCCTCCTACCCAGCCTGGCATCCGCGTCTGGTTTCGACTGCGCGGACATTAGGCTCAACAATTACAAATACGATCTCAGTCCCCTAAAAGGTGTCCATGAGGTGACTAATACCGTGACGACGGACGACTTCGTGACGAATACAACCTACCGATTGAATATCTGTAATATTCTCGGTAGTGCTGCCCGGTTTGACGGCGCGACGTGTGGGACTAGCAAAAATAGTACGTACCAAGTTGAAATGACGCGACCATGTTGAAGTGGTCTTCTGTTTCGGGTGATCATGCTGATTGATATATTGTTTTTAGTTTGTGGATTCGCTCACCGAAAAGCAAAGGATGGAAATGGTGGCTCTACGTTCGGATTCCCGATCGTCGGCCTTGAACCCCTTGGCCAAGGCTCGAAAAACCCACAACTGAAGCGATTGAAGGATCTCGACCCGGAGACCGAGGGGCTGCGCGTTAGGCTGGAAGGTGGCTCATACAAGGGAGATGGCAATGATCAGAAGGCCAAGAAGGCAGCCGCTGTCATTGACTTCCAGTGCGACCACGAGCGATCTGGACTGGAGGGCCTGCGTACCCTTGCAGATGAATTGGAGACGAAGGAGCGACGAAAGAGAGTGGAAGGCGAGGAAGGTGGTGGCTTGCCGGCGGGAAACAGCACCTCGGGCAACAGTACCAGTAGTCTGCAGTTCAAGAGCTTTGCTCAGTCTGATGATGATACCTACATCCTGAGACTGGATTGGCGCACAAAGTATGCCTGCGACGAGTTCGAGGATGACAAGGGCGATACTCCTAGCTCTAAGAGCTGGGGTTTCTTTACTTGGTTGATCATCATGTGAGTCTTGCTTGGTTCCTAGGGGCTTTATTTTCTTGTTCCTACTTCTGCTTTGGAACATCCTACTAATCAGTATATTCAGTGCCTTCCTCTGCATCGCTACTTACCTCATCTTTGGCTCATGGCTCAACTACAACCGTTACGGCGCCCGCGGCTGGGACCTACTCCCTCACGGCGACACCATCCGCGATATCCCCTACCTCTTCCAAGACTGGCTCCGCCGTGTGATCAATACCCTGCAAGGATCGGGCTCGCGGGGTGGGTACAGTGCGGTATGAAGGGACTTAGCTTGGATGAATTGGCACCTAAGGTCATTTGTATTTTTGGATGAAGATTCAATATCTTCTTTTGTCCAAGGCTGAACGTTTTCTTTTTTATTCTAGATTATTACAAATACTGAATAGCTTCCAAAGTTATTATATATATTGGGATTTCTGCTTATGACAAGCGAGGATTGCTGTTTGACAGTCTCGTAGTTCAAGCCATCCAGAGCCGTGATATATTGATTCCTCCTTTTGACCTCTAGGCATCTATGATCCACGTCTCCGTGCTGAGTTAGAAAACCACGGCGAACTCAGTCACTAGCTATATAAATACTCGGTTTACATCTTCTTTCCCTTCTTTCCCTTCTTCAATTTGACCTTTGTGCCTTTTCACTTTCAGGGTGCCCCAGAACATCTCGCTAACTTCAAACGACAAATGGTATCTTGGCCTACTTCCTCACCAGGGATAATCATATACCCACAGCAAACAAAGACGGACTAGGCCCACTAGTGCCAGATCAGCACCAAGTCGCAACACGTTAATCTCACAAGCAGCAACCTTTTAATGAGCAATTATATCAAGTAGGGTTTAAGTGATCAACACAAGCATCTGCGAGGTCCATCATGATCTTCTATAATATCCACCTTTACTATACTACTGGAAAAGTTTGAAGCTCTCCGAGATTATTTCCATCACTATCACAAAGTTGGTGGGAGTTCTTGTAATTCAAGTCTACAATTTCCTCGCAATGCTTAGAACTGTCCGAAAATCGGACTTGAATTCCTCTGACTTGTATCCACCTGAGCAATAGTATCTCTTCTCATGACTGTTAGCTAGTGAATTTTGTTAGATCATAGCGTGTACAACACACTTTCAGGCTTGTAGACTGCGTAATTTGGGTAGAAATAACCGGATGTCACCGGATAGAAGCCAATGGATATTGGGCGTGCCTTCCTGTTTGGTCAGGTGTATTCCTTATATTGTATGTTGTATATTGTCAACAGCCAACAGAGCATTTTGTGTCCAATCAACCCCGTATTCATTGGTGTACATTGAAAATACAAGCCTAGTGCCAATATGCCAAGATTACTCTGCCAATATGCCAAGACTACAAAGACTACTCCACCTTCGATCGGCCTTTTGAACCCCTCAATCTGGCAACCCCGACCGATCCTTCAGACTCCGAGTATGTCTGACGGATGCGAAACCTACACTGCCTGAGATGTATGTTGTAGAAACGAAGAGATTGTTATATGCCAAACCAATGATAATAGTTGCCAAGCCGGGGAATTGTATCGTCGACAGGGGAATGAACCCCGGTGGCTTATATCAACCAAAGAAATCAGCGGAGTTACCTGGGTCAGCAGGGTATTATAGCCCAAAACCAGCGACGTCCTCGGGGATTTACTTGGCATTCGGTTTCGCATCCGAGGCCCCCCTTCATCTTCAGGGCAGTTATGCGTGAGAACTGCAGGAACAGCTCTTCCTCTGCATATACGGAGTAGCATACCTCAACATCGGTTGTACACGTATATAGGCGCATCAGATAAACGACCCTTTGTCTAAACAGGATATATCAAGCTCACAACCATGGTACTATGACAATAACTACCGGTGCTCAGCGGAAGAGGCTTTCTCCGTTCATCTTCAGCCCCGATGATCATTACCCTGTTGCGAGACTTGCATTTCAGGGCTTGACTCGACAAGACCAATTAAATGAAGGATTAATATTGTACAGGACTTCTCAGTGGTGGACCGTCGTTAGCTTGCTTCATCAGATAAGATGAAGGGTCCCACTAATAATGCGGACTTCATTACGCGAAGGTGGGCCTGTCGGAGGAAAGGATTGCACTACAACCCTGAGGGAAAAGATCGGTCCCTCAGACCGTTTTTCCGTGGAGATTTTTTTTTATCTATAAGTATAGTAGTGCCAGAACAATAACGGGCCCCGGTTGAACTACTGTAGTGCACTCATTTCTTTTTGGCCATGCGTTTTTCTTCCTCGATTGCCCTGTTGGGCGTTGCCTTGCCACAGGCTTTGGCTCTGTGCCCATATGCAGAGCAGATAAACGTTGAAAAGAAGAGCACGCCTCCTCCGTCGCATATGAACTTACCGCGCAAGGCATCATCTTCGTCCAACAAGAAGGGCATCTTTTATATGAACCGCATTGCTCCTGGAACATCAGAGCTGTACATTGCCAACACTGATGGCACCGATGAACGTCCTCTTCTGTCCAATCCTATCTTCGAATACCATGCCGACTTTTCCCCTAATGGAGAATGGATCACCTTTACCGGTGAACGGAATGGTGACGGCAATTCGGATCTCTACCGCGTCCGAACTGACGGGTCTGGCCTTCAGGAGTTGATAGCAACCTCCTCGATGGAAGACGGAGCTGTCATTTCTCCGAATGGAAAGCAAATCGCCTATGTGTCCACTGCCAATGGCTACAAGGCCAACATCTGGGTCATGGATCTGGAGACTGGCAAGAAATGGAATCTCACAGATACTGCCTCGACCGCTGCCGATGACTCTGTTCCCAACGGCTACTTCCGCCCTTCGTGGTCGCCCGACGGCCAATGGATTGCTTTCTCGTCGGACCGTAACACTGACTGGTACGGACACGGAGAGCCGATCTTCCAAGGTGTCAGCGGCTGGGAACATACACAGGAGCTGTCTATCTACGCCATCCGCCCCAATGGATCTGATTTCCGTCTCGTCACATCGAAGCCCGAATACTGTCTTGGTTCGCCCAAATGGTCACCTAATGGTGAGCGTATTCTCTTCTACGAGATCACTCGCGAGGACACCTGGAACGCCCACCGTCCTGAATCACTGAACTCCGCCAGCTCCACCATTGTCTCGGTGGACTTTGCTACAGGCACTGACCGCCGCGTGGAAGTCGATGGAAAGGGTGTGAAGAGCTTCGCTCAATACATTTCTGATACCACTATCGCCTACTCCGTCAAGGGTGCCGGTATCGAAGGACTCTACACCACTGCTGGTGGATTTGTGAACACCTCTACCGAGATGATTCGCTCTCCTGCCTGGTCTCCAGATGGCAAGAAGGTCGTCTACGAAAAGACCGTCTGGAATATCCGTCCTATGGATAAGCAGCTGTACAGCTGGGACTCGGAGTGGGAATACCGCCACACAGACGTCTTCCCGCAGCTGTCCAACACCAACACCATCGCCCTGACCGAGAAGCAGCTTGGAAACTCTTCCATTGTTTCCTTCAACGCCAATGGAACCAACGAGGGTCTGATCTACAATGCCATGGAATCCGGCTTTGTTGATGGATCTTCAGTCGGCAGGGGCACTGCAGGCGCCTTTAACCCCGCCTGGTCGCCCGATAGCAAATGGGTCAGCTTCGGAGTAGGCTTCTGGTTCCAAGGCCGTGCAACTGGCGGCGGCTGGCTTGTACGAGCCACTGCCAACGGCACGTACTCCGAAATTCTGACCGAGAGCCAACCGACCCTCGAGAGCAACAGCAGCGTCATTAACTCCGGCTTCCCCAGCTACTCGCACGATGGAAAGAAGCTTGTGTACCGTGTGTGGGGAGCAAACTCGACTCTTGGCGACAAGTCCCAGACCGGACTCCGTCTTCTGGACCTGGAAACTCGCAAGATCTCCGTCTTGACCAACGAGTGGGATAATCTCCCTGCCTTCTCTCCCGATGGAAAGAGAATCGTTTTCACCCGCAAGACCAGTGATTACAACTACGATGTTTGCACTATGAAGCCCGATGGAACTGATGTCAAGGTCCTGACCAGCAGTGGTGCCAATGATGCTCATGCGGTCTGGACTTGGGACGGTCGCATTGCCTTCTCTTCTGGCATGTTCGGCTTCCAGTATGAGTGCGCGCTCTATGACATGACCTTCCAGCCTTATGGCCAGATCATTGTTATGAATGCTGATGGCTCGAATAAGCGTGTGCTTACTGATTCTATCTGGGAGGATTCCATGCCTCTCTACGTACCCAACAGTGCCCTCAAGGGTGACAACAAGGGCCACTAGGGTGTGCGGCACTGCCTCAAAAGAGCCATGCTGGTGACTTCCAAGATTTTTCGCCCATCAATTTTGTTACTTGAAAGAAGACCATAGTATTTGTACTTCAAGTGATATATTGAGATGTCGAATAAATTTATGATTCTGTTAACGTGAATATTGGAGGCTGGCGATTGGAGCTCTTGTAGGGCCTGACGTTCCTGCGTAGGGAGATTGCCTTGTCACATAGGAGTAGTTGTATTGCTCGTGAGCCTCTCATTCCAATAATGGATATAACAGCAATCAATCATAACCAGTGCTGTCAAAGAGAAACTTCCATACCTAAGAGGTTAGCCTTATTACTGGTAAGAGCTGCTGCCACCCATATCCCGTATCATTCGTCCTTAGCTATGAGCAGAGATCGTAGAAAACGAACCATGCCTGTATTTTCGGGGACTTTTTCGACAGGCAGGTCAATATTATGTGTATGTAGTAATTAAAAGGGGAAGGATGAAGAGAAAAGACTTACTGATACATAAGTGGCCGGCCTATTTAGGAAGGGACTGCCCAGATGGGAAGCAAACATTGGCCTCAGGCTAGTAATATCGAAGACATCGTCATACCCATTGAACATGATAATAGTCCATACATTTATAATTTTAATACTTTCTATTTGGATCTTAAGCCAACTACATGCCATAAACTCGACAGTAAATAACAATAGCATTGGATAAAGAAAAAAAAAAGCAAGATCGTCATAGTCATCAACCAATCTCCGTGGAGATGGCGCCATCCGGACTAAATCGTTCTCATGTAGGTCTCGCAAAGGAGCGGTAAGGAATTATCTAGGGTAAGTGTCCCTTAGGTTCCCCCTTCTCCCCTGTATCCCTTTCCCCTCTCATTTCACTCATTTCTTTGAGCCTGCGTACTACGGCTCACTGGTTTATCTTCCTAAACCTTCACGGCGAATGCCTTGAGGTACAGGTAGTCGGCCATGTTGGCATCGACGGTCCGACGGATGAGAGCAGCCTGCTTCTCACCATACTTCTTCTGCCACTCGGCGTCAAACTGCTCCTCAGTCTTGACAGCACGTTTCTGTGAAAAGCGTTAGCCTATTCCCAAAATCTTCACATCCCAATTCCGCCAACACAAAGAACAAAAAAACTTACATGAGTTCTCTGAACCAGAGCCTTCGACTCAATAGCATCATTGTGGAACCCACGCCACTTTTCAAACGCATTACGAGCAGCAGCATGGTCCACCTCCGTATCCCACGTCAACATCTCCGGGTTATACGGCAAACCAACACTGCTACAGAAAGCCTCAATGGTCTTCGCCGGCTCGTCGAGCATATCATCCGCGTCGATGACACAAATCTCAACGCCACTCGTTGCCTGGGGCTCAGCCTGGGCGTCCAGATCCGCGCGTGTTGCAACTTGGGGCCCGATCAATCCACTCTCGAGAAGGTAATCGAAGTGTCGGCGCAGCTCGTCATATCCGGCCTCCAGCGGGTCGTAGTTGTGGAACCCGGTTACCTCGTCCAGAGGTGGGATTGTGCATCGCAGGTACGACGGCACGCTATAGTGCGGGTCGCGGATTAGAAATGCCCAGTGGAATTTCTCTTGAAGTTCGCGTGGCATCACAGTTGGGTTGCCTGGCTCTGCCGGCGTGTTGTACGGGTAGGGTTCCTTGGAAGCTCCGTTGGTGTGACCGTTGGTCGTGCCGTTAACATGGCCGTTCATCTCATGATGACCATTCACACCGTTCGCCGTGCCGTTGGTACCGTTCGAGACCCCGTTCACACCATTAGCCACGTGCAAGTCGTCGTTGGTCCCGACACCGCGCTTATACCGCAGTAGAGAGGGGGCGACGCTGGCGGGCTGGCCATTCGGTGGAAGCAGGTAATGATCGATGTCTTTGATGAACATTCTCTTTCCCTGCGACAAGGTAAGTAACCCCTCAAAAAGTGCAAACATTCCCTTCCGCCGCGAAGATCTCCATGGTCATTCAAAATCCCAGAGCCAGTCTGTGATCTACAATTTGTAGAGGGGGAGGGGGAAACAGATTGCCTCAGGCTATATCTGTAGTGGAAAAATAGCAAAAAGATAAACAGGTAGGGAAACTTCCCTCATGTTCGATCCACAGGGGAGAACGTGAAGAGCATTACGAGGGGGATGTGCAAGAACGCGAGAGATTCCAACGCAGAAAGAAGGGTCGGACCTGAGTATTTTCTCGCTCGAGCCTATCCATCACAGTACTATATGTCGAATTGGCGAATCCGCTATCCAGGCGTGCTTGTAAATTTTCATCGCCTGCGAATCGGCTGGAGAGGCGCTCTGGGCCGTAGTAGAATGCATCGCCAAACGGCTCATGGACACATTGAATAGTATCTCGCTGTGTCATGAAGACCTGTAGTCTGTTAGATATGTGTTTTGGAATGGATTTCGTTATCAGAATATCTCATGATCTCTTACTCGCTCAAAGGCTGTTGAGCATGCTCGCGGATGGGTAGCCACAAAGATTGGCTTGTCAGACATTGTAAGTGGTGCAAGATTTAATACTGGGCGATATAACTGCAATCTGCAGACTTTGTGTCAGGGAAAACCACAAAAGGTAATCGTAAATAAACTTGCGGTGGATCAAAGCGTATCAATTAACGCAAGGATAATTCAAATCCAACCGTTGAAGTGGCGAGGTAGAAAATTTCTGGTTGCAATAGCGGGTCGAGTTCTTCACAAGCGTGCTATGCCAATGGTCTCGTAATGGTCTCAGCTGCAATCACTATGTGGGAATAATGAAAAGAGGAAGGGGGGAACTCTTTTATATGAAATGACATAGGTACCTTAATAACAGGCTTTTATTTTTTATTTTTAAGGAGCCTCGGGAAGCGGAGAGCTACCAGAGTTGGTTTATCACTGGGAAAAGAAAAAAAAAAGCATTAGAAATAATTATGGGTACAATATGTTAGCAGAGAAGAGACTGGAGATCTACGGATAAGCCCAAAAATGTAGTAAGGTTACACATTAAGGTATAGTTATACATGACCCTAGTATATAATAGTGTTAACGCGATATTATGTATAGAAGTAGTATCTAGCAGTACTACATACTATCTATACATATAATGTATGCCTACAAAGTACCTGATACCATCGAAAACAAAAGCCGTCGAAGCCTCGAAGTTGTCCTCTAGGATTAGCTTTACATTTTTTCCCAAGGATCGAAGAAGCAAATCATCAACGCCACAAAGCCTCCTGCCCCTCTCTGCCCCGCAGGAACTTCTATTTTTTCCCTTTCCCTCTAGAGAAGATATGAAACAGTAAAATCAATAATATAGAAACCCGTGATATAATAGCCAATGAGAAAACAACTTGTGGACAGTCGCATGGATCGATCTTCGTTTCTGGATGACCTGGAACAAGTGTTTTCATCCACGGTCCAGTCATGTCTGATCCCCTCAGCTGAGACGGTTACTCCTCTCCCATGCAGCCCCGGTGAAATTTGACTCCCTAAACGGTAATGTCAATGGAGAGCACAGATAGACCGTATATAAAAATTTCCTCCCAATTTGAGTAGATGCTTGCAGGGGGTCTGATCCTAGGCAAGGCTCGAGATCGATTTCTTCGAATTCTTATTGCTTGGGGTATATCCCACCTGACGTCATGGACTAACTGTGGGACATTTTCTGTCGGCTATCGTGGAACACGATATACAGCGTAGGCGACACATGGTAGAAGGGTAATAAAGGCTGTTTGGGAATACCCAGTGTAAATGGTGCCTGGGCAGGCGTCAGTGGCACGTAGGATTCAATGTAGATTGTTCACATCTTGATTTTTGCGGGTAAAAAGAGCCGGTGGGACTTGTTTCAATGCTCCACTGCAAGGCACGCAAGCTCAAAGTAGAAACCCGCCAATAATGGCATCAACACCGAATCATCTCTCTAACGTGGGGAGACTGAGCATCCAAGGGTTCTGGTTTGCTGGTTTGCGCGATTTAATCCGAGATTGCTGACCTCATCCCGGAACGATTAGGGATTAGGTCAGCAAAATTGAAAGAGATCACGTGCTGCTCACGTGGGAGTTTCACGTGGCCTGGTGATATATCACGTGCTCAATCTCTGCCCAGTACCCGTGTCTGTTGCATAAGGCGGTAATTGACTACACCCGTGAACTATTTGTGTTATGGATAACTACAAATTACCTGGTTATATAATAAGGTGGTAATTGATTGACTATAGTATATGTGTGCAGCAGAATGTAAGTGTCATAAGGTGAATCCAAGTAAAGAGTGACATGCTACACTATATTTGTGGTCCACGATTACCCCGGATTAGTATTTCTCCGATGCCCCCATGGTGATCCTCGGCGCTGTCAGGCAACATCAGGCAGCTTCTGGAAGGCGGTGGAACCCAGTAGTGACGCCATGGATCTGGTGGCAGCTTCGAGCGTTCCACGCACCAGGAGTATATATGAACTTGCATCATCGTGTTTCAAGTTGCACATTATTCAAGTTTACTTGCTCAATTACTTTCTACTCTTACTCTAGTACTACGATACTACGATCTCAACCCTCAAATCATCGCATTTACATACCTATTGATATTACCCCACACTTCCGTTCAAAATGAACGGCGTTGAGTTCACAGATCGAGCCAATAAGGCCTTGCTGGACTCCAGCAGCCTTTGCGAGCAATATGCACAATCCCAGATCCTGCCTGTCCACCTGGCAGTAGCGTTGCTCAACCCCTCCCCAGATGAGTCTAAAGATCAACAGACTCCTTCTGGTGCCCATTCCTCCCACGATGAATCAGCCGCCCCTCTCTTCCGCCAGGTAGTTGAACGAGCCCATGGCGATTCTCAGCTCCTCGACCGGGCGCTGATGAAGCTACTGGTCCGCCTACCGAGTCAAGACCCTCCCCCAGAGAACCCTAGTGTCTCTCCCCAACTCTCCAAAGTCATTCGATCAGCCACCGATTTGTCAAAGACACAAAAGGACAGCTTCGTTGCTGTTGATCATCTCATCCAGTCTGTCTGCCAAGATTCACAGGTTCAGCGTGCTCTAGGCGACGCCAATATCCCCAACCTCAAGTTGATCGACAGTGCTATCCAGCAAATTCGTGGTACAAAGCGGGTCGACTCCAAGACCGCTGATGCGGAAGGCGAGAATGAGAACCTGAAGAAGTTCACCATTGATATGACTTCCTTGGCTCGGGAGGGTAAGATCGATCCGGTCATCGGCCGAGAGGAGGAAATCCGTCGCGTCATTCGCATTCTCAGTCGACGCACGAAGAACAACCCCGTGCTCATCGGTGAGCCCGGTGTTGGTAAGACCACCATTGTTGAGGGTCTCGCCCGCCGAATTGTCAACGCCGATATCCCCGCCAACCTGGCTCAGTGCCGTCTTCTCTCTCTCGATGTCGGTTCTCTGGTTGCGGGCAGCAAATACCGTGGTGAATTCGAAGAACGTATGAAGGGTGTTCTCAAGGAAATCGAGGATTCCAAGGATACCATCGTTCTCTTCGTCGATGAGATCCATCTGCTTATGGGCGCTGGATCTAGCGGCGAAGGCGGTATGGACGCAGCCAACCTTCTCAAGCCTATGCTTGCTCGTGGCCAATTGCATTGTATTGGTGCCACAACTCTCTCTGAATACCGCAAATACATTGAGAAGGATCAGGCCTTCGAGCGACGATTCCAGCAGGTCCTTGTCAAGGAGCCTACAGTCCCAGAGACTATCTCTATTCTTCGTGGTCTGAAGGAAAAATACGAAGCTCACCATGGTGTCAACATTCTCGACGGTGCTATCGTCACTGCCGCCAACCTCGCGTCTCGCTACCTGACGGCTCGTCGACTGCCTGATTCTGCAGTCGATTTGATTGATGAGGCTGCAGCTGCCGTCCGAGTCACTCGCGAGTCCGAGCCAGAAGCTCTCGACACGCTGGAGAGAAAGGCCCGCCAGCTTCAAATCGAAATTCACGCCCTTGGACGTGAGCAGGACGAGGCATCTAAGGCTCGTCTTGAGGCTGCCAAACAGGAAGCTGCCAATGTTAGCGAGGAGCTCCTCCCTATGCGCGAGAAGTACGAAAGCGAAAAACAACGCAGCCGCGAAGTCCAGGAGGCTAAGATCAAGCTTGACTCTCTCAAAGTCAAGCGTGACGAAGCCGAACGTATGGGCGACACCCAGATGGCTGCTGATCTCGAATACTATGCCATCCCAGAGACCAAGACCCTCATTGAGCGTCTCGAGGCTGACCGGGCTAAGGCCGATGCTGAACGTCGTGCTCAATCAGGCGATGCTGGCGAGGCACTCCTTGCCGATGCCGTTGGTCCCGATCAGATCAATGAAATCGTTGGCCGGTGGACCGGTATCCCTGTCACGAGACTCAAAACCACCGAAAAGGACAAGCTGCTCAACATGGAGAAATATCTTGGCAAGGTCGTTGTTGGCCAGAAGGAAGCCGTTGTTTCCGTCTCCAATGCCATTCGCTTGCAGCGCTCAGGTCTTAGTAACCCTAACTCGCCTCCCAGCTTCTTGTTCTGTGGTCCCTCCGGTACTGGTAAGACACTGCTCACGAAAGCGCTTGCCGAATTCCTCTTCGATGACCCAAAGGCAATGATCCGGTTCGATATGTCCGAGTATCAAGAGCGACACTCGCTCAGCCGTATGATCGGCGCACCTCCCGGATACGTTGGCCACGACGCCGGCGGCCAACTTACCGAGAGCCTGCGTCGCCGCCCATTCTCGATTTTGCTCTTCGATGAGGTCGAAAAGGCCGCAAAGGAAGTCCTCACTGTCCTTCTGCAACTCATGGATGACGGCCGTATCACCGACGGACAAGGCCGTATCGTCGACGCAAAGAACTGCATCGTTGTCATGACCTCCAACCTGGGTGCCCAATATCTCTCCCGCCCCACCACCAAGGACGGAAGGATCGACCCCCAGACCCGCGAATTGGTCATGACAGCACTCCAAGACTACTTCCTACCGGAGTTCCTCAACCGTATCTCCAGCACCGTCATCTTCAACCGTCTCACCAGACGGGAGATCCGTAAGATCGTGGACCTCCGTCTGTCCGAGGTGCAGAAGCGGCTCGATCACAACGAGCGCAATGTCCTTATCGAGTGTACGGAGGAAGTCAAGGACTACCTTGGCGCAGCAGGCTACTCCCCAGCCTACGGCGCTCGTCCACTGGGCCGACTCATCGAGCGCGAGGTCCTCAACCGTCTCGCCGTGCTCATTTTGCGCGGAAGCATCAAGGATGGTGAGGTTGCCCGTGTTGTCATGCGCGACGGCCGCATCGATGTCCTGCCCAACCACGATATTAGTGATAACAGTGACATGAGCGATGATGAGATGATGGACGAGGACGATTTGGACGCTGAGATGGATGATAATACCGTCTCCCCTGATCTATACGATTGATTGACCAGACCTGGTTTTCACAAGCTTTCCTTTTTGTCAAATAAAAAAAGAAGGATCTGAACATACCCAGCGATGATATGATACACGACTTTGTGCTTTCTGTTTTGTCGTTTTGGCTTCGACTTTTTATGGCGTTGGTACTATCTCTTTGCATTCTCTTTTCATGTACTTAGGCAGTTTACGCTGGGTGGATAGTCCTTTTGAGTCGAAGGCTTATCAGCTTCGGCAATGATCATGTTAATATAAGTTTATTTTTTCATCTGACATCCAAACGTCCAAATAAAAACATCCTCCCGGACCTATTGTAGAAAGTTGTTTAATCTCGGGGCCAGGGTAGTCAAAATGACCTATTAGCTAGGAATTCTGTCCACACAGAACAGTTGTTAGTGACTACATGGGTACATAACTTGTATAGACTGTTTAAGGTAAAATATGTCTATATATGTAGATAGGATTTTTCTTTCTTCACAAAGTGAGATACAATTTCACATTTTCACCTTTCTCACTACATATATACAAGAATAGTCGGCCGCTTATGCGGCTTTATGATCGTATTTTTTTTGGCAATCTTTTTGAGGTCCCTATATATTCTTTCTAGATGTCTTTTTGTTTAGATATTTTCTTCCACTTCTCAGTGTTATAGGTATACGGCAGTAAAAGGCAGCGGAGGCTTTTATTTGTGACGACTTTGATGATATGTATTCCCTGCATCAACTGCACCGGTTATTCAGTGGTAGAGTGTAAGGTAAATCTACATCGCTTTCTCCAAATCAATTGAATCTCCTCTAACAATAACTCCCAATCTTGAAGTCCTGCAATCCACGATTAGAGGTCACCATTTTTTTAATGTCTTTCATGGATATATTAAATATCAAAAGATGGAGTAAGTTAGGCCAAATCTACCAACTTCCTCTATACATAGAAAAGCTATAGGAGAAAGAAAATGTGCAAAAAAGGCGGCGAGACCAATAAATTGATCTTCGAGGCTTTAATTTTCTCTTTTACTACTAGATTGGCAATTAGGATGGCATACTGTAAATACCAGAAGAGAGCACTGATGAGGACTGGCAGATGTGTGTTTGACCTCGGGATGAGTGTTTAATTATAAATGACCGACTGAGCACAAAATACTCGAGAATTGCAAATTCATCTTCCTCATTTTTAGAACTAAAATTATCATAGAACGATCGTAATTCTCATTACCAAGCACCATGTCGTGCCTCACTTCAGCATCTAAATCAAACTCTTCCAAAATGCACTCTTCCAAGGTGCTCAGTCATGTTATCTTTTCGACTGAAGAGCCTGTCGCACTCAGGACAACCGAATGAACGTGGAGTGACATGCTGCGTTTTGATGTGGCGCCTTAAGACCCCCTTGCAGGAGAACACGCCAGGATATCGGCAGTTCTTCCAGGTGCAGCGGAAAGCACCTTGACCGTCACTTCTATGCGAGTAATATTGTTAGTAATAAGGTAATGGCAATGTTCCGGCCCGACACTGAGTTTGGACTTACCCTGGGTTCGGCTTGCGTGCTCCACGACGGCGACATAGCGCCCCAGACCTGGCACTATGACGGCCATTGTCTTTTAGCTGATGTATCTCTTGTACAGAGCAGTTGGGGGATTGGGAGGCACCACGAGTGGTAGCACTAGGTTCCGGGCTGATGCTATCCATATGAAATGGGTTGGCAACACCATTGCCCTCGAGCAAGGAATAATGTGTGACTTCCTGATTCGGGCGGTATAAGTCAAGATTGGACGGAGCAGCGGGTATGAAAAAGTTAGGATAGAGTGGCATGGAAGGATGCTGTAGGTGATAGTTGTATAGAAGATGGCTTGGAAACATTGGTGGCTCTATGGCCGAGGGGATAGAGAATGGGGGAGGAGGAGAGACTTGAGGCCATTCATAGCCACTGGTATCCCATCTAGGTCCGTAAGATGGATTTGACTCCCTCTGGGCAATGTTATACGATGGCCACGCCATCGTGAGTTAAAGAGACGAGGTGGAGTGACCCTTTGAGGTTTGAAATATGCTTGAGATGGGGGATTTTTATTTCTTTGCTCTTGGGAGAGGGGATTTATATAATCCTTGTAGGGATTTATTTATTTTAATCGACATAGCTAGCCCCCAGTTCACTGCATAGACAATCAGCAGATATATATATCTCGGTCAAGTAAGTTGAGCCCTTCTACAGAAGCAGCAGAATTTGTTTTGATCCAATCAGATTGTCAAGATATATTTCACTGTTGGAAAATCTGGGGTCGAAGAATGAGTGAAAGAGTAGAATGTGTTTTGATCCAACCATGCTACGTAGATATATGTCAGGGTTGTGCATAAAAATAGTTATGAAAGAGTAAGACGTGTTTGGATCAAATCAGATTATCAAGATATATTTTACTGTTATAAGAACCGGGATGGAAAAGTAGGTGGAATAGTAGATGGGAGAGCAGAATGTATTTTGATCCAACCATGCTACGTACATATGATATATTTGAAGGATATGTATATAAAGACATATGTGGACTAGCAGAATGTGTTTATCCAATGAGAGAAAAGGAAATATGCCTGGCGTTCTTGGGGTCTAATAATAAACATAGCCAAAGTCGGTCTCCAAGACTTATGGACTCACCAGCGCTTCGCATTTGTTCCGACTTCTTGCCTTGAGAACTCATTCCAATTTATTGAAGACATCTATACATCAAGCCTTGTCCAAACAGAGAAACCTGGCTTGAACAGATATATCATTTATTTACCCCCGTGGACCCCAGAAAGCCCCAGGTAATGCATCTGAGTGGAGAACAGAAAATCACAGTGCATAGTGCATACATTTTGCAGCAAGTCATGCCTAAAACACAGCCTCATCTGTTGTCTCCGATCGTGTATAGCTAGTTCTAATTTAGAACAGGCCTGCGTGAAACTTTATTCTCTTGAAAAAAAAAATATGTCTTCCCTATCCATCTTGATCTATACTTCGCCATGTCGACAAGGCCATGTTACACAGAATGGAAACCTCATAAGGCCTAGATCGAGAAGATCTATCTACAAGATCACGGGAAAAAACACAGTCTCGAAAAACGTATCATGTTCCCCCAAGCTACTATTCAAATTGTCGCTAATAAATTTCAGAGACCTCCATGAGAAAGCATTCAAAGCATTCGAGCGATGGGGCTTCAAGAAGTACAAATTGACAGCTGAAAAGTGGAAGTTCGCCAAGCATCGTAAAGAAAAAAAAGAAAGCGAGAAAATGGCAAGGAAATGGAAGTGTAAATTGATGGCATTCTCTGTCCATCTAAAAAAGTGAAGTATGAGATCGGACGACAAGCGTTTGAATCCACCAAGATCCGACCCACTCTGCAACGGATACTAAGGTTGGTGTCTTTAAAGGGCGTAACAGCTGAGGCAATCGTAGAGAAATTGTTTGCAAGTGTAGTCATATATTGCAATTTCCAAGTTATTGAATTGATGCTGGAAGCTGGGATGAGCCCAGATTCATCAGTCATAAATGATGAAGGAGAAATTCCCAGCCCGCTGATCTATGTAGCCCGCGTAAGAGACCATGGGCTTTCTGTCAAGATAAACTATATGTTATTATTGCATAAAGCGGATCTCTATCAAAACCAGGCGGAGGAACCGGCACTCCAATGCGCCATCAAGTTTGAAAATGAGGAGCTGGTGAGAATTCAGATATTCAAGGGCGTGAACCCTCCCCCAAGGGCATTAGAGAAAGTCTTTTATTCTCCGTGCTCTAGAAATATTGTTGAAATGATTCTAGATTCTAGTGCGGACATTAAAGAAAGAACCCATCAAATAAAGATTGTGTCTCTGCTTCTGGAATCAGGCGTTATCAACCCGACTTGCAAGTCGCCAAACCACCTATTTGGGCCTGGAGGAACCTCCTTTATATATTGCCGGCGAGGTAGAAAACATGGAGCTAATGATGATTCTTCTGAAAGCTGGTGCGAGGATTCGTGCCGTACCTACACCCGAGTGCTAAGAGACTACTCTGTGGCATGCGATAAAAGGAAGGGACCTGGAAGTTGTGAATAATGTCTTGGTAGTAGGTGCAGATGTCAACAGTCCACCGCTTGGACATGACGGCATGAACCTGCTACAGCAGGCTGCAAAGCAAGGAGACATAGAGCTTGTGGACTTTTCCCTTGAAGCAGGCGCAAATGTGAACCAAAAACTGGCTTCTTACGGCGGGGCGAGAGCATTGCAGTTTTCTTGAATGAATAACATCCACATTTAGTAGGATATATAAAATAACTGGATATATATATCCCTCACATGAATCTACCTAATAGTTCAACTATGCTATCATCCGCAGCTCGAGGATTAGAAAAAATATTAGCACCTAACCCAGTAGTATATTAAAGTACCACAGGAGCTTTTTGAAAACTAAGTTTGATGTGCACCTGAATGGAATCCAGATCCAATGAGATTCAAACTTTAAGGATCTTCCAAGGTTTCCAAGGTTGAAACTCCAAAATAATCCATTATCCATGTGTTGTGTAGGAGATTAGGGTTAGGATCAGTTCAAAGTTAAGATCCAATACTTTGGGCGTGCTACGTTGCCTATATAAAATCGCTAGGAAACGTACACTTTCTTTGGGATGTTGGCTGGCCAGTAGATGAATTCCGCGACATTTTGTCTGGACGGCGAATTTTTTGACCTCTTTTGCTAGGTGCCAATAAGAAATATGTTTAGGTATGCTCTTAGTCAAAAATTTTAGCCGAGACATCCTTAGCTTGCCACTAGCCTCGAGACATGCAACCTGCTAAACAAGGGGTATATACTCCGTACCTGCACGGAACCGCCGGAGGGCGTTCTCGAATGTCTCATCTTACATGTCAGAAACAAATCAAACATGGGCAGTTCCTAACAGTTACTCATGCATCTCTCTCGTGGCGGCCGGCCTACGAGATGCAGGTAGAAGGCAAACAGCCTATAATTTGCCACCACATGTGTTGTACTTTTAAATCGCTCGTATAACTCGGGAAAAATATTCTTTGCCTGTCCTGAATATGTATGGGAATATACGGAGTACTCCGTACTAGTCTGTATATACCTCATGACTGAATTGTCGAGCAAGAGTCGTGTTCGGGTTCGCATTTAGCTATTTAGACCTAAGCAAAAGCCTGAAAATATACCGGAGTACATACTTTGTATGCAAAGATAGAGTGGGGGCCAGAAACTGAACACACTTGCGTTCAGAGCGAAGACTTTCGGGGTTGACGGTGGGGTGGAGGGGGATCGTCACTTCGGCCGAAGCGTGAGAGATAAAATATAGCAAAAACAAACGAGAAAAGAAAATTACCACCCTCCTTATTGGGAAAAGATGAACTTGTGTAGTCTCCATACGGCGTACATTATGTAGTGTTCGATTTAAGGGGTTCCACCTTATTGGAGTTCCTACTTACAAAGGAGTATGGAGTACTTAGGTATAATTTATACAAATCATGCAATTAGTACAAAGCACCCTGCCCGTTAAACTAACTTTTTAAGTGCATCCTTCAATGAATCCTTCACATTTTAGAATATAACACTGAAGATTATCTAAGTTACTAGAATAGGGATAGATGATCGTCTTTCGATCACTCAAAAATGAGACCAAATACACGTGGTTCGGAGTTGAAGTGAGATCTGGAAGAATGGGACTTACAAAAGGATCTGCATACTTCAATTTACCTTTGGACTTAGAAAATAACATATATGGAACATTGAAACAGGAAATTGGAGCGCTGGAAAGGCTGGGTCACCGAAACTCAGTTGAAACCTAGATTTAGCGCACGCGCGGCTCAATCCCAGCGAAATAATTTCAGAGATTTAGGTATGTACTCTTAAAAATTCTTATAATATCTGCAATTCACATATTTGTTAAAAGACAGAAGTTGGGATTCTACGAGATATGACCGATAACAATTGATAATCACTTCTCTTATCCTCCACGTCTAGATCTCGCAAAATCCAAGATTCGGCTACCCCAAGAGTCATCCAGAGGGAGCTCGTCCATGGTAGAGAGGTAGAGTATTTGTGGATAAACAAGTGGACTTTTCCTTGGCGGTTTCAATCGGCCTTTCCTAAAGTTGATACGCCGACTGTGTGGAGTGGGAACCTTGAGAAGGAACCGTTCCAAGATATCAAGGGTTCCCTTGGAGTCGCCGATATCGGGAACTGTTCATTCTGGGGTAGTCACCGAAATTACCTCGGTATATATGAAATATAGAGTACTCCGTATTGTAGCTGTGCCTAAAATCGTATGTTGTATAGTCTGTGAATATAATAAAATAACTCAAACTAATTATGCGCAATTACCGGCACAATCATTACCGGCATGAACTAAATATGTTAGCTTTGCATATGATTCATATTGGCCCATACACAAACCAGCAACGCCACATACTGCCCAGCGCAGCCACCAAGTCCAAGCCCAAGCCCCAAGCACCGCCAGAACCGGGGACACCGTGATTAATATGATTTCATGGGAAGACTCCATTATTATTGCCCGAACCACGTTCACCGGTTCACCCATTCCCCCGAGCCCCTGATTCAAATATCCAAGAGCTAGGGCCGAATCCACCTGTTCGACGTCCTGGATAAATCCCTTCCCATCTCGGAGTGTCGCCATCTGATGACGATAAGATCGGCAACTCTTGACGCAAGATGCCGGGAGATCGGCAGGTTGTGAGGGAAATGATTTTCAAGGTCCTTGACATTGTAGGGCATGTTCCAAAGAGAAAATTCTATGTGTAAGAAACTCCAGTAAATGCCTCCAGTGCGCATAGGTATTTTCGATAATCCCAGAGGAACAAAAGAGAAGAAAAAGAAAAAAAAAGACCAGGGTCTAGAAGTAAATATGTACAGAAAATAAAATCAATAATAAGAACAGGGTATCAAGCCCTCGGGGACTTCGTGGATTCGTAAAAAGAGACAAATAGGAAACGAGACTTTTCTCAGTCGATTAGACATCTTCGCGGGCGTGGGTAACACGCGAAGTATTCATCTCATAGCCTGATGGCCGCGAGTCACTTTGCACCGTAACGGTAATATCCTGACGAATGCGTAAAGCACGAGCTGAACCATCGTCACTGCTCGCATCGCGCTCCTCGCTGGGTGAGATACTGATATCAGAAGCAGTCGCCTTTTGCGGGGTAATCGTCGTGGTGCCCTCAAATTCCTGCATGGCGAAATCTCCTGATCGGATATGACTGGACGGGCCATAGGGAAGTATATTAGAGCCACCCTTGCTAGTCCACGGTCCGGATTTGTAGCGGTCGGTGCCGCGCTTCGAGCCTCCAGTCCAGCTTTTGAGCGCCGGGAAGACGTCGCGGAGAAGTGACCAGATCAGTGGTAGGTTGGTGACTAGGATGGCGACAGTGGCTTCGCGGAAATACCAGTTCATGTAGACGTAGGAGATCAGAGATGGGACGAGGCAGTACACTTTGTTTAGGATGGCGGCGACGATGACGAATGCTCCCATGCCGAAGAGGACCATTAGGATCATTTTTTGCTTGAGCGGGACGCGGACTTGGACTAGCATCGGAATGGCGATGAGGAGCATGAATATGTCGGCGGAGATTGAGATGCAGCCTTGTACAATTTCGTAGTATTGGTAGGAGGAGCATTGGTAGTCTGGCGTTGGGAGGACGGCCCAGTAGTCTGATAATGGGCGACACAGCAGAAAGAGCGACAGCTCGGTTACGACAAATCCTAATGCAACGTATATTGCGAGATAGTTGATCCAGCGTTTCTGCTTCAATCCTTCACTATTGGCTGTTAGCAAAAATGAGCAATCTCTAGATCGAGGTTCAACATACGTGATACGAGCATAGATCACCAGCATGCATGCTTTCAAACTCCAGACGCAAAGAATAAAGGAATGTTCCGACACAAAGACCCATTTGCTACCGCGTACTCGTTCTTCGATACTTTCCTTCGTCAACGATAGCTTGTCCTCTTCAGTCATGAGATTTGACCCGCCACCAGAAGCGACTTGATTTAAAGCGACACATAGTACCGTATACCAGACTACTGCGAATAGCATAAGATAGTCATCGGACTGCAGATTGCGAATGCCTAAACGTCGAATACGAGCAACGCTGTCCAAGATCTTTGGTCAGTAGGTGTTTGTATATTGGATATTCAATTAATGCTCACCATCGCAGGACGGCACTCAGTACGCCAACAGAATACAGAGACCATGTTTCGTGGGCAAATTCCGTCGCGAAATGGCCTCCTAAATGAGACATTGACCCTGGCCTGTTCGAATAGAGAGGTTAACAGGAGGATCCAAGGGGAGAAGAACGAGAAGTTAAAAGAGGCGTACTTACATCTTATGAGATTAACCGGGATACGAGATAATATGTGTATAAGGTTACGAGTTCCGATAGGCTCTGCATATGCCGTTAATTACGACAGGGGGGTGGTTCGATGTGTGTGTTAGAGGCTTCAAAGCAAGGTACTTTTGAAGTATGGTGAGATGGCAGAGGATAAAACGCTATAATCACAAAAGATAAAGCATAGAGAATCAACTATTGGACACTGGGGCTTTCAACGAGCGTTTCCTTGGATCGGACTGAATTTCTGCATTCTGATTTGTACTTGCCAATTCTGTCTGGTCCACTTTATTGCACTTTACTTGGGGACTCCGGGCTGCGGAATTCCCTATCCCTATAAGACCTATAAGTTTCTAGCTGTTTTACAGTTTTAGTAACCTTGAAATGCCCCTCCCCACCAATTTTGTCGATGAAAGTTTGCCACTTCAAGCTACAGCCATGAATTGGAGCTATAACGAACCTAGTGCTACACACCTGCTTGACTAGGTAAGAGGATATACGAGCACATCCATGGACCAAATTTGTAAATTGCTATAGCCGCTAGCCCAATCACCGCGGCAAATCATCATCTAAGCGAAGGTAAACATTGCTCTTTCTATCTGGAGGAAAGGCCCACAGTGGAGGAGCTGATAGAGTGATTAGCCAATATCAGTTGTTGAAAGGTTTAGATAATTCAATCCCCCCCTAGGGAAATCTAAGAATATGTACGGAGTACGCGGGAACTGTTGATTCGGATATAGTGGTAACTGAGCTTGGAGTTATTGTACTCCATAGACTTTACTCAAAACGGGATCCTTGCTAGGGCTAGTGTTAGATCGGGCATAAGACATTCTGAGTTTCCTCTAATCATAAGCGCGAAGAGTGGGGGGCTGAACGACATGGATGAAATAAATAATTGGTCTGAGCCATTTCTTTTTGAGGGATTTGGAAAGTGGAAACGAAGCGGATCTTTACTCGGTACGGAGGTCTCCGTAATCTTTTTTATGGAGTGTGGGAACCCCAGGCGAATTCTAGGGGTTTCTTAGAAACCCTACTTTGTACATTCGTACTTACAAAGTATATAATATTACCTTGTATAGTTCCCTACAATACTGCTAGCATAAACTAATATATCGTAAGGAAATACGGAATATCGGAATTGGAGTGAAGAAGTACTAGTATGTGTCATACACTATTCTGGAATAGTCCCGTTGAACTCTAACATGGAACAATATAACAGGGATTACATAGTACAATAACATTATACTAATTAATTGACTTAACTAGATAAACTATACCTAGGTAGTGATAGCGCTCAATTTATCTAGAGGCAAAATATCGAGTCCAGATCACTGTGCCCACTAGATCTGAGGCCCGGAGTCGCCTTGTCTCTCCACCCAGTTGAGGTACTTTGTATATATACTTCCGGAGAACGCTCTGATTTAAGGCTAAGAGATTAGGAATACTAATTGCCTCCGAATAGAGTAGCTTCTAATTAATGAACTCTCGATAGATTTTTTACATGGCACTGGCCTTGAGTGGGTATGAAGGCTGATCTAGATCCAAGGCCATCCTTCAAGCCCTATACCTTAGTAACTATATACCCTTGTACGGAACACACCACGGTCGCATTAGCCTGACAAACATAGATTGTTTGTGCCCACATCAGGTGCTACTGTTACTACTAGTGCACTTAATATTACTTGACTCTAATATTAGGAAAAACGGGATTTTATGCGTCCAGTAAAGGATTTATCCGAATTTCGTATTCAGTCCACTTTTGCACTTTAGTTTCTTAAGTACTATGGTGGTTTTTTTTTAAAGGCTTGTCTCACTTGCAAATGAGATGCTGTCATTTTAAGTAGGGGGGCGATTCTTGGAGAAGATACGGTATAGGGTAGTGCACACTGTGTATACTAGTATTGTAGGTGGATACGGAGAAACGGAGGAACATACATGAAAATATGAGGCTTTGAACATTAATTTTATGTGTACAAAGTACGGAGTACCTCCGTAATAAATGCATATACTTCTAAGGCTGGTTATCGCTGCCTAGGACATATTTGTATTTAAAGTAATGAAGAGTCTGGGGTTGACCCGCCAAAGAGCCTCACAGTATCTCTCTTATCTCCCCAAAAAAGAAAGAAGTAGAGATGAAGCCGAAGTAAAGAATCACCTGCGCCACTTGAAAGGGGATGGAAAATTCATTTCTGTTGAAGCTCCCCTTCTAGGTTAAGCGTAAAGCAAAGCAGCCGCGTTTAGGTGCTAGAGTTTCCCGTTGGAGATACAATGTACGCCAATGTACACCCCTGCCTCCGATTTCGCCCAATGGAAACTCTGGGGCGAATCCACTGTGTAGGCCAAATGATGGTCCTCGTGAATGTTGATTGGCTGAAGATTGAGAATGTTATGGTGGGGCCGGGATGTAATGGTCAAGCCGACTTGCTTAGGGCGTGACATGATATATGTACTCTACTTTTGCTCCCCTTATCTTCATCTTGATTCCCATTTCTTTCTTTTATCTTCAGTAGTCTTGTGTGGCAGGGAGAATTTCCCATACGAAATATGTCCAGCAGTGATAGTTATACGCAGAAGGAGGCCAGCAACGGCCCCGAGAAAGAAATTGCACCTACGCCAGATTATACACACGATGGCCCAGTCGATGGAGAGTTAATCAACGCCTCAGGTCATCGTCAGGAACTCGAGCGTAACTTTGGCCTGATCAGTATCTGTGCTGTGGCCGTGACCACCGGAAACACATGGATTGCCCAAGGTGGTAGTGTCGTTGTGGCCATCAGCAACGGTGGACTTGCAGGAACTATCTATGAATTGTATATGGCCCTCCCTACCTGTCTATCAGACCAAAAGCTAACTCTCCTTGTTTAGTATCGCTGTGTCTCTCTGTTACTGGTTAGTCGCCGCATCTATTGCTGAATTGGCATCGGGTATGCCCTCAGCCAGTGGTGTCTACCATTGGGCAACTATCACTGCAGGAAGCAAGTACGGTCGCGTTTGTGGATTCTACGCTGGATGGTGGAATTGCCTGGCTTGGATTCTCGGTGCTGCATCTATGTCTTTGATTCTGGCTCAACAGACCGTGGCTATGTATGCACTGATGCACCCTGGCTTCTCACCCTCACAGTGGAACGTTTTTATCAGCTTCCTCCTCTGCACCTGGACTTGCTGCTGTATTGTGCTGTTTATGAACCGCTTCCTACCTTACATTGGAAATCTCGGCATGTTCTTCATTCTCGCTGGTGTGTTCGTTACCATCGTCGTGTGTGCTGTGATGCCTCGTGTTACCGGCGCTGGATATGCCACGAGCAAGCTCGTGTGGGCAACTTGGGAGAACGGAACCGGTTATTCCCAGCAAGGATTCGTCTTTGTGGCTGGTATGCTCAACGGCGCTTACAGTGTTGGCACCCCTGACTGCTCGTCTCACTTGGCTGAGGAGATCCCAAAGTCAGTGTTCCTCCCTCCCCAAATTCTCTCTGTTATCAATGCTAACTTTAATTTGTAGGCCGAGCAAAAATATCCCCAAGGCTATCCTAGCCCAGATGGGTGTCGGTTTCATCACTGGTCTCTGCTACATGATCGCAATCTTCTATTCCATCAACGACCTCGATGCGGTGCGCGACCCGAGCACCTTCTTCCCCCTGGCTGAGATCTACCGCCAAGCTACCGGTTCCCAAGGCGGCGCTTTGGGTCTCCTGATCGTCGCTTTCCTGCCTACTTTTATTACTGCCTGCGGCTGCTACATCACTGCTGGCCGTACACTCTGGACCATTTCTCGCGATGGCGCCACTCCATTTGCATCATGGCTCGGACGCATCAGCCCCAAATTCAAGAACCCCTTCAACGCCACCATGGCCTGCTGTGGTGTCATCACCGTCCTGGCGTGCATCTACCTCGGCTCAACTACCGCCTTCAGCGCCTTTGTGGGATGTTTCGTGCAGTTGTCCAGCCTTTCGTACTTCATGGCCATCTTCCCTCACATTTTGACCCGCCGTTCATCCTTCACTTTTGGACACTTCTCCATGAACAACAAAATCGGCTACGTCGTCAACGCCGTGTCCTGTGCTTATATCATCGTCTTTGCTATTATATTCTGCTTCCCTTACGCGCTGCCTACGGATGCCGCGTCGATGAACTATGCTAGTCTTCTGACTGGCGGTCTGTCCATCTTCGTTACCGTCTGGTGGTTCATCCACCAGGGCTCCTACGTGGGCCCGAAGAATGTCCCGTTGACCGACAAGGCTCTGGCCGACGATGCTCGGTAAATCTCCTTTGCGGGGATGTTGGGAGGATTATTATGTATACCATTTTGCTTCGAAGAAGTTTTTCCTCGCTGTACGGCTATCGAAGGCCATTTTTTCATGATGCGACTTTACGTTATATACACATTTTGTACATTTCTATGTGTTGGGCTTTTCCCAACTCTATACATATATAGCTACCCCAAAATCATAATTTAGATCCACTTGTCCAAAAACCTCTTTGAGTGCACACACCTTCGATCAAAATAATAAATACTAGGTAAATATTTAAATTAAGCTGAGTGGTTCCTGCTTCTAAACCACTCTTTTGCACAAAGAAGTAATCTATTAATTCACGTGACCACGCGTCCCGCGCCCTGGTCGCGTCCTCATCCAAACGCAATCTTTACTGAGGGAAAATAAGGACAAGCACAGCCATGGTCTTCAAACCCTTCAAGTCTCCTTTAATTAGGAACCCTACTACATCATCCACCGATGCACCCGAAGAGTCGAGTCGTCCTACCAAAAAGCCCCGGCTCGAAGACGAACCAGCAACCAAGGATGTGCAATCGACACCGATAACCAGTCGAAAGCCACTCCTACAAGTCAGCAATCGAGGATCAGACAGTGCAACACAGTCACCAGTTGGGGAATCGACCAAAGATGATACATCCGACGAAAGATACTTCAATGTTCTCTGGTAGGTCCTCAGAGCATTGATTCCTCGGGCGAATACCACTACACCGAACCCGCTGACTCAAACAGGCGCAAACCAAGCGCCAAAAAGCACAAAACATGGGATGGAGACGGAATCCTCTTCACCCGCGGAGAATTCGTGTATCTACGAGATATTGCCGGGAAGGAGATGGGTCGGAAGATGAACGAAGCCCGCCTTGAGCCGGGAACAATGCTGTCTATCTCCGGCAAAGAGGTTGAAATAGACTCTGAGATACCGCGCAAGGAATACCTCTCCGGCAGAGCATCTCTGGAAAGCAAGAAACCAGCACCTACCCTCATGCCAGACCCAGTCCCCACACCGAAGAAAGAAGCTCTCCCCGCCCGAAAGAAGAAGGGTGAAGTGCAAGTGCGGAAGCCTACGGCTGCTGAGCGGACACAGTCTCTCAAGCGCTCGCTGGCGCTGGTTACAAACCCTAGTGCGAACCCTGGAAACGCGCCGGCAGCGTTTGCAGCTTATAAGGCCCCACTACTTGTGAATACGGTTACTCCCAAAGTTGTGGGGAAGGTCGTTCCGCGTCACGACCCCAAGGCAGTTGGTGCGTTAGTTATGCCGCGGCCGAAGTCTGTGCCGAAGGGGAAGCAGATTGTGGATGTTGTTGTTGATCCTATCTTGACCAAGAACCTGCGGCCACATCAGCGTGAGGGTGTGCAGTTCTTGTACGAGTGTGTAATGGGAATGCGGCCGTTTAATGGTGAAGGCGCCATTCTTGCAGATGACATGGGCCTCGGAAAGACTTTGCAGACTATTGCGCTACTTTGGACTCTGCTTAAGCAGAATCCTATCTTTGAAGCCCCGCCTGTTATCAAGAAGGCATTGATTGTGTGTCCTGTCACTCTTATCAATAACTGGAGAAAAGAGGTCCGCAAGTGGCTCGGCAATGAGCGTATTGGAGTTTTTGTCTTTGATGATAAGAGTAAGCGGCTTACTGATTTCACTAAAGGCCGGTCTTATAGTATCATGATTGTTGGATATGAGAAGCTCAGAACGGTCCAGGAAGCTTTGGCGAATAGTTCTGGAGTCGATATCATTATCGCGGATGAGGGCCACAGGCTCAAGACATTGCAGAACAAGAGTGGCCTAGCGATCCAGTCGCTCAGTGCCGTGAAGAGAGTCATTCTCTCCGGCACGCCAATCCAAAATGACCTGCGAGAGTTCTTTGCAGCCGTGGATCTTGTTAACCCGGGGATCCTGGGAACTTTCAAGTCCTTCATTCGAGAGTTCGAAACGCCAATTGTTCGTAGCAGACAGCCAGAGGCAACGAGAAAGGAGATTGAGAAAGGAGAGTCCAGAAGCGAGGAGCTGCGCGAACTCACCTCCAAATTTATGCTCCGCCGAACAGCAGATATTCTGGCCAAATACCTGCCTCCAAAGTCCGAATACGTCCTCTTCTGCAAACCAACCCGTCCTCAAGCAAACATCTACAAAGCCGTGCTTGCCTCCCCGATCTTCCAAACCGCAATGGGCAACGCCGAAAGCGCCCTGCAGCTAATAACAATCCTCAAAAAGCTCAGCAACAGCCCTTCCCTCTTAACAGCCAAGAACAACGATGATACCCCGAACGAAACAATGGCCGCTCTCATCGCCTCCATCCCTCAACCCCTCCACCGCCACCTCTCCCCCTCCTCCAGCGCAAAAATCCGCGTCCTCGACCAACTCCTCGACACAATGCGCAACAAAACAGACGAGAAGATAGTCCTCGTCTCAAACTACACTTCAACGCTCTCCCTCCTCGCAACACTCCTTACCTCCCTAGGCCTCCCCTACCTCCGTCTCGATGGCAGCACACCAGCCCAGAAACGACAAGGCCTGGTAGACGACTTCAACCGCCTGCCCGCGTCCTCCTGCTTCGCCTTCCTGCTATCCGCAAAGGCAGGTGGAACAGGCCTCAACCTGATAGGCGCGAGCCGTCTCGTCCTCTTCGATGTAGACTGGAACCCGGCAACGGATATCCAGGCCATGGCGCGCATCCACCGCGACGGCCAGAAACGTCCTTGTCGCATCTATCGTATTCTGCTCAAAGGTAGTCTTGAAGAGAAGATCTGGCAGAGACAGGTTACAAAGCTTGGTCTGGCGGATAGTGTTATGGAGAAGAGTAATGGCGGTGCGCAGTTCTCGTCTGCTGAACTGAGGGATTTGTTCAGGCTTGATGAGGATAGGGCTTGTCAGACGCATGAGTTGTTGGGTTGTCGGTGTGGTGGACGCGGCGTTCCGGCTGATTCGGAGGCTTCTTCGTCTGGTGCTGCCACGCCTGCTACTGTTGATGGTGGGGGGTGGGTCTGACGCTGAGGATTTGTCAGATCCTCCTTCGGACTTTGATGATGAGGACGGTGATTATGATTCAGATGAGTCGTTGCCGAAACCATGTACTCTTGTTAAAGCTTCCGAGGTCGATATGGAGAAGCAAGAACGGTCTATTCGTGATGGCACTCATCGTGCTAAGATGACTGGGAAGAGGAACAAAAGCACAAAAGAGAAGGACGGCGAGACTAAGAGTAAGAAAGAGACGATGCACCAGTCTTTGGCTCAGTACGCGCACATTGACCCAACTCTACTTTCTGAGCCTGATTTCAATGCCGATGCTGGGGCTGGGGCCGAAGATATGGAGCTTGAAGCTGCCATTGATGACGATGTGCTGGTTTCTATGCTGAAAGACGAGTGTAACTTGATTGGGTATGTCTTCAAGAAAACTAATGGGGCGGAAATCAGGAGTTAGACTGCTCTGTGTCTCACAAGGCTGGAATGACCTTTGGAATGATGTATTGTGTTAAACGTTCATTTGTTTGGACTAAAGGATATATACATGACTAGAATAACATACATAGAGGCATCTCAAACCCCGATGTATAAAACTAAATGTGTGGAATAACAGCATACAAATGAAGGGCTCAATATCAAGGTCTTGAATCCTGTGAATCATGACATGATACTGTATAGCGGAGAATGAAGAAGAAGAAGAAGAAGAAGAAGAAGAAGAGAGAGAGAGAGAGAGAGAGAGAGAAGGCAAAGTTGCATTATTACACGGCTGGGATATCGTTCAACTAAGTCTAAATGTACAAAGGAAAAGCTAATATTGACTGGAGATATTCAAAAAAAAAGGAAGGGAGAAAGAGAAGGGGAAGGGAGAAAAAGCCAACAATACATCCACCATAGCGATATTTCATTCACACGTACACCCGATCACAGTCCGAACATCAACTCATCATATCACTCATTAATACCTGAGCTTGCCAACAAGCCCAAAGGTATAAGCCGCCTCAGCCTCACTCTTCATTTGAATCATAAATATCTTGCCAGAGCCAGTAGCAACACCGCCCTTCTTCGCGACGGAAGCGTCTTCATCCTCCTCGCGGATAGATACCGCGATGCCCGTGCGGGCAATGCGTTCAAAGGCACTCTCACCTAGACACACGTCGAGGAGAGTCTCGCCGCGTGTCTTTCCGCAGATGACGATGCGCTTCTCAGGCGAGATGGCGCCACGCGGAGAGGTGGAGCCTGACCCGGGAGGTGAATTGCCACTTGCATTGTCGGCGTTGTCGCCGTGCGGGAAGCTGCCTTCGTTGCGGCCGCTGACGCCAGTACCAGGGCGGGAGGGGTTCTTGGGTGGCGCGCGCATGATGGTTAAACGGGCAGCGCCCATGTCGCGCCACTTGGAGGCGGATTCACGTGCGTACAGGCGGACCTTGGCGTTTGAGAGACCGATGCCATCGGCACCCTTGACTGCTGCGACAATGCGGCCTAGGCCGGAGTTGGGAGATGGGTCGTTGGTTGAATATCCGGAGCCGGAATAGATGCTGCCTTCGCGGTCAGGGCGAGATTCGATGGTTGAGCGGGAAATGTTGAACATTTTGCTGCCGGTGCCGAAGCGTTTGAGGGCGGAGAAGGCGCTGCTCATCGTTCCCACGCTGCTTTCGGACCCTTCGGCCAAAGAACGTGGGGAGCTTGACGCGCGATAGCTCTTTCTGCGGCGGGGCCAGCCAAACAGGCCTCCGCTGGATTTTGGAGCAGGCTCGAAGGTAGAGACATGGTCGTTGAATGGGCCACGGGCGTTCTGGAGCGCAATATATGTTGGGTTGTTGATTCTTGATTGGTTGATTAGACCATATAGGGTGTCGCATTCATCAGGGTTACCTGACCGGAACATGATGTTGTTGCTGGATGTGATCTTGGATCGCTCGGTGGGAGGAGAGCGGATACTAATATCGATGGCGGTACCACGGCGAATAGGAACGAGTGGTGTCAATTCAAGAGAGACGAGCGGTCTTGATGATTGGGAATCGGAGGTTTCATCGGGCTCAGAGCCCACCGGGAAGGCCTCGATCAGGCCAGGGCTAACGACGATGCTACATTCGTCAGGAATTAAAGCCTCCCAGTTGCCTTTATCGGACCAGGCAAAGACAGACGCCATTGCTTTGTTAGTCTTGGTTGGCTGCAGCGGCACAGCACGATAGCCACTCTGCGACACAGAATTAGAAGGCGAGAGAGAACTAGCGTCGGTAATCACATCGAGTGCTCTTGGCTTTGGAGTAACATATTCTTCGTCTTCAGATACCGAGGAGTAATCCTCCCCTGAGTCAGAATAGCCACCAGATTTCGAGTATTCAGATGATGAGTAGGAGTAGTGGCGCACTGTTGATGCATCCGAGTCGGTCTCTGAGTAATCTGAAGCCGTAGAGGGTTCATATTCGTGCTTCAGGGGAGAAGAGCCACGCCGCTTGAGTCCACCACTACTGGAAGTAAGAACTGGAGTAGTTGAGCGCTTGTTATTGGCAGGGCTAGGTGAGCGATGAGGCGGGGGAGGCGGAGGGCTATCGTCATCCTTTGGCCGTCTTCTAGACTTCTTTCTTCTACTTCTTGTTGGTGTCTCCGGAATTTCCTGCTTGGGCAAGCATTCAAGTGGAGGATAGTCTTCCTCATCTTCAGGACCAATGCTTGTCGGAGTAGAAAGGTGAGTTTGGCTGCTAGAAGTTCGGATTTTAGGAATCAACGGAAGAGTTGCCGAAGGCACAGATGAAACCCTAGGAGATTCCGGCTCAGGTTCCCTGACAGGCGTCTTCTGAGGTTGAGGAATCCTTGAGCGTGACTTTTCTCTTGGTGAGGCTTGAGTTGGGGACCCGTCTGTTTCGCCATAGAATCTATGTCCAGTTGGCGTACTTGGGGTTTGAGGAGAGGCAACTGCAGGTCCACTGTGTTCATGTGCTTTATCGGATACAGCAGTATGCTGAGAAGTGCCCTCAGAAGCCGGGCTGTCACCATAGCGAGAAAGTCTCTTAGCCTTAGATCGCTTGAGCCCGGTGGCAGTCTTTTCCGGGCTAGTTGGTGAGTTCCTGGGAGCCGTAGAAGGAAGGAGAGGTAGGTCAGGGCGGGCGGACTTTGCAGACAGCTCGGACCCTCCAGTGGTGTAATCAGTTTCTCGAGTGACGACTGAGGACAAAGAGCTCCTGGCATCAGTGACAGAGTTGCCCGTACTTGGCTCAGACGAGTGCTCTTTGGTCCATGAGCGTCGTTTACCGCTCGCCTTCTCGCCGATGGGGATGTCAATGTCATTTGGGTTGGGCCTAGGTGGAGAGCCAATAGCAGGGGGCTTGCGAGCCTTGTTCTGCTTAGCTCGACTGATGAAGCTTTGGCTTCGACAAATTGATGGTGGAATAGGGTCAGACCCGAGCAATGAGATCCACTCCGACCCTACTTCTTCTTCGTCAATGCGGAGCGAGATTAACTCTTGCCAGTACCTGGTTTCATCTTCGGGAGCGCTGCGCAGCATAACCACAATCTCATGCTTCGATTCTCCTCTGCGGGCTGAGACACATCTTAGGTCCATGGGAGGGAAGAGAAGCCAGCGATCTGAATGATCAATCTCACAGATCAAAAGATCACCTCCAGGCCCTTTGCTTGAGGCATTGTCTCGATATAGGAGCTCGGCTCGACAATCCACAAGTTGTCCACTTGAATGATACAATGATAGATTGAAGAAATCGCGGGCACGGACATGGCGAGTCTGATCAATGCCGATACCGTGGAGGACACCCAAGGTCATTGGGTCTCTCGTACGTGTTGGGTCGATACTGGCAGCAGAGTCATCTTCCAATCTCGCTCTTTCATCTCTGACGCGTTTTCGGGCATCGACAACAAGACTTTGATAGGCAGCAGCAGTTTCTTCGGCCTTCGGAGATGGCTCCAGCATATTTATACCCTTGAAACTCTTTGCCAGGTACTTTAGACGTACTAATGGTCTCTTCAACAGATACGCCACATCAACCTTTTCCCCGTTGCTATCTACGATGTCGCCGTTTTCGTCTCGCTCCAAGCCTTCATCCAGGCTCTTCGTGTCAGCATCGTTATGGACTTCACCTTCTTCCAGAGGAGCCAGGTTGACAATGACATCTTTGAATCCAAGGCGCCAGGCCTTCAAGTACTCGCGGTAAACTCTCTGAGCACCTTGCGCCCAAGTAAGCAATGCATCCGCGTTGTCCTGCGGGATTCGCTTGTGCAGGTTCTTGAGCCGCTCGATCGCCACTCCCATGTTAACAATTGGCTTTGAGAAGTTCACATCATCTTCGGGGTCCAAAGACGGCCGAAACAGGCCTGCGGCAATGGCCGAATCAGAGCGGGACAGCACGCAAGTTAAGAGGACCGGAATCACACCCCCGACCAGTGTTTTCAGCTCACGCATATACTTTGTCTCGTCACCTGAAAGCTCATGGAGCAAATCATCAACTGTAGCATGGGCCAGACGACTTTTGTTGGTCCGAATACTCCTATTAGACCGGATGCTCCTGCGCGAAGTTGAAACAGATAGCACAGACATGAGGTCATTGTGGGTGGTAAGCCGTCTTTTTAGTTGCGAGGAGACAACAGGTAGCGAATCTGGATCAAACTGGTCATCCTTTTCTGCTTCTTCTGCTTCCTCGGCAAGTTCCGACTTGCGCTTTTCAGTGGTCGTAGACTTCAGCACGTGCTCAGTCCCATCTGTAAGAGTGGTGCTCAAGCTTTCCGTAGAAACAATCGTGGACAAACGATGGTAACCGGTGGCCGGGAATGGCTTCTTATGGCTAAGTGGTACAGGTGCATTATTTCCCGATACTTCAGAGCCGCCGTCGGAGAATGGCTGCAAGTCGGATTCTGAAGGCGCGAGACTATCCTCATAAGGCTTATCTTTGACAAGGTTGTCGTCTTTGCTCTTGACAGATAATTTAGAGGCCATATCTAGACTAGCTCGCTTCGACTCTGAGGGTAACTCGCAATCTTGTGCTCTTGATATTTTGTCGATCGAGGAAGAGCTGTCCTTTCCTCTAGAGTGCTTACTCACAGTGCTCTTTGGGCGAGAGTCGGAGCTCTTCGGGCGCTCGCTGATCGCTGATTGTTCAGACTCCGTACCAGGTTGGTCTCCGTCTGCAAGTTTTTGAGATCGCCTTGCTCGGCCTAACTTCAGATCCAGAGGAGCTGGCATATCAGTCTTAGACCCTGCTTCATCCATAAAAGGATCCGGTGTGTCAGAAAGCCATGCCTCAATTTTGGCCCCACGGCCCGTAGTTGGCGTCGGTGTAGGCCTCGGCGGTTCAGGTTCGGGGATCCCAAACATTTTTTTAGACTCATCGATCATGTGCGCGAATATACCACCTTTGGGAGGCTTTGCTGGACCGCGCTTGCGTCTCCTCGACAGCTCAGAGAAATCCGCCTCGCTTGCTGCCCATGCATCCTCTGGAGGAGGCGAGTGCGCTTTGAATCTGTCCGAGAGCTCTGAAGGTTCGAAGGACCTGGGATGGTCCGTCTCGTAGTCGCTCTCATTGATGGTATCGATATTCTGTCGCGCACCCGCAGACTTGGTGTCTCGAATAGGGGATTTAGTCCCCGCGCCGGTTCCTCGTTTCGCCTGAAATCGTGGAGGATCGCGTCCTTTCTCGCTCTCATCTTCACTATTGTCGTGTTTTCCCCGTAAAGGTATAGCCCGCCCTTGATTTACGGTATATTCGGCTATGCGCTTGGGTGTGGGCAGATTACGCGTCGAGGACTGGGTTGAGGCTCGATTTCGCGTTCGCTTCCAATGTTCGTCGCTTACCACACGTTTGCGGGGTGTGCTGTGGCTGCGCTTCCTTGTGGTCGGGGGAATGTCCTTGCTTGGCTTCACCAGCTTCTCCAGCCTCTCTGCCTTGACTTTAGCAGGCTTTGGTTTTAGTTTCGCATCATTTTCCTCATCGTCGTCATAGGAGTCGTCAATTGTTACGACCCCGCCGCCTTTTTGCTGCCAGTTTCGCACTCTCGAGCGCACCGTGTTCGTGTCATGCGCCCCCAGCGGCTCCCCGATGTCCAGCGGTTTTGACGTGGATTTGGGAGTTCCTCCACGATTGGAGGGACGTTGTGGCGTTGCAGGAGATGGCATCGGTACCTATAGAGCAAAACAGAAGTCAGCATTTAGTAGGGAGCTCTCTCGAGGTTTTGTTGTCAAAGTAGGTATCCGTCAAAACATGGGTTTGTTGACTTTGACACAGTAGTTTGTACTTACCAAAGCCCCCAAAGATCTCTAACGAATTTGGAGCATCTGCTTTTTGGGCGATCTCAAGAAAATCCTTCAAGGATCACAAAAAACAATGCGTCACCTGGGCAGATGTTGGGGGGCTGACAAGTTCGATAAGCGCCTCCCCCTCCCGCACTAAATTGGTTGCTGGGAAACCAAATCGGTGCGAACAACCTTAGTCCTTATTAAATGGAGAATACTCCCCGCGTAATTTGATATAATTATTGATTATGATCTCGATCATGAAATTCAAGAAATCCATTCGGGGGATGCAGGGCAGTTAATATTATTGATTAATATTGCTGTGTTGCGCGTCAGCTGGTGCCCTGTGCATGAGCGTCATAGGGTACAGAGTACTCCGTACGGAGTACTTGGTGTGAATTAGAGATATTTAATCTATTGAATCTTGAACTATGAATGGACTCAGGGAAGATAGCTTCAACTAATCGTCGTGTAGGGCTATCATATGATCTTGGGTACTATACATTAGTCCATTTCCCTCTTCTACTCCTCGCATCTTGTTACTCCCAACACCAAATTCCCCTAATATTATTTCGTGCCAACACAGTTCTAGCCCAATGCTCCACTACGCCTCAACCCGCCACTAACAGCGATGACGAAAGAGGTTTTATTTAGTCTTATTCTTTTCCGCCTGTTTGAGCGCAGTTGAAATGGTGGAGATGCTGCGGTAGAGATAGTCTATTACAAAAAGTTAGCTTATAACGGGCAGCCTGGAAAGTTCATGACATACAGGCCGGGACAACAATCCAGATGAAGTTCATCAAGAAATAATATAGCCAAAAATAATACGGCTCCGGTCGGGAATATGGTCGTTCGTGGATATACTCGTCAAACAAACTGGTGGCATAATACAGCGTGTCGCCGTACAAATGGCTTATGCACACAATTAGCTGAATGGGGTGGCGCAGGGAATGCCTGATTGCGGTCAAGTATGCCACAACAAAGCACAATGGTCCCCACAAGAGCTTTGTGGATAGGAATCAGCGGTGAATCCTCGTATTGGCCTTGTATATAGCTGTGGGACTCACCACGGTTATTGTCTCCATACATAACACCAACGTATCCGAGGTCATATACCGGGAATCTGACAGAGCATACTCCTTCCATAGTTGCCCAAAAAGATCTTGGGCAGAAGCCATGTGGTCATGGTGGACCATAAAATACCCCTCGAAGAAGCAATGTAAGGTTCCAGCTATATCCCCATTGTCAGCACCGAAACCTTTGACTATTCTCAATTAGCGTCTTACAGAGCACAAACCACAGGATGGCGATTCGATCCGCCATGCGCAATGTCGGTTTCACATAGCTGGCCAACGCGAAAGTCACGCTAAGAAGAACGGTACATGCCCCACCAGCAGAGACGAGAAGCTCCAAGACTGAAGTCTGGTTGGGCTCAAAACCCACAATATTGGCATCGAGGGGGTAGTATGGGTGGGATGGAGGACTGGGCATTTTTGCAGTACCCCTGAGAGTTGGAAGCCTGGTCTAGACTTTTAATGTCCCAGCGTCTCGAAAATAAAAATATAGAAAAGTATAGAAAGATCAATGGACAATGAGACGTCGGAATGTTTGCTTTGCTTTTTGCAAAGGGGGTGGATTTGAGTTTGACCAATTACAAGCTTAACAACATTTGAAGTTTAACTAGATCTACAGCTACGGGTGAAGTCTCAACTTAAGAAGAAAACAAAAACAACCCGAAATCAGACAGATCAAAAATAAAGAATCAGTAGCACAAGACTGGGCTTATCTTTTATTTACCATCTTCCTCGAGTCTCGGCATGCCTCAGGCGACAAAAACTACCTGAGGCATTATATTCGCTCACAGCATCTGTAGAGTATTTAGATAAAAGGTTGACTACCTAACACAGAGCTTCGCCGTGTATGATGGCATATTCGGCTGCGGTGAATATGCGTTGATTGAGGCAATATTGACAATAGAGCCATTCGAACCCTGCTTTGCCATTTGCTGCATCTGGTATTTACAGCACAGCGCGGTATCAGTCAAACTGATATCCATCAATCTGCGCCAATATGACTCTAAAAGTCAATCAGAAGATTCTGATCGGGAGACATGGCCGCATTGTTGATTGCTCCATCCAATCTTCCGAAGACACTGACTGTCTGCTTAATGAGGCTTTGTACATCCTCTGACTTGGAGATGTCAGTTTTCAGGAAACAAACTTCTCCCAAAGCAGAAAATTCCTCTGCAACCTGAGCTCCATGCTCTGCCTTCACATCGGCAATGACTACCTTAGCTCCCGCCCGGAGAAAGACAGAAGCGGTGGCCTTCCCCATGCCCTGGGCGGCGCCTGTAATGATGGCAACCTTGCCTTCAAGCAGAGGGAAGATAGGGGCTTCTGGCACATTTATTTTGCGGATGATCGGCTAGACGACAGGATGAATATGGATATATGGAGAACAGGAACCGAAACAAAAAAACCTTTGTTTCGATTTAGTGTGGCCAGGTAGGATTTTATGGTCGAAAATCCTTTGAATTTGTGGATCAGCATTGGCTCCCTACACTTATGACCATTCAGCCTTATCCGTCCTCGAATTGGTCCATCTGTACAGACTATAATCTGCCCCATTCTCTAGAAACGACTGCTATTGTGCCAAAAACGTTAAGTGGATAAAAAGCCGGCTATGTAATAGAGAGCGAACCACTTTCCGAAACCCCGGCCTGGGTAAAACGCCAATATCAGGACCGTCAAGTTCTAGCGGACAGTGATCGCCCCATTTACCTCTTTTTTAAGATCAAAGCAATCAAACCTGGATGTGTTTAGTGCCATTAGTGCACAAATTATATCGTATACAAGGACAGAGTACTTGATTTCCATTTGCAGGAAAACGATTTCCTTTTGCCGCCCTGCCCCTCTCTTGGTAGATCTACACGCCGATCTCGGAACAATCATTCCTGCCTTCAAAGACCGGTCAATTACGGAGTACGTTGGATATAGGCTTCGCAATTATGAGAAGCACCTAACTTTGGTGATCGTCGTAGAATTAAGCTATAATGTATACTTCGTGTCTGTACAGAGTATGTATATCAAGTTCAAGGATCATCTTATCCCACGCTATACTTAGCATATATACCAGCCACTAGTAGCTCCACCATATATTAGGGCTCAGTCCAGCCTATTTCAGGAAGGGTGGTCTAAGACCCGCTTTCTCTCGAGCATCTGTGCTGCAGGATTAATCCCAAGTGCGAAGGTATCGAGTAGTGCGGCAGCTATAATGCTTGCTAAGACTTAAATAGGGATGATACTAAAGTGCAGCAGCGGTTTGTTCTCATCGTTTTGATAGCTGTTGGTGTTATATACTCGGTGACACTTTACTTCATCCCGGAGTCTCCTCGTTGGCTCGTGCAGGAATGTGATACAGAGGCTAAAAAGGTCTTGGAGTACCTGTCTACATAGTACTAGGTGAGACCCTAGAACTGCTTTTGCTCATGCTGAGGCGGTTCAAATCAACGCTCAGTTCGACACAGAGAAAGATACCCCAGCGGCTATCTCTATATTATGACTGGATATTTTGAGCTAACTTGCAAGTCTCTGCTCATTAGAGGTAACTATGCACTAAATACTATATTTATATCAAAAAACCCAACATGACACTGTATCAGAATTTGGGCTCTTCAAAAGTGCCATCTTGCCTCAGAACCACTTTCTTTTCAGCAATTCGATCCTCATAAACGATGAACCAACATCTGTAAAATTAATGTCAGTTTTCAAGATTTCCAAAAGTGTGTAATGATTCAGGCTCACCGTTCTCTTCCTCAATCATGCCTAGCGGATCCTGTGCAGCCTGGATGGTCTTCCTGTTGTCCACGCCAATCATCATGATCTTCGCGATACTAGGCACTCCGTCTCGATCCATAACGAACAGCATCCAGTATCCAGGGATGAGAATACCCGAATCTTTTGGCAGAGTAGTTTTCCAGGTGTTTCCGAAGAATGTTGTAGCAGTAACATCAAGTGGGATGCGGCGTTGATCAGTGTTGACAGTATGGGTGTTGGTGCCCAGACGGATCAGGGAAGCTGTTGAGATAGGCCCGGAGGTTTTGAATCTCAGGGTGCTACCAACCAAGGTCCTATCTGGCAAGCCTGACAAGATCTCAGGACGGGGGCGGCGCTGGCCTGAGGCAGTAAGGAGGTAGGGAGGAGTAAAGATTTGGCCGTCATAGTGGTTGGCCGTGCAGTTGCCGCAGAGTCCACCGCCTGCATTCAAAACCCGAGCATCTGGGAGGAGGATTGAGACGGTATGATACACTCTCACAACATTGTTCTGTTGCAACTTATTGAAAGTATTGGTTTCAGGGTCATAGATTTCAGGAATGAAGTGGACGTTTTCCTCATTGAAGGCAACACCAAACTTCTGGCCGCCAAATATGGCGACTTTTCCATCGGGAAGAACGACCGTAGTGTGGAACACACGGTCATAGAGCATAGCGCCTCCTCTTCCGGCAGGTTCAACCTTGGGCGGTGTACCAGGCTCGCCAATTGTGATAACATGGGCGGCGTCGGTGGCCCACGATTTATCATAGTCAGGAGAGCCACCGAGAGTAAGGATCTTTCCCTTCACGGCATCGAACATAATTGCATTGCCGGACATGGAATCCTCGTCCTGCATGCGATATCCTGCCGCCTTAACACTTCCATTGTCACGAGCGGAATACCAATTCATCTGTTTGCTAGGCCCGGCTTGGAAGACACTCAGATCCTTCCAGCCAAAGAGCCATCCGTGGTTATCTGCTCTCCAAGGACCTTCCATATCCTCGGTCAACATAGCGCTGACTTTGGCTTCAGGAAGCATAGTCCAGTTTCGGGTAGCAGGGTCGTAAACTTCGGCATCCTTGTCGACATTCGAAGCTCCAGCCCATGAACCTCCAATGACAAAGACACGTCCATCGGAGAGAGTTGTAGACGCCTGGTATCCACGACGAAGTTTCATTTCTGTTGCACGGATCCACTCATCATTGACAGAATCGTAGAGGCTAGTCTCTGAAGCATCATTGCCACCAGTTACAACCATCATGCCGGTACCGTCATAAGAAATGCCGGGGCAGAACATGTCGTGGTGGGTTTCGCTGACAGTGCGCTTAGAGACGTCGCCAGTCAACGGGTCCCATCGGGTCATGACAGTCTTGCCTCCCGGGGTCGAGTGGAATTGATCATCGGCCCACGACGACCAAAGAGCAAGCATGCCAGATCCTTCCTGGGCACCGGAGACAGGGACAATAGGGAAATCAAGAGTTGGACCCCAGGCACCGAGAGCTGGGTCACGAGGGATGGTGTACAGAGTTCCATAGATGTTCAGTTCAGCGATACCGACCCAGGGATTTTCCTTGTCGGCATCGGTCGTAATTCTCAAGTATCTGGTAGATGATGGTTCAAACGCAGACATTCGCTGTCTGTTTACACTGGGCCACATTCCATAGGCTACAGGCCCCGTCCATTTTTCATGATCTTCGCTGACCCAGATCTTGTGCTGGGTAATGAGGCCCTCCGTGTCCGTATCAGTTGGAGGAAGGACAACGACGGCACCCACTTGATACCACGCTCCAAGATCAACAATGAAAGTATGTCCCTTGTCGGAGGAGTCGCTGCGCCAAGCAGTAGTGCTCTTGCCGTCAATCGCATTTTTGCATGGGAAACCGGGAGCGGAGCTGCTGCATGTCAAGGTCCATTCTGTACGGGGAATTCGATGGCCTTGATATGGACGAGATTCATCTTTGAACTCCGGTAGCCAGGAGGGGTTGTCGGATTTGCCGTAGCCAGAAATACGCTCTCCTCTCATAGCTTCGTGCATGTATTTGGCCATACCATTAACTCCCCCAACGGAAGCCCCGAGGAGGATCCCGGCCCATTGAAGCTTCATAGTGGGCAAAATTTATCCGGGCGGGAAAAGAATGTGAAAGAGAAGGAGAAAGAGAAGCTCACTTCACCTATGTGAAAATAAACTCTTGACGTGACAAAGGGGTACATATAAGTACAGCACTCTACATACTCCGCCCGCAGCGGAGCGCTACTGTTATTCAGGATCCAAGTGATTTTCAGTACGGAGTATCCGGCAATAAACTTTGCCAATATTCCACAAACTATGACAAGCCCGATCTTTTGGGGGCCATCTGGGTAGGTGGGAAGCGGGTGGAGGTTGTTTTCCACCAGTCAAGGCCTATCCCTGCATTGCCGAAGATGGGCATAAGATATAGACGTCAATGATTGTCTGGGCCCACCTTGCGTAGTACGACGTAACTGGACACTCCTTTTGAAATCAGTGAAGAAAAGTCTCCCAAAATTGGACCAGATCGGTGATACTCGGCAACATGTCAATGATCGGCGTCTCCTGCAGTAACACGGGACGCAAGCCCACTCCGACCTGGATAGGCAACTCAGCTGTGTGAGGTTATTCCTAGCTTGCATATTACAGATGGAGCATCCAAGATTGGACGCCTCAAAACTTGTTGTTACGGCTCGGAAATCGAAAACTGACCAATTGTCAATTGAGGATTTGGCCCAAAATTTCTGCATGTCGATCATAAGTGAGAGAGGAGCCACAGTATACGATGGTGCATGTTGCCGGGTAGATAGTTCGTGCTAGCGGCATTAGGGTGGAGCCCGGCCCGCTTCCGCTGAGACATCCGTGGATTTATGAAGGGCTAATCTTGAGCGAATCTACTTTATAAATCTTGACATCACGTAGGTGGAAGTCCACAGTTCAGCTGAGTCTCCACCTCTGGGCATTATCTCCCGCCCTATTTTGTATGCACTAATTTCTTACAGATGTGAGCCATATCGCTCCGCGCAGAAATGAGCTATGTACAAAGTACATATGGGGGACGGAGTACTCCGTACAATATAGATGTATAATTTGTGGAAAGTGGAAAGTGGAAAGCTGAAAACTGTCCGGCCCACATCCCTCAACTCCATGTCTTCCTGTGATAATTGCAGGCTATTGGGTGAGCACGCCCTACATACCTACAATGTTACATCCATATCCGAATACCCAACGGCCACGGCTTGTTCCATCCCTTTTATCGACTAAAATGTTGAGTAGAAATAAAGGGCCTCATCATCCAGACGCAGCTGTATTGTAAATAATAGATGGCGACCGAGGCCAAGAGATCTGTACGATGTACATTGATGTACATCTCCCATTACCAGATATGGATATTCCGAGATCTCCACCAATGCAACCAGTGTGTTGTACCTACCAACCCGTAAGAACTCGATACATTGGCGATATTCTAAAATCGTCCATCTCATTTGCTTGAAGGTGACCCACCCATCAAATGTAACTTCCAAGTGGGCTATGTTGATCTCTACTATCGGAAGAAACGCGACCCTATGATCATCTCTGAATTAGGAATCTATTCGATTAATGAACTGTGGGGCAGTGAATTCGCAAACTCAATTCAATAGTAGTGAAGACGTAATATGGAGTATATCCTCTCCCTCTTGCTTCAGAGATGCCCGTACAACTGAATGTGGCTGTTATCGATTATTGGTATTGGACCTCGCTCGCTCGGTCCTAAAGTCGGTGTCGGATATGGCCCATATCTACTCCGCAATGGGCGATCTAATCCAGTAGCTGAATGTTATGGACGGCTCAATCACAGACCTGCTCCGCCCCGCCTCCTTCCTTTGCTTTTTTGTTAGAAAATGGAATTGTTGCTGGGTCGGAAGACGGCATGCCACCCCTCTTTTCATATAATTACCCCATCCCCTCAGATCAGCCTGCGTAGTTCGACAGTAGCCTTCACTGACATTGGATTGTTCACTCTTTAAGAGTTCAACCCTCCATCATGAGTCTTACTACAGCCATCAAGGCAAACATCCAGGGAGATGTTTGGTATGTTTCCCGTTCTCCCGAATGTTCATATATCGGCATGGTCTTTCAAAAATACTCATCTCCATCAGGCCCGGTCTCCCTAAAAGATTTCAATCTTTTCTCTTTTTCCGCGTTCAAAACAGAATTGATTTCAAGAACCGACTGAGAACATTTATTCCCAAGATCACCACGGCCCAAGATGCCTGTGAGATGGGCGAGACCATTAAGCAGGCAAAGAGGGAAGCCGAACTAGCAAAGCGATCAGCTAAGCTTCAAGCTTTACCAGGAGTCAACATTGCCTTTACCTCGACCGGCCTTGAAGCAGTAAGCCATCATCCCAACCGTTTGCACTGACATTGAACATATACTGATAAACAACTACTCATAGCTTGGAGCATTTGTGAATGCCAATGATCAGATGCTCGTCAAAAAGGATAGACAGCTATCTACAGTCTTCCGGAAGCAACAGCTCCGTGGTGGACTGTTCGAAAAGGGAATGTATTCGGATCTTGTGGGCGAGGGGTGGGACAATCCACAAGAGCTTCGAAAGGAATACCAGCCCACCAGTGATAATGAGAGACTCATTGATGGTGTAATTATGGTGACCTCGAGCTTGAAGTCGGGTTTAGACGCCAAGATCAGCGAGGTGAAGCAACATTTCCTAGCCGAGGAGGGAGAACCCCTTAACCCAGACACCTACGTCCTCAGCAGAAACCCTTCTATAGAGTTTACTCTGGTCAGAGAAGGAAAAGTTCGCCCTGGTGCTATGAAAGGAAAGGAGCAGTAAGTGCTAACCAAACTCTCGGGAGTCTGCGGTCCAAACTTATATATTTAGCTTCGGATTCAAGGACGGAATCAGTCAGCCTATAATTGAGGGTTGGGATGATCATCAGCCCAAAGAAAAGGAGCCCAAAGCCACTAAATCAGGGTAAATGTGCTCACAATACTCGAGCGAAGGAGAACCAGACTGACGAAGTCCAGGTTGATTGTTTGCGGGCATGAGGGTGACCCTATGGGCCAACCAGCATGGGTGAAAGATGGCAGTTTCCTTGTTTTCCGTGACCTGCAACAACTTGTTCCTGAGTTTGACGAGTGAGTGACTTCTGATTATTTTATTGTTTCCAATTTGATATTGACCAAGTCTATAGATTCATGGAGGAAAATGCCCGGCACGCCCCTTTTACTCAAGATCATCCCAGGCCAGCCGAAAAGCTTGCTGCATACTTGATGGGAAGATGGAAGAACGGTTCGTCGCAAATCAAGAGCGTCGAAAGATTTGCGCACTAGTTTACTGACAATATTCAGGAACCCCTGTGGATGAGTCTCCTCATGATGACTCTGATGAAAGCCTATTTTCGTCAAACAACTTTGATTACCACCCTGTTACAGAGCACTTGAAGTGCCCCTTTGCGGCCCACACCCGCAAAATGAGACCACGAGCTGACTTAGAGCACGACCATGCTGTCATTATCCGCCGTGGCATTCCGTACGGCGAAGAAGTCTCAGCCGAAGAAATGACCGAACGAAAGTCAGCTGAAGATAAGGAACGTGGGCTTCTGTTTGTCTGCTACCAGAGCGATATCCGAAATGGATTCAACTTCTTGACTACCCGTAAGCACTCGAAACCTAAACTCATACACCTTGTACGACAAAAGTCTCCCTCGCTAACATATAACTTCCCAGGCTGGGCCAGCAACCACCACTTCCCCGACCGCAAGACTAACTTCGTTGGTGGTGAAGGTCCTGGAATTGATGCAATTGTGGGCCAGAGACTGGATCATCACCCACCTCGCTCTATCGGTCTTCCTGATGGCAAATTCCCTACCGAGGCCCGCATGCCACTGGAAAGCTGGGTTGTTCAGAGAGGAGGCGAATACTTCTTCGTGCCTTCTATCTCGACATTGAAGAACGAACTCACTGGCCCTACTCCTATCTTTGACCAGGAGAAACTGGCGCAACTCCGTGAGGATAACGCGTAATTATGGGGGATCAGAAGGTCAACTCTATAGTAGATAATTTATGGGAAATTTTGGTATAATCAACAGGTCCTCTGGACATCTCATCATCAATTGGGAAATATAAATATTAGACTGTACAGGACCTAGAGGCCAAAAGGTGAGGAGGGCGAGAGGTGCTCATCAAGGAAAGGAGACGGAGCTCCCGAACTATCTAGCTACTGAGGGGTTGACATCAACTGTACGGAGTAGGCTGAGGCCACCGCAACAATGACTATGTACTTTTTATATGTTTTGAAAATAACACGGTGATATCACAGTGATTAGCAAGTTTCCACGTTGAACATAATTCAAGATACCCCAATAATCCGGCACCTCGCATTTGCCCCCCTATGTGCTTTTGCTAGACACATCTCACATCTGTAAATAGTTTCGTATCCGGTAGCCGCAATTCATCACAATTCGCACCTTCTATTCCCCATGGAGTGCTCAATAATGATTGTCCTATGGCAAAACATGTACCAATTTCTCGAGATGGGAATAATACCGAGGAACTGTTTGTAAATCATCGGAGTTCTCCCCACATTTCCAGAATCGATGGATCTCTTAAAGATATATACTTAGATCTAATTTTTACAATTTTACTAATAAATTTCTCAATCTTTGTTAAATAAACTAGAACTTAGAAGTGGTTAAATAAAGAGCTCAAGTAAGAGAAGTATCAAGAATTAAGATATGGAGTAGGAAAATTGAACTCAAGAAATCCAGTCTAAAATATAGAATTTAAGCATCAAATTCAAGTGCGGAGTAGTTATATCTGTTATGTAGAGGCTATGTAGGTATGTACTTTTAAGGTTGTGGACCTTGGAGCTGTCGCCACTAAACAAGCTGTACGGCACTTTTTTTTTTAATTCCTTGTCCATCCTGTACTACCATTCTACAAATCACCCCAGGTGTAGAAGTGTAAGATAATGAATCCAAGGAGAATATCACAGAACGTACAAATAATGCGTGTTTGGTGTTGAGTGACATGGCCAAAGCTCTCACCAATGCTCCTGGTCTATAATCTTTCCCAGAGATGGCTGACTGAGAGAGTCTATCATGCAAGACAACTGCTATTTCAACACTAGTCGGTGCCAAAAAAAATCCCCCCATGTTTCAACAATCAAGGACCGGCAGGTAGAACAGAAACAATGATAGACCGAAAAAGGATATATATATTTCGAGTCACTATGGATCGACATGTCCTAAAATAGTTTGCACGACTGTTAGAAGCTTCGCCTCGCATGCTTTAGTCTCATATAAAACCTCCGACGCTCTCCATGCAACGAATCTATCGGGTCGCACCAACACAGCCCCTGATTCTTCCACGCCCCGGACACTTTCCCACTCAAGGTACACATCCTCCCAGTCTTGGCCGAATCCAATGGAGTATGCCTGGATTGGAACTTTGAGCTTCTCCGCAATATTTTCAGCTGCTTTACTCCATGCACCACCTCCGATTCCAGTAAAGAGGGTAAAAGAGCCATGGCCAGCAAGGTCGATTGTCGAGATAGGCTCCTCCGGCGTTGCCTTATTGAGCCAGACATGCGGCAAGCGAGAGCCAGGGTACGTGTTCGGTTCATGATACAGTACTATATCCTCGGCTGCCCGTCCGAGTGGCACATAGGGATGCGGTTCATCGACTATGTAGATCCCCTGGCCCTCGTAATGTTGGTTCATTTCAATTCCTAGGCCGTGGAACTCATGAGAGGTATGCTTGATTGCTGCGTAGAAGGCACGGCGGCGCTTTGATCCTTCCGGAGTTGCGCTCTTTAACTCCTGCAGAATCTCCTTCCGCGCAGACAGGTCCTTAGGCAGCATGCCTAGCGCCTCCCACACGTGATGGTGGTCGCGATACGCCTGATTTGCTCGGGTGATAATCGAGTGACCTACAGGCTGTCGCTCCATGGAATAAGTGGATAGAAGTGAGGGTAGCGCAAGACCTTTGCAGACATAAGCGACCTTCCAGGCGAGATTGAAGGCGTCCTGGATGCAGGTATTTGAGCCCAGCCCGTTTAATGGTGGATGGCGGTGGACGGCGTCACCAAGGCAGAAGCTGGCAGCAAAAGGATACCGTCAGAAACGATTCCCCTATCAAATTAACCGAGGTGATACTCACACATTACCCTTTGAGTACTCCTCCGCAACAATCTCATTGATATACCACGTGGAGACATCTAGAATTTCGGCGGGTGTGTCATCGCCAATGAACTCTCGGACTCTTTTTTGGTATTCCTCCTTAGACGGCTTGCTTTGAGAACGATCATAGTCGCGATCTGGGAATAAGATGAACATCCATTCATTCCAGGGCTTTACCATGCGTACGATACCCATCCAGCCAAAATGAGGGTGTTCACGATCTGGCTGCATCACCCAATGGAGATTGCCTTTTCGGTTTTTGACCAAATGGGAGAGATCAGTTTTGACCAGCACATTAATTGCAATACCTTGGTCAGGCTGGACTACGAGAGGCAAATTAAGTTGCTTCACCACCTGGCTCCGGGCACCATCTGCCCCAAATAGATACCGTGTGCGGATCTGGTATTCGTGGTTTGAGACGTTATCACGAATAGTTGTTGTGATCAGACCAGTCTTCGCGTCGTCAACGAACGAAACAAGCTCCGTATCAAAACGACACTTGAAGCCTTTCAAAGCCGCATGACGAACTAGAACCGGTTCTAGAACAGTCTGTGGCAGGTCGAACGGTTCACATGGACTAGCCAGTTTATATTCTCCCTATACACTGTTAATTTGATTCATTTAACACCCCTAGGCTTTTCTCCCGGAAAGATCAAAGCAACAAATGAGAGAAATCATTGAAACTAACCTTCCTTCTGGGGTCATTTCCCCAGGAATGAATTCGTGCGTACTCCTCACCTGCCATACTGTGGCACCATCTGGTGTGTTGCATATGTTCTTCCCCCGTGGATCCTAATCTTTCAAGTTCCTCGTATAGACCAATGTCTCGTAGACATTCTAGAAAAGTATGTTAAACATGTTAGCAACATATTAAGATCCACTGCGCGACTAACCTAGGGCAGCCATGTTGGTGATATGTGCGCGAGGGGTGTTCGCTGTTCCCGAAGCGCTGCTGATCATGATACCCTTGAACCCTTCACATTTTTAGTCACGAAAAGCAAAATCCGCTTTAATGTAGGAACAAACCATGAGAACCAAGAAAACAAGCCAAGGCAGCACCCGCAGGCCCTGCCCCAACAATAAGAAACTCCGTGTCGACAGCATCTTGAATTTGAACCGAATGGCTAGCCTGAGCGCTACTCGACATTCCTCCTATTGCTGTATCCCCTCCGGTTCCGTTTGATCTAGTTCCATCGACCATCTTAGGGCTATTCGAAAGAAAGGGCGCCATTGCAATTGTCTCCAAAACATATCATGTGATCGCGACTTGTGATCCCAAGGAGGTTGCACAACTTTGTTTGCAACGTCGAGGTCAAACGATATGGATGCTCATTATAAATGCAGAATTCGTGATGAATCTTACCTGCCAATAAGCCCTAGTGCCTTTATTGGAGCCAATAGGTTCATATAGGAAATTATGCCGATATTGGTCCGAAGCGTTACACTTTGGGGTAACCCTCTTGTAATTCTTGCGAAGATACGATCGATAATCATACGATGCACCTCAAGAGGCGCTTTTTATAGGAATACCGGGAAAGCCCTATCTCTACGGGCAGTTAGTTCATAACTGCTCACCTGTCATGAGAGATATGTATCTCTAGCCCCGCGATCGTGCCGAGTGAGCGAGAATGCTCCCGAACAGAAGATAGATCAGATCTCCAATTGGCCTAAAGATGAAGATTATAATTTCAGATCCCTTTATTTCCTTTCGCCCGAGAGCATGGTAATTAATTATTTGACCGGAAGAGGTTATGGCTAGCGTTAGCGTGAGAAATCAAATGGAGCTCTACGCCAGTTTCCCAAAGGAGGACTCTCACTACTAAGGATATATGTTTCTTCCTTTTTGGCGTTGACCGTGGTATATTACCATTTATCTCTGAGCTCGTTTCCCTATTTTAGAAGATCTTCTCTAAAGGGAAAATATGAGGCGGGAGACATTGAATGGTTGGTTCGAGGTCGTTATAGATTCGAAATGCTGCCTCAGGCAAAAGCTCCGCATTTAGCCAAGGTCATTACGAAGCTCACCCCTCAACGTACCGTGATTCCCCGACACTGCTTGAATGGCGTCGCATCCCATGATTCTACTTCACAATGGTATCCGAATCTCCTAGGCCCTTGGGCATTGACGTCTCACATTCTATGGAGTCGCCGCCAGCCATTGCCGCTTTATTCGTCATCAGCTTCGACATCAGGGCTGGGTAACTTACTCCTTCCCCTAAGCATCGCAGCTCTCAATCACAAGAACCTATCACTAACGTTCTGCGATAATAGATATGTGGTCTCGTGGAAGCAAACTGTGCCTGGGGGTGAGCAATCAATCATCTAACCGAGGTTACGATCACTCGGATGCGCAATACTGACTCTTGGAATAGTTGAAGTTGAAGGAGTTGTGGAATACAAGTCACTTCCCTCTGGGCTGCACAATGTGACCGAGGATCTGGTGTATGTTTTTCAAGGTCTACGAAAGCTTGGAACCCGATCTTTGCTGACGCTTCTCTAGGTACTTCGTTCATGAACAGTATGCCGGTATCAGTGCATTCCTTAATCGTCCCGCCACGGAGGCCGAACGTAATGCGAAAATGTTTGCGATCGGAGTTCTGGTGCCTCTCAGCACTGGAAGGCTTGGGAAGAGCTGGCGACACGCTCCAAAGCTCAAGGAACTCGCACTGTTCGTATCTCCAGGCACCCGCGATAAATGAGATCTCAACTGACACCGGTGCTCGATAGGAAATATGCCGAAAACATGTCGGATATGCAGATCCTGTGTGATTATTGGGATACATATAGGATAGGAGGGACAGATTCCTCGGCGCCTGACTCCCCCCTCGACTCGCCTCTTAGTCTTCGATTCCGAACCAGCGAGCGACCAGATCACTCGAGTCGCAACCGCGCCTTCAGCGACGCAATGGTACTGGAAACATTCAGGCCAGCCTTGACGCCCTTCCACCCCGCTTCGTCGCTTCCGGATTTCACAGAGTGCTTCGGACCTTTAATCTTCCCCCTCTACAGAGCAGCTTTGCTGCGCAAGCGGATTCTCTTCATGGGCGAGGCCCCTGTACACACATCTTGCAACTATGGTACGCCCCTATGCGCATTTCAATTGATCTACTGCTTATCCAAATCCAGTATACGATCTTTCTCTGTTAGCATCATTGCCAAACTCCCTCCTGCAGCTACTCCCCGACTATCGCATACCACCACTACGCCCCCGCCCCATCTTCAACGTCGGCATCCATGATATTCCCTACCTCTCCTCCTTCGATCCATCGCGCAGCATCATAAACTCCGAAACAGACCCAAGCTGGATCGCCTGCTCTACCGACACCGTCTTAACCATGAAACCCGACCTCTTCGACGTCCTCATCACCCTCCCCGCACCATACTCCCAACAAACCACCGAGCGAGCCTTCCCCAAAATCTCCCTAGTCCATAAAACAGGCGGCAAACCCAACCAAAACCAACAAATCCAGCTAAAAGCAACCCAGCGCGACGCCCGCCGCTACTCGATGCTCCGCCGCGGACTCCGCCGATTCTCCAACGACCGCCCCACATCCCCAGAACACGACCGCCCAGACACATCCTCAACCTATTCCTCCAGTCCCGTTGTCGAGCCCCTCTCCTGGACCCGCCTCGCTTACACCTCCTTCATCTGGTGGGCCTCCGCTGGCGAGAACCGCGACGGCCTCTCAGAAGAAGAAGAAGAACAGCGGATAGAACAAGACTCCCGCCTTCTGGCAAGCGTCGAGAGTCTCGCCCGTGCCCCCTACAGCTCCACCTCCAGCTCCATCCCACCCCGCAACCTCCTCCATGAAGACCAGCAGCTGCCTGAAATCGCGCTGGTCGCTTACTTCCGCCGTCTGACGTCGCAGATCTTCGTTACGTTGGCTGGCGCCATCGCGCGCTATGATAATGACCTCGACGACGATGCATATAACGATGCGCCGTATATCGACGAAGATGATGACATCGATGCTTCGCTCTCCATGTCTCGTCAGTCTATCTACGGCGATGAGGGAAATTCGCCTTTACTCCGACAACGGTCGAGTGTGAGCGGGTCTCCAAGTCGTAGCTCGAGAGCTGGCCACCGGCACAGTGGTGCGGATGACCCCGTCACGATTACGGTGGCGGATATGGCAGAGATGGGGCTTGATGTGTGGAGTGCAACGGACCGGGTCTTTGTTGAGGAGTTGGTTTCTTTGTGGTGGGGTCGTGGTGCGAAGGTTGATAGTGCGAGGATTCGATGCTGTGGGATCTCGATTTTGTAGAGGCTGGTTCTCTGTTTGATCGTTGAGATTTCTTTTGTGAATATCTTCGTGATGGGAGTTGGTTTGTTGTCGGGCATATATTATATGTACATTGTAGGTGAATATACACGCTTTCTTCTGCTTTGTTTGATGCCAGGTCTAGTATACATGACCTAAAGTGATTTAATCAAGACCTGTGATCATGATAAAGTAAATTCAATCTAACAATCGGAATAATCGAAATCTATGTACAGAAGACCAAAAATGAGACATAGAAAATGTGGGAAGAAGGACAGAGACGACACTGAAGCCGAAATTGCATCAAGGGAAGGACAGGCAGTTGGAGGATTAAATCCATCGTATATACTGAGGCTCATAACATCGGAGCTAAAGAATCCAAACACAAAAAATTAAAACATATTGCTTCCAATCGTCATCCAAATAAAATAAAGACAAAATTGAGGCAGCGCCGGGGGTATTAAAGGAAACAATAAGCACCGGCAGACCATGCAAAAGAAAGACATAAATATGCATCATGAGACATACGCCCCAGAGCATTCATTAACGTCGGAACATCCGAACAGGAGCACTCATATCTCGTCGTTCACCGAGCTCGTTCTCGGTCCTCGAATCAGCCCGAAGATTGGGGTTGGGAAGCCGTCGAGGTCCCCGAGCAGGAGTCGGGTTAGATCCTGCTGAAGTGCGAGCTGCACGGCCAGGCTCACTGGCACTGACTGATCGCTGCTTGCTATGGGTACGGACTCGTCGCGCCCTGATCTGTGCGAGTGCTTGTTCGCGGTCGATAGGTATGTCGGGAACCCCGGGGTGCGAAGTGCGCTGTGGCTCTTGTCGGGAAGGAACTCTCTTTGGGGGGTTGATGGGCTGACGGTATTCATGGGGTTCTCTCTCGACACGTCTCGACGGTCTTGTTTCGACAGACAGTGGTGCACGCGAGTATTCAGCGGCACCATCTGATGGGGCGGGGCGGGCCATTCTAATCGGAGCCGGTTCCCCGGAGGGGGGTGAACGAGTCAACCTGTTGGTCGGGTGATGCAGAGGCGTCGATATGACCTGTGTGAATGTCTGGCTGAGGCTCTGCGAGATCGGGTGTGTCGAAGAAATCTAAACGCAGAGGCCTGACGTTATCTCGGAGAGGGGATGGGAATGTCGTGAAGGTGCCGGTCTCCGGAGAAAATGTAACTAGAGGCTCGGCCGGCATCTGCATCTTGGGGAGATCCGTAGGTTCAGCCTTCATAGTAGACGCGGTGTGATGGTGGACAGTAACGGGTGGCGCAGCCAGAGGGGTACGACTGGGCTCCGGTTCTTCATGGTGGATGCTGTGTTGAGAAGATCTCACCTGGGGAATGGTGACCTGGTGGATAGGAGATCGATGAACTGGGGGTGGAGGAGGGGAAGGACTGGCCTCAGGCGTACTTGCCGGGTGAGGATGAGCTTGGTCCTCAAGAGCTTGCTGAATGCTGGCTTGTTGAGCAGCCTGTTGAGCAGCCTGTTCGGCAGCTTGTTCAGCAGCTTGTTCGGCAGCTTGCTGAGCACGAGCTTTCTCTTCCGCCTCAATCTGAGGCCGTTGAAATTTGTTATAGTAATCAGCGTCGTAGATGTAGCGACGACCTTGGCTCTCAGCAAGCCTGCAAGAGCAGCGTTCGAACTGGCACTCAATGTTCAGGAAATGCACCATGTCTTCGGCTGCGACTCTGCGACGACGCTCCAAGTCCAGCTCTTCTTTGATTTCCTCCAACAGATTCTCGTCTAGTTCAGCGGCCGTCTCGGGTGCGGGTTGTTCACTCTCCGTCTTTGGTACACAGTCCGATAAACGTGGACGTTTGGGGGGAGTGGGTTCTGCGTGATCTTCTTCGTGTGCGGGAGCTGGGGAGCGAATAGACCCAGCAGCGGCTCGCTTCGGCCTGCGCGGGGTGGCCAAAAACGCAAGGTCGCCTTCTGCTATCGACAATCTTCCGAAGTCTTCTTTCCGAATCTCATGAGCGCGGACTTCGAGGGTGCTCGAGTGGTTGTCTGTTTCGAGGGCGCGGAATTTTTCTTTCAGGACTTCAAGTTCCTCTGTAAGACCAGCGAGAGCATAGGCGCGTTCGAATGCCTCCTGTTTGGCCTTGTTCTTCGCCTCGCGTTCTGCTCCCAGTTCGTCTTTCAGTCCTCTGACCTCTGATTTCGCGTGTTTCAATTCTTCTTGAAGTTTTACCAAGGTCGATCCAGCGCGAAAAGCTTCTTTGCGGGCTTTGCGGATTTCTTTTTCGAAAATTGATCGTTCGTGGGCCTGACGTTCTTTCGTTCCATGTAGCTCTTCTAGCAATGATTCGAGGCGTTCACTGATCCGGCGTTCTCGTGTTTGTGCTTCGGATAAATCTTCTTGTGCGGTGGCTAGGGCAGATTCGGCTTCCTCGCGGCCTAGGATAGCACGTTGTAGAGCGGCAGTGTTTGCCGCAGAGTTGGCAGGGCTACCCCCCGAGAGAGGCCATTTAGGAACGCCACTTTGGCTTGAACTTCTGAAACACCTCGGGTGTTCTTGTGGTGTAGTGTGAGGAGATCAGAAGGTAGCGAAGGAGAGGCGGGTATGGTTTGTTGATTCATGCGTTCCGGCGACACCGGATGCAGCGCTTTTGAGGGGCTCAACATAGGACGTGTTGGAGACTCCATCGCGGTTGCTTCGTGACGAGTAATGGATCCAGCCGATGAAGATCACAAGGTCAAAGAAGCATCACAGGAGCGAGGAAGGAGATTCACGAGGGAAAATCACCGTTGTGGAGTTAGGGTGGTGACGCACCCACAGAAACATCCATGGATGTTTATTGCCCGCTTTGGAGGGATCATGTGACTGTTGCCCTGGTGACTCTCTGCGCCTTCCCACATGTGGTTAGATACTCACGTGTGGTACTCCCCACATCAGGACTAGCGTCATATTTTGGTTATGTCTGTGCGTCTCTTTGGGTGGGCATTGTCGATATCAAAATTTATTGAGGGGCTACACTGCGAGGGTCATTTTCATCCATCAATATGCATGAGATTGTTACACTTCAGCTTGGCCAGCGGGCTAACTATCTAGCAACACATTTTTGGAATTTACAGGTACTGTCATCTACGGGAAGCTACGAACTTCGGTCTGATATATAATTAGGAATCATACTTCACATATGACGGAGAGCAGTCTGATGTTGATCATGATGTTCACTTTCGACCGGGTGTTGGAGCAGATGGCTCTGAGACTTATACTCCCCGCACAGTAATCTATGATCTGAAGGGCGGGTTTGGAACATTGCGCAGATACAATGCACTTTACGAGCTGAGTGAAGACTCTACAGCAGGTCAAGGCTTATGGTACGAGGCTCAAATTGATGGACAAGTTTTTCAAACTAATGTCTGATAGGGATGGACGAGAGATAGTCCAAAAGCAAACTCCGATTCAACAAAGTGAATATCAGAAAAGCTTGGATTTGGGCATTCCAGCCCCCCGGTTGACCTCAGAGTCTGTACGCTACTGGTCAGATTACAACAGAGTGTACTATCATCCAAGATCTATTGTTCAGCTAAATGAATATGAACTGAACTCACAGACCCTGCCTTTCGAGGATTGGAATGTTGGAGAAGAGTTATTCAAAAATCTTGATAAGGAGCATGACCTGCTGGATCGTGACCTGAGACCTCTCCTCGAAGAATGTGACCACTTGCGGGCACTGCAACTGTTCTCCGGATCAGACGATGCTTGGGGCGGATTCACTGCCCAGTATATGGAAAGACTAAGAGATGAATTTGGAAAGAAAAGTATTTGGGTCTGGGCTATTGAGGACGGTACCAGAACACAGCGGGTAAGTGACACAGTGGTGCCATTTTGAAGGATCGCGAGCTCGGTTGGCTAAGTTTCGAACTTTGTATAGCATCACCAGTTCAAGAAGGATACGAATAAGGCCAGGTCACTCTACTCGATCTCCCAACTGGCATCGCTCTATTCTCCAATTATCGACCTTCCGCATAAGCTGCCCGGCTACCTCAATGTTGATCGCCAATCAGAATGGCAGAAAACCGCCCTGTTAGCCTCAGCTATTGAAACAGTCACACTGCCTTCCCGATTGCGGCCATACCAGCATTTTGAGGCCTCTCTCGCTGGGGAAGATGGCACGCACACCATCTTCGAATTGCAATCTTCCATCAATAAAATCAAAATTAATGACGGTCAAAAGCAAGCCTCCAACGAAGATGGGCCCACCAAAGCGGAAATTGACTTTGATATTGACTTCGCCTATAATGGCGAGTACAAGGGCGCTCATATTTTCAACCAAGTCCAAGTAACCCGTGGAGACCAACCAGAAAGGGACAGCGAGTCAACGGAGGACAGGGACATTGGGCACCTTCGCAAACTCAGACGATACAACTCAGAGGCGATGCTGCAAAGGTATGTTTCCCCCATTTTGCGCATTTATTCTGTCTCAGCCAGGACGCTCACATTCTATACCGCTATTATAGTTTCCACACACCACTCAGGTTGCCTATTCTTGACAGTTTCCCGCATGATATGTTCCCCACCCCCGAGGCAGGTACCGGGGTAAATGTGTTTACCGCATTGACCGCCTCGTCGCGGACAGCTCAGAGGATCAAGGATATCTCGGCAACTGCTGCACGCCTTGTCTCAGTTGATGAGCGAGAGGCATTGGTAAATGGACTTGGCGAGATTCGAGAGTACTACGAGACGGGATGGAGTAGTGGGTCGGACGACGATGATGACTAGAAAGAACTGAAATTGAGATCATCGCAAAAAAAAAAAAAATGACAGGGTATATAGCCGGTTTCGGCTGATAATTGCCTCCCATTGTTGAGGTCTAATATACAGAGTACGGAACACCACCATCGTGTACGGAGTAATAATTGTTCCCCAAAAAAGGACCTAGAAGGATTCTGTGGCTTAAGGCCCACTTTGTATAAAGTATCACCCCAAATGTACGGAGTAGTGTTCACCGTTATCTGCTCGGGTGTGATGGCCAGGATATATGCGCCACCTGTACGGGAATACCATGCACAGTGGACCAGCCTCCTAAACTCACTCCCCGCAATTTAAAAAGGCTGGGGACTTACGGAGTACAGAGTACTGTATTATGGTTTTTTTCCAAGACCCTGAGGCATGGATAGTTTTAAGACATATCCTAATTCTACGGAATACATCGGAGTACTTCGAAGACATGAGATGTTTCCTTGGTAAACAACACCCCCCGCATTTTCTAAATGAGTCCCACGTCTCTAAGAAAGAATTTCAAAGCCTTCTTGCTTTCTTGTGTCACTCTCGGGCAATAATGTAAGTTCATGTACAACACCTACGTGGTGTATGTTGTACAACAACAGGGGCAGATATGCTCTACCCCACTATCATTCTCCCTCTGTGCCAAAACAAGATTGGGAGCGTCATTAGTCCAATTGAAAATTCCAGTAATCTGGACTGGGAGATTCCTTGCTCCATAGACTTCTTATGACACAGAAGCCGTGGGATAACAGAACAATCTCACGAGTTCCGTAACCTCCATGGGTATTGTCTGTACTTTGTATGTCGAAAAAGAAAAATAGAAACGGGAAGATATTACAAATAGAACTAACAGCCAAAGAAAAAAAAAGAAATAGAAAAAAAAACAAGGAAAAGAGGGAATATAACATTGACATCACCAAGTAAGATCCATAGAGGGTGCCGATTGCGGGGACCATCGGAAATTTCCCTGCATGTTAGGGGAAACGAGAAAAAAGGCCATGTCCACTGTCTCGCATTGGCTTTACATGGGCCCATTACAAGACTGTTGGTTTTTTTGTTGGCATGTAACGTCACCTGCAGGGGCACGTCTCGTGTTGTGATCACTCTGCACACAGTTACCCAGGTGTACTTTGTATATTCCCAGTCACAGAAAACTGATCAGCCATTTTGCGATGGCCTGGATTCTGACTTTCATACAACGGGTATCACCGATACCAACTCCCTCCTCTCCGACCTTTTTCATGCCTTACCAGAGTCTATCATTATTATTCTCTAGTATATGCATTTCATTCGTGAGGTTTCCCCACACCTCCATGGCTACCTTATTTGGACACATGGGGTGGACCGAGCTTAAGACGGGAGCTATTCATAGCTCGGTCTCATGACGGAGAAACATTCCAATGTTTTCATATTACTCCATATGAAGAATCTCAAGACAAAAAGAAAAGAGGGGAAAAAAACACAAAAATCCCAGACTAACTAACATTGGCATGTATTTACTGTGATGGAACATCCCAGAGCTATCCACGCCAAGAAGCGACCTGCATCATCAGAATCAATTGATCCACCCATCGGGATCTGAACACTTTGAGTTTGACATATTTCAACTCAGGTTTTCAAGGTTGGCAAACCACAAGTCAATATCTGAGACCTGGTCACGTTATTATTGGCTAAGACTACCTGGTCGTCTAGTCAACCGGGCCCGTGTGCGCTAGTTATGCATCCGGGTTCCGGTACACTATACACCATGACACCAGCCTCTTCGTTGGAAATATGCGGGTCGACTGACTACTGGCCGTTCATGTTGGTCCTGGTTGGCGTTAGAATATGATCGCCACTTTTTTTCTGACTTTGGTCTCTTTTGACTGCCCAATATGATGCTGGCTGGTCCACACTAGCCCGATGACCACACATCGGAGCTACCGAGCAAGCCAACCAAACAGGATTTGGGCATCTAAGGAGATCTAATCTAAGAGGAATATATAAGCCTGCCGTATCCCCCCGTCTACTCCCAGCCTCGTTCCTGGAATTGCCTCGTTCCTGGAATTGTTTGAACTGGTTATATTGCCTTTTGAGGAACTCTCTCGCTACGGTTCCTATCGTCCTTCGTTTCAAGGAAACATATTAGCCCGGTCTACAAACGAGACCTGTCTATTCTAACACATAACAACCATTCGTTTGCTAGTCAAGATGCGGGGTGCTTCAATCGTTCTACTCTATGCCGCGACCTTGGCGTCCGGCATGGTCGTTGCTCCCAGACATGCTGGTGAGGCTCGCATTGCTGTCCGCGGCGGTGGTGACGATGACCACAACGGCGGTGGTCCTTGGTGGGGCGGTGACCACGGAGGTCACGGAGGTGGTGATCACGGCGATGGTGGTCACGGCGGCGGTGGTCACGGTGGTGGTGGTCCCCCAGCAGAGACCACTCCTTGCGAGACTGAGACCCCTCCGCCTGTCGAGACCCCTCCGCCTGTTGAGACCTCTACCCCATGCGAGACCGACACACCTACTGCCCCCCAGTAGTAACGCCTACTACTCCCCCAGTTGTGACGCCTACCTCGACTCCCTGTGAAACTGAGACTCCACCGCCTGTCGAGACTCCTCCACCGGTTGAGACCTCCACGCCGTGCGAGACTGATACACCGACTGCTCCTCCAGTTGTGACACCTACCTCGACCCCAGTTGTGACGCCTACCTCGACCCCATGTGAAACTGAGACTCCACCACCTGTCGAGACTCCCCCGCCCGTAGAGACCTCTACCCCGTGCGAAACCGACACGCCCACTGTTCCCCCAGTTGTAACTCCTACTACTCCCCCAGTTGTGACACCTACCTCCACTCCTTATATTTCCACTACCACTCCCACTGCTCCTCCTGCAAGCTCGACTCCCTGTGAGACTGATACCCCCACTGCTCCTCCCGCGAGTTCGACTCCCTGTGAGACTGATACTCCCACTGCTCCTCCCGCAAGCTCCACTCCTTGCGAGACTGATACTCCCACTCCTCCTCCGGCGAGCTCGACTCCCTGTGAGACTGATACCCCCACTGCTCCTCCCGCGAGCTCGACTCCTTGCGAGACCGATACTCCTACCTCGCCTCCTAGTAGCACTACGCCTGGTGAGACCGAAACTCCCATCACGCCTCCTCCCGCTTCTACCACTCCATGCGAGACCGAGTCCCCAACTAGCACTCCTCCGGTTGTCGTGATAACCACCACCTACACCACTACCACCTGCCCTGGTAAGTAAAAATCTGAATATTCTATCAATTACAACAGCTAATAAAATCAGTGACCTGGAGCACCGTCACAAGCGGCACATCAATCTACACTCACCCCGTGACACAGACTAGCACAATCACCGTGACGTCTGTTTCCACCTGCACTGAGGGCTGCGTTCAGCCCACAATCCCTCCCACTGAGCCCACAATCCCTCCCACTGAGCCCACAACTCCCCCTGTTGTTCCCACAACTTCCGTCGAGGTGCCTCCTCCGGCTACTGAGTCCACAACCCCTCCCACGGAGCCCACGACTCCCCCTGTTGTTCCCACAACTTCCGTCGAGGTGCCTCCTCCGGCTACTGAGTCCACAACCCCTCCCACCAAGCCCACGACTCCCCCTGTTGTTCCCACAACTTCTGTCGCGGTACCTCCAACCACTGAGCCCACTGTTTCAGCTCCTGAGCCAACCCTCCCGGCTACTGAGCCCACTATTCCCACTACAGAGCCTACTGCTCCGGCACCCGTCTCTTCTTCCACCGAAGCTCCCCCTGCTTCCTCCTCGCCTGCTTTCAACAGTGCTCCGGCCCTCCAGAAGTCTGCTGCGGCCTTCATTCCTGGCCTCGCCCTTCTGTTTGCTCTACTTTAATTGATCTCTATGGAAGTTGATCCCTCCAATGATATAATCGGTCTAAGCAGTCGCTTGGGAGAAACCGGCCGATGGTTTTTACGCATAAGGAAAAAAACAAAGCAAAAACATCCAAAAAAATTATATTCGGCATATCCATCCATTGTTGAAGGACGCCAGGATGACGGGCGTTAATGGGTTTCTTAATGACTTGACGCTCCTTATCCATAATCAGGGAACCCTAATGCTAGTCATATATACATTATTTTACGAATTGATATTTCAAATTTCCAACCTGTTTCCCATCTGGTTATAAAATTAGAACGAGTACAACATAGGTAGTCTTGTAATTCAGCCCTGTTGAAATTAGGGCTGTGACACATGCGATAACGATAAGAAGTGCAAACATCAAACATTGGCCGGTGTGTTTGCATGATGACCCGTGTCCTCATCCAAACAGCTCTTTTAGGCTTCAAGTTACGTTATTGCCAAGTGGCCACAGTAACCCTTACCTTCCAAATGGCCTAGTTTTTGAGTCATCCGCCTGCTTTTCCTTTTCTGTTGATTCTCCCACACGATTCACTCCCCAACCCAACGCCAATATCGAGTTATTGCATAGCTACATCCGACTGTCCGCCTGGCGCATAGCCATAGTTCCACCCGAACCCCGACAAACTATTCGGCAAACCGGTGGAGTGATTGAATATTTGTCAATTTGTCTATATATGTGCGCCCGAGGGTAATTTTCCTCTTCGCATTACAAACAACTCCTGAAATCCGCGATTTGGCTGACTCCCGCAGCCCAGAGCATTAAAACATAGATCATGGCGTCCTTAAATCGCCGGCAATTATCCAGCTCGTCAATGCTATCCCTCGTGATCCTCCCATTCCTCGTATTCCTCCTCAGCTTCGCTGGGCCAGCTTCTGCCGCCGGATCGGCCGTCCTGGGTATCGATATCGGCACGGAATATTTCAAGGCTGCTCTCGTGAAACCCGGCATTCCCCTCGAGATCGTCCTGACCAAAGATTCTAAGCGCAAGGAGTCCGCTGCTATCGCTTTCAAGCCTACAAGAGAGAGCGATGCGCCTTTCCCCGAACGGTTCTATGGTGGTGATGCGCTCGCCCTCGCGGCTCGGTACCCGGATGATATTTACATCAACTTGAAGACTCTATTGGGGGTTCAATTCAACGATGGACAGGAGGAGGCGGTCAAGAGCTATTGGAGCCGGTTTCCTGCGTTGCAATTAGAGACCGCCCCCGATGGTCGTGGCTCTGTTGCTTTCCGTAGCAACCGGCTAGGAGAGGCACAGAAGAAGGAGGCATTCTTGGTCGAGGAGATTCTGGCAATGCAGTTGAAGCAGATCAAGGCTAATGCTGATGCGTTGGCTGGAAAGGGATCCGATGTTCGTGATGTCGTCATTACATACCCTGTGTTCTACACCGCGGAGGAAAAGCGCAGCCTCGAGTTGGCGGCTGAGCTGGCGGGTCTGAAAATCCAGGCTCTTGTCAGTGATGGGTTGGCTGTCGGTTTGAACTACGCCACCAGCCGTACTTTCCCCAGCGTTTCTGATGGCGAGAAGCCCGAATACCACATCGTGTATGACATGGGTGCTGGATCTACCACCGCGAGTGTTTTGCGGTTCCAGAGCCGCAAGGTTAAGGATATCGGCAAGTTCAACAAGACTATCCAGGAAGTTCACGTTGTTGGATCTGGTTGGGACAAGTCACTTGGAGGCGACTCCCTGAACGACCTTATTGTGAACGACATGGTCACCCACTTGGTTGAGGACAAGAAGCTCAAGGGTAGAGTTACCACAGCTGAAATCAAGGCACACGGAAAGACTATGTCCAGACTCTGGAAGGATTCGGAGAAGCTCCGACAGGTTCTGAGCGCTAACACCGAGACTTCGACAAGCTTTGAGGGACTGTACGAAGATGATGTCAACTTCAAGTACAAGCTGAGCCGCGCCAACTTTGAGAAGATGGCTGCTGAGTATGTCGCCCGCATTGGGACACCGGTTGAGCAGGCTTTGACCGCAGCCGGCCTTCAATTGAGCAATATCGAATCTATCGTGCTTCACGGTGGAGCCATACGCACCCCGTTTGTCCAGAAGCAGTTGGAGAATTTTGCCGGCTCTGCTAAGAAGATCAGAACTAACGTCAACGCTGATGAGGCGGCTGTGTTTGGTGCTGCCTTCAAAGGAGCTGCCCTGAGCCCTAGTTTCCGTGTTAAGGATATCCGCACTGGGGATGCCGCTTCGTATCCCATCTCCTTGAAGTGGAACTCAGACGGGAAGCAAAGAAACCAAAAGCTGTTTACCGCCACCTCCCAGGTTGGTCCCGAGAAGCAAGTCACTGTGAAAAACCTGGAGGATTTCGAATTCAGCTTCGCCCAGCAGGTTACCCAGGATAAAGAACAGCCTATCCTCAGTGTCCAGACCCTGAACCTTACTGCGTCTGTTTCCAAGCTCAAGGATACCTTTGGCTGCACCACTGCAAACATTACCACGAAGTTCACGATCCGTCTTAGCCCCGTGGACGGTCTTCCTGAAGTTGTGGCTGGAACCGTTAGCTGCGAGGTGGAAGCCGAGAAGAAGGGAATTGTCGAAGATGTCAAGGGCTTCTTCGGCCTTGGCAAGAAGGAGGAGCAGGAGCCCCTCGGCGAAGATGGCGAACCACGTGAATCGATCACCCTCGAGCCCGAGACGGAGTCCTCCACTACATCCTCCGGCAGCTCCAAGAGCACCACCACATCCACCAAGAATGCCAAGAAGGACTCAAAGAAAGACTCAAAGAAGGATGCAAAGAAGGATGCAAAGGCCACCCCGCAGGTCAAGCTTGAAGTCATCCCGATCAGCTTGAAGTCCGTGGCGCTTGGAACTCCGGCCCCATCAGTCGCAGAGCTCAGTCGCATTAACGGCCGCCTTCTTGCTTTCGACAATTCCGACCGTGAGCGCATCCTGCGCGAGGAGGCTCTCAATGAATTGGAATCCTTCATCTACCGTAGCCGAGACCTCGCCGATAACGAGGAGTTCGTCAAGGCAGTCAAGCCGGATCAGGTGACTGTTCTCTCTGAGAAAGTCTCCAAGGCCAGCGACTGGCTGTACGAAGAGAGCGACAATGCGAAGACCGCCGATTTCCAGTCGAAACTCAAGGAGCTGAAGAGCATTGTTAACCCTGCACTGAAGCGGATGAAGGAGAGCGCTACCCGTCCAGCACGCGTGCAGTTGCTCAAGGAGATGCTTACCAACGCCGAGTCCATGAAGGAATTGATCAAGAGCCAGATCGACAACGACGAGCAGATCTACTCGTCTTCCCTCTCAGCCTCAAGCGCCTCCTCCACCTCTACCTCCACTGAGACCAGCTCAGAGACCAGCTCAGAGACCCCAGCCGCTTCTGACGAGAGTCTTAATGATATTGATGAGGACCCATACTCGTCTTCTTCTTCATCATCTTCTACCACATCTACCACATCTACCAAGAGTGCTGCTACGGCCAAGCCCACAGGCCCCAAGTACTCCCTCTTCACTCCTGCCGATCTCACAGCCATCACCCAGGCCTACGAGTCTACTAAGCCCTGGCTCGATACCCAGCTCAGTTTGCAAGAGAAGCTTACTGAGTCTGATGATCCGGCTTTGACTGTTGTGGAGGTCGACTCGCGGCTGCGCGAGTTCGAGCGCATCCTTAACCGCATGTACGAGAGGATGACTTCAGCCGCTGGCCAGCAGAAGAAGAGCGGCAGCAGCAGCAACGGCAAGAAGGCAACAAAGGAAAAGAAGAAGTCCGAGGCCGAGAAGAGCAAGGCCAAGGACAAGGATCAGTCCAAGGATCAACCGAAGGATCAGCCCAAGGAGAAGGAGGATCTTCCCAAAGATGAGCTGTAAAATAATCATCCCCTTGTTCCTTTACATTTGTTTACATTTTTTTACACTCTTGACCCGTACAGAGCATTTCATTCTAACGCAACCCATGTATCATGCACACATTACATCCTGGAAGATAGAAAAAAGAATCACAATGGAGTTTGGGCTGAGCGTTAGCAGTTTTATTATCTTTGGTCCCTCTGTTTTCTTTTCTTCTATCATAAAGACCTCTACTCTACAGCAAATCGCCCTTTGAAACCAGTTGAGCGCTACAAGTGCATGCATGCAAATCAAGTAGGGTTGAAACTGCTATTACCAGTTCTATTATCATATCAGGAGACCACTTCAACAGACTTCACAACGCCAAGCGCATTAGTCCAGCTTCAAAAGATCCTTTTAGATGCCCTCACCAGCACCGGCACCAACACCCGCACCGGCTCCAGAACCAGCGCCGATGCCGCCTCCAAAGCCACCACCGAAGCCTCCGCCAATCGAACCGCCGCCACCGCCGCCGCCGCTCAGAGCAGACCCGGAACCACCGCCGACACCAAGTCCTTTACCAATGTCTATAATAATCACCCGATTAAAAGCGTTCTAACCAAATACAGGGCCGGAATAGCCGGTGACATACCGGTAGGAGCAGCAACAGCGGCCAGAGCCAAGCTGAAGAGCGCGATGAGGAAGTTGGACTTCATTGTTTCAGATCGAGCTAATGTTGCAAAAATTAGCTCAATTGCTAATTAGTGCGAGATGGCAATGAGTCTCACCGTGACTTTTGAGGTCAGCTTGGTAATGATGGAATGTTGATGATATCCAGAATAGCGGAGAAATACATCCATTTTATACCTCGAACCTTCGGTTTCAGTTTCCTTTCAGAGCATCCACCCGATCAGTCATATTCCTAGCTCGGATCGGAGGTGGAGTAGACCACTTCGGTATGTTGCATGCGCGGAGTCCCGTCGTTTGCACTGTGGGAGGGTTTGATTTAGAATTTGGGGTTGTCCTGGTTCTGGCGCAAGGCGATTTTACCAGCATCCTGGACAAGGGGGTTTGCTTCTTCATATCTGGGAGTTTGTGGAGCTGCGGCATACCTTCGATTACAAGGTATGCTTCCGCTGTCCAAACTAGGGCATGTTTTATTCTGTCTTGCTCTATGATTTATATCCAGCTTTGTTTAGCAAGAGAGTAGCTAGTACAAGGTTACTAGGTATAGTCCACCTACGGAGTAAAACTCTTGAAGAAGCCAAATCTGCTTTGAAATTCGGCTAGCTACTTTGCAAAGCTCTCGATCCGATCTGAGGTAAGCGTATGTAGCCTGCTCGGTTTAAGCGTGGCTATTCTTCTCGAAGACAGATAGAGAAACCCTTATATTATAATAAAGATAAGATATCAGAGTGTATTAAACAATTAGCTTCTATTGTATCTAAGTTTTAACAACTTGTTCGGAGGAATTATTATTATTTGTGATTTACCAAATTCCTCGTTAACTATACACAGATCTTATCCCAATGGGTTGAGATATAAATCGGGGTAACCGAGCCGTGCGTTATAGCAATGGTTAGTTGAGGATGATATTCAAATCCGAGCCTCAGTCGTGGGAGTTGCATCGGAAGTGTCCAGTTGGGATCATTTTACAATAACTCGCAACAGTTTGCTCCAGTCTTACTTGGTTTTGGCAATTGAGGTCATGTATATCTGTACTTCTTATGTTGATGGTCAATTGTCACACCGCTGCTGTAATGTGTTAGTCCCATTCAAATGGATTGAATGTATTGGGAATATCTCAGTTTGTATTCGCGCGACTAGGTAGCTGTTTTCCTTTGACTATTTATGATTCTAGTAGGAGAATTGATGGATAGAGCTCTTAGAAATCACCTGGCCAAGCTATACGGAATCATATCTAGCGATTATTGAAAGAATGAAACATTAAATGATTGAATGAAGTGAAGTAGAATTCGGGTGAAGTATAAGGTTCCCCGTCCCAACGCGGTAAGTAGGGCTGACCCGCACTAGGCCCTGTGGCGCTATACCTAATCAGTAAAGAAAAGTTCCTGAAGCTCAACCTTCTCCATCCAACCCCACCCATTACGAACAACACAAGATGGAGAAGCCAGATATCGTGGAGTCTCCGCGCAAGCGACAGAAGACCGAGGATACAGGCTCAAATGAGGTCGCTATCGCCGTTAATGGCGCAGCCGAGACCCCGAGCACTGTGCTCTCAGTTGCGCAGACTTTGAAGGAAGCCGAGGTTGGAATCACGGAGTTTGTGAGCAACGACACTGAGGGATTCTCGGGTATCCTGAAAAAGAGGTAAGTTGTCATGTTCCTTTATTTGAGAACTTCGCTAATAATCATGCGCAGATACACAGATTTCATGGTCAATGAGATCATGACCACCGGCGAAGTTGTCCACCTGCGAAGCATTGATACGCCCAGCAAGCCCGAAAAGTTGGCGTCTACTACAATAGAGCCTGCGTCTGCGCCAAAAGCCCCCGAGGTGGAAACCCAGGTTACGGAGCAGACTGAGGCTGCCCCGGTCAAGGAGGCGGAAAAACCAGCTGAGTTCAAGGTTTCGGAAGAGGACCAGGCTCTCCTGGAGGAATACTTTGGGGCTCAAAATGCTACTCAAATAATTGCGCTCCACAAGGTCGCTATGGCTAAGCCCAAGGGTCGGCCCAGTGAATTCGGAAAAGTCACCTTTGCCGTATCTGATCGCGACGTCCGCACTAAGATCCACCAGGCCATCCGTCGCATTTTCAACTCTCAGCTAGAGTCTACTACCGACGCAGATGGAAATATGTCAATCACCGCGGCGAACAACCGTTTCAAGCGTGGTGCGACCGCAGGACGAGCCAATGGTCGGTCTCAGGGCCACCGAACCAACTGGGAGGAACTCGGCGGGCCATACCTGCATTTCACTATCTACAAGGAAAACAAGGACACAATGGAAGTCATTGGCTACATCGCCCGCTCGTTGAAGATGAATCCCAAGTCTTTACAATTCGCCGGAACCAAGGATAGGCGGGGAGTGACCGTACAGCGCGCCTGTGCTGTGCGCGTCAACATCGATCGGCTTGCATCAGTGAACTCGGAACTTCGCAATGCTTACATCGGAGACTTTGAGTACCGCAAGCAAGGCCTGGAGCTTGGAGATTTACAGGGCAATGAGTTCGTGATTACTCTTCGCGACGTTAAAATTCCCGGCGTGAGCCTGAGTGATCCCCAGGTTGCGATTGCCAAGGCGTCCGAGGTGGTTGGTACTTCTTTGAAGAATCTCTACCAGCGAGGATACTTCAATTACTATGGTCTCCAGCGATTTGGAACCTTCGCAACCCGAACGGACACAGTCGGCGTCAAGATGCTGCAGGGAGATTTCAAGGGCGCATGCGATGCTATTCTGCAGTATGCTCCTGAATCTCTTCAGGCGGCGATGGAGGGGAAGATGTCTACTGCTAACATTGGTGCTGATGATAAGGATCGCGCCATGGCCATTAATATTTTCCAGACCGGCGGTAATGTCGGCGATGCTCTACAAAAGATGCCGCGCAAGTTCTCCGCTGAAAACAGTCTAATCCGCCACCTCGGCAGAAATCGAAAGGATTATTTGGGTGCGCTGCAGTCTATCCCCCGCGGCCTGCGATTGATGTACGTGCACGCATACCAGTCGCTTGTCTGGAACTTTGCCACAAGTGAGCGCTGGCGACTTTACGGCGACCGGGTGGTGGAAGGTGATCTCATCATTATCCAAGAGCACCGCGACAAAGAGTCTGCCTCTGCTGTGGAAGCCGAGACTGTCGATGCTGACGGTGAAATTATTGTTGTTCCTCAGGGCGAGGACAGTGCCGTTGCGGCGGAGGACATGTTTATGCGCGCACGTGCGCTGACGGCCGAAGAGGCTGCCAGTGGCAAATACACCATCTTTGACCTGGTGCTTCCCCAGCCTGGATATGACATTATCTACCCCGAAAACGAAATGAAGGAATTCTACCGTCGCTTCATGGAAAGCGAGCAGGGTGGTGGCCTTGACCCGTCCAACATGCGCCGCAAGTGGAAGGACGTCAGCCTTAGCGGCGGCTACCGTAAGGTTTTCAGCCGCATGGTGGGAGATAACTATTCTTTCGACGTGAAGCTTTATTCCAAGGATGATGAGCAGTTTGTTAAGACGGAGTTGCAAAAGTTGAAGCCTGAAGATGAGGGTGCCGATACTACCATGGCTGATGAGAGCGCAGCTGATAAGATGGCCATTGTTCTGAAATTCCAGCTGGGATCAAGCCAGTATGCTACCATGGCTCTTCGGGAATTGACGCACGGAAAGGTCACAGCCCACAAGGCTGACTTCACTGGTGGAAGATAAGAATCAGCACCAAATGTAATTCATTACGGTATGCATGGCCTTGAACTGTGTAATACCATGACTACTACTATGGCCAGGATGTCATTCCAGTCATATTCAAGTACATAGGTAGTCTGAAATACACAACTTGTAGCCTATTACGATGGAATACGACGAAACCCTTCAAAAAGGACAGCCACACTGAACTCACCCAAAACGCCAGAAAACCAAAAGGAAACCACGTAAAAAAAGCTCTAGACCAAGCTCAGCTTCATTATATCATATCACCTTACTGACACCCTCAAACTCCCCTAAACCGCCTCCTGTCCTGCTCACCTATCGGCGACACCTCCCCAAACGAAGACACCACAGAATGCTCATCAAAGTCCCTCTCCCTTCTCCGCCCATCCAAATCTGACACATCAGAAACAGCATCCTCATCATCCGAGCCACCATGAGCAATGCCAATACCAACCTCATCGTCTGAAAAATCCTCAAACGGCATCCTAGCCAACTGCGACGGCCCCCTTGACAACTGTCCCCTCGACGATGTAACAGATTCAACCCGGCCCCTAAATCCATGCTCCGTAGCACTCCGTCTACGATCCATCGGAACCGCAACCGCAACTCCAAGCTCTGGCACAGAGTCACCAGGTCCACGGCTCATAGACATGCGGCGCAAAGAGGTCCCAGGACTGGGGCTAGGACTGGGACTGGGTGTTCGGCCCCGACTTTCTGTTGAGGGAGAGACGCTGATAATCGGGATTCGAGGCATGGGTAGAGCCATGGCTGTGGCTGTTGAGGACATTGCCGGTGTAGAAAGTGGATATCTTGGTTCTGGTGTCGAGGATTTCGGAGATATCATTAGCTCTTGTGTTGATACCGCGCTTCGATGGCCTGTTGCTATGTCATAAGATGGGGGCAGGCCGTTAGGTTCCTTGTTGCGGCGTCGTCGGCGGGAGAGGAAGAACAGGAGCGCTAGAATTAGAGCCAGGCCTATTACTGAGACTGGGACTGCTATGGCGATTTTTGTTGTTTTTGATGGGCCGCCGGAGAAAGCCGTTGCGTCGGTTATTGCTGAGGTTGTTTCTGAGGCTGAGGTTATGGTTCTTGTTGAGGTTGTTACGGTGGATTTGAGAGAGGATGAGTTTGAGCTTGACAGTGTGGTCGAGGGGATTGGTGACAATGATGAATTATATGAGGTTGTTGCATCTATTGGACTGGTTGATCTTGATGGACTGGCTTCCGATACACCGATATCCATGACAGTTGGCGGCCCAGTTGATGTTGGATATGTGGTCAACTCGGTGACTGACGGCCATGAGGAAGCTTCAGGAAGGATGCTTGACACTGTCGCTGGATCTACCGAGCTTGATGCTTCTGGTGCAAGAATCTTGTTTTGTCCGCCGGCTTTCGTCGTGATCGCAATATCAAGGTCGGTTGATGCCACTGGTGAGGCCTCAATATATTCTGATTTAATGGGATCCCGGTTATTTGTATTTTCCAGTCCAGTGCCCAACATAGCCAGGAATTTTGCCATGGTAGATATGGGTTGAAACATGGATTTTTGGGGCACTTTCGTCTTATGTGAAGGGTCCAAAGCGACTCCTGAAAGACAAAGAACCGCCACGAAAGATAGTGCAAAAGACACAGCGGACGCTAGAATGTTCCCATTCGATAACCGTTTTGGGAAAGTCCCCGATGTCTTTGTATAGAATAATTAATTGTGCCCAGATTTGAGGATAGTGAAGCTCGACGTGAACAGTAGGAAATGCGAAATTCTTTAGAGGAATAAGAGCGAATATTCAAAGATAATGTACAACAAACAGCCCAACAGCCGCAAGGTGGGGGTTAAAGCACTGCCCTCAAGATGAGACGCTCTAACAAAGAAGCGCTTCGCCATGCAGTAGACTCGGCGTCAATGAAATTCCATATACGCAGTACTACTCCGATCACTTTGAATGACAAATTTACCCTTCAAAGAAATAACCTTGGAATCAATCCCACAAATAATTATTAAGATATACGGAGTACAAACTCTTGAAGCTTCAAATCCGCGAGGCTCTGAGATGCTATTTTTACTACACTTGCGCTAATCTGGGGCCACGTAGGATCAACACAAGCCCTAACTGTTTTTCGTTTAGCTCCCCGGCGGGCCCGGGGGCAGTTCGTAGGTTGTCGGACTTCCATTTTATGGGGGATTTTATTATTGGATTAATGATTTGACGCCGACGCTGATAGGAGTTGCATGTGCATCTAAATGGGGTAGCCAATAGTAAGTGCCCATATTTGAGAAGGATTCGAATAAAATCGCGAGTACAGCTCCCATTTTCCACTTTCGGTGCCGTATGATCTACATAAAATTATCCAAATGGCCCATAGACGAACTATCAGGCTAGAAACTATTCATATTTAATATTACCCGAACATATCGGTGTAGTATATGAACTGCATAGAACCAGTAGACGTCCAGGTTGAGAGCGCAGTAAGGACCACGACGCAGCTAAAATTAGATCCAATGACTAACCCAAGGATATTGGACCTACATATTTAGGTATGATGTACTTCGTTCTCCGTACAGTGATCATGTCCTAATCCTGCATGAGATATCCTACTCCATTGGTCGCATAGAATAATTTTAAAGCTGTGATGTCTTGATCCATGTTCCTAATTTCAATAGGATAGTATCGATTGGATAACTATTTGGTACTATATATGCACCGCCAACATCATCATAAAAATCATTCTACTAATTGTGAGACAGTCTTCATGTTCTGTAATGATGTTGGATGGATCCATCACATCGGAGGGTGAGATGTGACAGCCAGCCAACGTTGCCGCCCACTAAGCGACCCTGGCTCACTGAGCAACCTCAGCACCGCTTACGGAGTACATTAATTTGTTACTAGGAAGAACATTCAATTTCCTTGCAACTTCTTCTTACGTGTATACTATAGGTCTCGATCACCTCGCCGGAAGTGGAAGTAATTCACCTAAAATGCTCACAAATGCGTAAAATAGAAAAAAAAAAAGTGAGGCTTGTCTCTTCCCTTCGACAACTCTCCTCCTCTCTGACTCTTTCGTCTAGAATTAACCTATAATAATGCCATTCGAGGAATTGTTTGGCTCTCACGGGGCTTCTAGGTAGGTATCCAGAAGTAACTATGATGATGTAATGAGTGATTGTACCCGCGGGTGGACTTCGGGGCCTCGGGGGCAGAGATGAGATGAGTAATGTTTTCTGTTTCTGGTAATCCAATGTCTTTAAATCCACTCTGGAGGTCATGCCCAGACTGCCTAGACTTGAAGAACCAACCCCCGGTTTTCTTCACATTTAACAAGTGTGCACTCTTAAGTGCTAGCATTCCCTTGTTATTCTTGTCAACCTTGTAACCTACAAGATTGAAGACAAACCCCTAGTATGGCCGGTGGCTTCCTCCCATATCACGAACCGGGAAGTATGTACCCAAGCATATTCCAATCGATCTCTGCTCATTCCCTCACTGATCAAATGCAGCTGTCGAGATCCTCATCATTGTTTCTTTCTTCTTTTTCCTTTCCCTTGCAAAATGGGTCTCCGCCAAGGTAATTCAGGCCGGAATTATAGGCCAAATCGCCGTCGGCATCATCTACGGTGTACCGTTGGCCAATATCCTTGAACATAACTGGCAAGAGACATTTCTCACCTTAGGATATGTCGGCCTGATTCTGATCATTTTCGAAGGTAAGCGTGAAAACATTTTCGTAACTTCTTGGCTGCTTGGCTTCTTTTGGATACTGATGTCATCCATTCTAGGCGGTCTTGGCACTCGTGTCGATCTTCTTAAACAGAATTTCGTTTTGAGCATGATAGGCGCAGCAACTGGCGTCTTATTTCCTATCGGTCTTTCATACCCTTTGCTCTATCTTGGTTTTGGATATGGTTGGTTTTATTTGCCCAATGCCTATAGTCAAAAGGTTAACATGGGCCAGGTGCGGTTGAGACCTTCATCATTGGCGCGTCGCTTTCCGCTACTTCACTGGGTAAACTATCCTCACTGATTGTGCATTTTTCAACTGCTAATGAATATTAGGGACCACATTTGCTGTGATCAGCTCTGCATCAGGTTCGGTCAATCTCGCCGACACCCGAGTAGGCTCAATTCTGGTGAGCGCTGCAGTCATTGACGATGTTGTCGGACTTGTTATGTTAAGGTGTGTCAATTATTTAAACCGGAGTAATATGGGTGGTTGATCATCGAGCTGACTGGCTGCATAGTGTCATTGCCGACTTGGGCAAAATTTCTGGGGGCGATGTCAATCTCGGCTGGCTTATTGGGCGTCCCATAGTGGCATCGATAGCTATGGCTGTTGTAACGCCCATCGTCACCAAATGGGTCTTTGCACCTTTTTTCCGAACATTCATTGAATACCACTTTGCGCAATTCGACCATATCTCCAACATCATCCTTATGACCCTTGTTCTTTCGGCATTCATTGCCATCGCTGGATTTGCTGGTACATCAGTCCTGTTTGGTGCCTTTCTGGCAGGTGTATTTATCACATACCTACCGAGCAAGCACCCCGAAGGACCATTTGTTGTCATGAGCCGCGAAGAAGGCGAGCGCGAAGCGGATAAAAGTCCCACTTTTATCCATACCTTTGAGAAATATCTCTTAGGACCCCAACAGTATTTGATGGAGCCTTTATTCTTCTCAAGTATCGGATTCGCCATTCCATTCGTGCAGCTGTGGACAGGGAAACGAATTTGGAGAGGTGTGGTTTACACCCTCCTCATGGCATTCTCAAAGGTATGCAGATACCCTCAAAAGTCATTTTTCGGCAATTAAGTTAACAAATTCTATCTAGTGTGTGGTCGGAATCTGGGTCCCCATATGGCAACTCTTTGGGGGAAGTAAATCTCCCAACAAGGAGTCACATGGACAGCAGAAAAGACAGGGACAACCAGAAAATGAGGACAGCAACATAAGCCTCGAAGAAAAAAGCAAGCAAGAGAAGGGGAAACGGTGGAACGGGGCCTGGCTCGCTGCAGTACTTTTAGGATCTGCGATGGTAGCACGCGGTGAGATTGGGCTTTTGATCATCGAAATTGGACACAACGAAACTCCGTACGTTAGTGATGACGGTTTCATCACTGGCGTTTGGGCCATTCTTTTAAACACCATCATTGGCCCAGTTACCGTTGGTCTACTGGTTCGATTCCATGCGAAGAAGATTGAAGAGGGGGAATGGGGAGTACAGGAGGGTTCTATGCCTGTCTCGAACGAGGCTAATGGACATGGAGGGGTATAGACATTTTGTGATAATATGGCATGCCAGCAGGAATATGGCTGTACATAGCATGTGGATGCGCCTATAATAGAGTAGAGTTGATATATCTGATAAAAAAGAAATACCCTGAACAATGTGAGAACAAACCGTTGTTTAATGTGAGATGAGGGGTCTACGAGCAATCGATCATGTATAAATTCAAAGGCATATACTCCATAAGAATATGTATAGATGTATGTAGACAGGTGAACATATACAGAAAGCTTGTTTCTATGTACTCCATATGGATGCGTCGATGTGGCTTAGACGGCGAACGAGTCCATGTGGGCCGACCTAATAATACCCTGATATGATCAGGCAGCAGAGATTTGCACACCTTCTCTATTAGAATTGTAAAACGATATGAAAGAGTTGAACGGCTTCAAATAAATATTTTGTTTTAATACCTCTTTAATCTTTTTTTCTCTCTGTACCCTGTCCACTGTATCCGGGCGGACCTCTAGAATTAGTAAGCCTTGGCAATTTCCAATCTTGGAAAGTTGAATCCCCGCATTCCAAGGTTCCAACCGTTGAGAATATCCAAGAAGGGAAGTCTGTTGTTCTTTCCTATCAAAACTCTTGGAGTCATTTGAAGGAAGCTGCGATGGAGATGGAAGGTGATATTCGCACTTGCACTGATCACTCACATTCCAACCTGTCACTGCCTCGACCGGGAGGATATCAGACCACAGAAAAGCGCAGGTTATTACTGATTTATATCCATGGCTTCATGGGATCAGAAGCTAGCTTTCATGAACTTCCGTTACATGTTCATGATCTATTAACGGGCTCGCTGGCCGAGTCACACGTGGTGTACACCCGCATGTATCCCAGATACAAGTCTCAAGGCGAGATACAAACAGCAGTGGACCAATTCAGCGCTTGGTATGTGATCATAACAGGAGGTCTTTTGTTGCTAGATTGCTAGATACATATACTAATAGAGATAATTATAGGCTATCACCACATGAGGCAGATGACCTGGATGTCATCTTGCTAGGACATAGTCTCGGTGGAATCCTAGCTGCAGACGTTGCTCGCTTACAACAAGGTGGGCAATCAAAGCATCGAATTTTGGGCATAGTGGGATTTGATGTCCCATTTCTGGGCATCCATCCCCGCGTAATACCAACAGGAACCATGGGCTCAATGCCCAGGAAAGACCCAGCAGCTGAAGAGAAGCTCGCGGGAGAACAAGAATCCATGGGCTTGGAGCCCGCCTTCAAAGCCACCCGTCCCAATCCTAACTTCGACCCACCATTTATGAACGACGTGCGTCTGGTTGATCGTGGCTTTCTCAAGGGTATTATGCATTTTGTCAATAAGAACACCGACAATCTCTCACGATCAATCTTCGATCGCATCGTATCACCCTTGAAATTTGCTGGTTGTGTCAATAATTACTCGGAACTTCGTCAGCGGTACCGTCACTTGATGGAGATGGAAGCTGCTGAGTCCAGTCCCTGGAGGGTACGATTTGTCAATTTCTATACTGCAAGCACCGGTCGCAAACCACAGAAATCCAAGACGAAAGCCGAAAAGAAAGCCGAAAAGAAAGCCGAAAAGTCTGCAAAGAGCGCCGAAAAGTCCGCAACTAAGATTGAAATTGACGTGGATAAATATGCAACGAAAGTCCATTCCGAGGAACACTCAGAGAAGCCAAATGATTCCGAGGAACCCGAAGTAACAACCTCCATGAGCGACATGGCAATAGAAAGAAAGCCCTTGAAGCCCGCCACTTCTAATTCTTCGCTGGCAACCGAAAAGGTCAACAATGACAAGGATGCTCCGCTGGCGGAACATACAAGTGCCGCATCGTCTATCTCAGCCTCAATCGACCAAATAGAGAGCCCGTCCCTCTCAGGGAGCGTTTCTCTCTCAACGGAGAGTGGCTCCATCGCAGCCATGGAGTCCTCAGACCCTTCTAATCAGCACCTTCGCAAGTTCATCCTCTTACCGTCACATCATTGGAAGTACAACGATAACTCCCATTGGGAGCCGATATTAATGGAGGACATGGACGAAGTCATGGCACATCAGTCTATGTTCATCCCGCACGGTGCAAACTACGACCACCTTGTTGGAGATAGCGTTGGGCTAATTGAACAATGGATTGAGAATGATCTTAGTCGACGATTTCTCCAAGAATATCTTGACTAATGACGTTTTGTTAATTTGTCTCGATCCCGCTTGTCATTTTCCAACTATGTAACTATAGATTTTTAATAGATTTTTCTCTTTTCTTTCACCATAAGCTAACCTCCAGTCACCCATGAGGCAGTCTTGGAAAGCAACCATCCGTCATTCTGCAGCTTTTGGAAAACACCCTTGGGGTCAATTTCCTTCGCAACCGATCTAAGCTTGCTCAAATTCTCAGATCCGTAGGCAGCCAGCGGGTCCTGGTCTCGTGAACAATAGTTCGAATACTTGAAATCAAGGTAAGTTCCATTCTTTTTCGCAACGGCTTCGGCCTGGTCGATGATTTTGCGACCCGCAGCCCGCATAGTGGCCTCATCCTCGGGGTGGAACCAATCCAACAAAACCAGGAGCCCTAGCCAGAGTTAGTGAGCTGGGAATCTTATTTTAGTTCATATACATACACTGCTGTGGCTCCGCTTTGAGGCTTAGAGGATTGCCCCCTTGTTTATCGCAAGCTCTGGAAGCGCTGGATGAAATAGGCTGAATGCTCAGGATGATTCGAGCCCCAGGAACACTTTTAACTACTTGCAGTTGCTGTAGGCGACATGCTTCGGTGGCATTGTAGACTTCCAGATCGGGAAGACTTGCCATTACTCGCACCTCATGGCTAGTCAAGAAAAGCTTAGTGGATAAATTGGTAAAAGCACCGGGACAAGCAATACCTCTTAGGCTCGGTCGCAGTGAACCTCTCAAAGTCATTGACAAGCTCAAAGACTGTCGAGGCTTTAGACGGCACCACCTGGGTTACACACTCAATCTTATCAAAAGAGTCGAAGACAGCTGGTTTCTCCTCAACAGGGTCGGCATAAAGGAAAATAAAGAGTGTAAAATCCTCCATAAAGTGGCAAATGATATTGGCCTTAGAGTCCTTTTCGCTTGCTTCGTGATAATCCATGATAGATTTGAGGAGATTTGCATTTTCTCCAGGTGCGTACATTACTCCTTCACACCATATTTTGTTGGGAAGTGTCGACATGGTGACTTTTGTTACGATACCTATTGCAACAATAGGGGATTAGAACAGAGAAACATGTTATTTGAATCGAGATAGCCTTACCAAAATTAGGACCTCCGCCTTTCAAAGCCCAGAAGAGGTCCTTGTTGCTAGTCGCGTTGACCTTGACAACTGTCGAGTCTGCTAAAACCATCTTCGGCACAATCAGCATTCGTTACCGGCACAAAGAAGGTTCATTCGCCATTTACCTCATATTCCACAACACCGTGGCAACTCAATCCACGCTCGCTATTCTGAAATGCCAGGCCTCCCCCAAGAAGCAGGCCGGCCACACCCACGGAGGACTGACGTCCTCCAGTCACTGTGAGTCCATACTCTTCGAGGGCTTTGTAGACGTCAAACCAGGTTTGACCGACTCCAAAATCCGCCGTCAGGCGATCTTCGGAGACATTAATAGTGTTGAACCGCTTCATCAAGATAACCACACCGCCATTGTTACTCGTGAACCCTGGGTTGTGAAGATGGCCGCCGCTGCGGACGGAGAACTTGATGTTGAGGACTTGACAGAGTGCAAGAACTTTGCCCACATCCTGAGGAGTTTGAGGGGTAACAATAATACCAGGAGTGAGCTGACAGTTTGTAGACCTTTTGATAGGAAATTAGATGTGCGCAATATAGAAGATGGGATTCGGTACCAAGTTGTTTCCTTCTGCTCAGAGAAATTGATATCGCTTTGTACTGCAGCATCATCTCCAAATACAGCAGTGAATATTTTCTCTGCTGTATTCAAGCGCCAAGTAGCCTTGCCGGCGTCGCTTAGGGCAAGGAACTGAGTGAGTACTGTTTCGGCATCGAGATTCGTTTCTGGAAGCTGAAGAATTGCCAGCAGATTCGAAATATTCGTCATCTTGAATAGCGATCACAATTGAACTTTGGATTCTTCTTTGGAGAGGCACATTCTCTGAACGCTTTAATAATCGACAAATGCCAGGATTTCCCGGGATCAACACTAGGAGAACCGGGTCGTCTCGGCTGGACACCGTGCGTCCTGGTTTTTGTGAACTCAATAGCTTTCTAATACACATATAATAAGTGGATCTTATTGCATACTATGGGGAAACGTGCAGTGGTTTACATGATACATCAAAGATCTGTACGGAGGAACTAGTTAGTTAGTACATGCTGCTACAACGAAAGGAGATATGTCGGAGCCGAGCGCTGTATCGGATGCCATTACGGAGTATAGTCTACAGGGTGAGACTTGGTGTGTAATGGAAAATAGAGGTGGACGATAGCCTAATAGTGAGCAGATACCGCGCAAGTGGAGATTGAAAAACCGCAAAGGATTGAAAAAGGAGTGATTTTATCAAGTGAGCCAAATAAATGGGAAACAATTATGGCTTCAGGAACAGTCATGGCTTCGCCGACTAAATCCGAGAGGAACTTAGGATAGAGAGGTATAGACAAGGCTACTCCGTAGTGAGGGAGACGATGATCCAATGAACCTGTGAATATACATAATAATATTTTCACACAATTCTACTCTATATTGTCCAAATCATTGAACTATAAAGTAATAAAGCTAAGACTTTTGAGGTCACAGGTCCAAATCTCCACTAGATACGTACTTTGTATACGTACTATCTCCCATTAGACCATCTTCCAGGAAATCACTGAACTGCGGGACCCGTGTTTCGAAACCCGACCAATAAAATTCAAATATGCACGTGACTTCTCAAAAGCGTAAGTCCAATCAAGCATAGGAAAAGGGCCCGCTTTTGGATACTCTCAATATGAGAGATCGAAAGAAAAAAAATATGTCGCTTCTCTTTGATTGAGCGTGTCATCCTTAGTGCAGGGGCCATGCTAATCTTCTCTGTATATATTCATTTGACCATATGCCCCGAAGGGCGCAATACTTATTCGTTCAGTTCATTATAACCACACTTTGGTGCAGAAATGTACCGCCTACCTGTTTAGTCAGATACATGGCGGGGACGTCTGATGGTAGAATCTGACAGCCGTCTACTTGTTGACAATCAAATCCATGATTACTTTTAAAGTCGTGAAGGAACTTGATTGGATATGCCTTCCTAGAATCTTCAATGATCATTCATTCACTTTATTGTACGGAGTACAGCATATAAGATTCTGCAGAACAAGCTTGTATACGGAGTAGTACCCACTTAGTTGGCTATGTAAATCAATTACTAGATTAAGCCCACACGTGACTAAGTGGGGATATCGGCATCACGCTTCCCCAACCACTTAGCAACTGTCGTCCCCGCACTCCCGAGGTCTGCAGCATACAGCATAATGAGTGGTTTACGCAATACCATGAAGGGTGGTTGGCACCCGGAAGGCAAGGGGGGTGGAAAGGAGAGCTGGCGTGGTGATTTTAAAGGTGTTAACCAAGTGGTAAGCCGAACTTGTCCCTTGCCCCTCTGGGACTCGCGCAACTTGGATGGCCATTGATGCTGACATACACTTGGTATTAGGCTGGGTGGATGGGAAAGGGCAAGGAAACTGACTCCTCTGGCTCTGGTTCTGGACAGACGTCTGGCCAAACCTCTGAGTCACAAGGGGGAGGTATCAGAAACTCCGTGGTAAGCTCCCCGCTCAACCCTCTCGGACTCCCGTCTCGGCCATTGATGCTGACTTATACTTGCTATTAGTCTGGGTGGATGGCAAAGGGCAAGGAAGGTGAATCCTCTAGCTCTAAACAGGGCTCCTCGTCATCAGGGGGTATCAGGGGCCATGTGGTGAGCTACCCCTTCTGAAGGTTCACGACTCGGCCATTAATATTAACCTTTGCACGCTTTTAGGCTGGCTGGATGGGAAAGGGCAATGATTCCAGCTCTTCCAATCGCGCTGATCACGTCTCAATGCCATTGTCAGCCCTAAAAGACCCATCTTCCTTCGGCCCCCCCTCCCAAACATGTCAATTACCATGGAGCAGCCGCGGTGCCGAATCAGACAACGCCTGACCGCCATGGTCTGGGAGCTCCATTGTCCCAGGATCAGATAAAAGCCCAGGAATCCTATCAACGAGAAGTAGCTGAAGCAGAGGAGGAACAGTTGGAAAAGCCCGCCCCGCCTCCGATCCCGTATCGCGTCGACACAAGCGGTCTTTCTACAAACCATCTCCCTCCACCACCAGTGCGGCGGGTGGACTCGGCAAGTTCTGCCTCCACAATCTCAATCTCAAAATCAAAACCACCAAAGCCTCCACCACGGCTTCCTGCCCGCAATGGATCCCCCAGCTCTGACACGCCCCCGGCTTATTCACCTGCGCCAGTAATCTCCCACGATTATATCAACCAAGATGCCACGTCCCGCCTAGCAAGCGCGGGTGTCTCGGTTCCTGGATTTGGGATCGGTCAGGAGAAATCTCCGTCGCCTGCACATACGCCTGTCAATGAACTGCAGTCACGATTCTCTCAGATGAACACCTCGGGATCTCCATCGATACCCACCCGCCCTGCTCAGCCCTCGACTAACATCGGGCCGCAGCATGCAAGCAGCAAATCTTCTCTCCAGAGCTTCCGCGAGCAGCACGCAGGCACCATTGAGTCAGGAAAACAGAAATATGGTGACTTCCGTGAGCGTCACGCGGACTCAATCGATTCAGGCAAACAGAAGCTGGGTGGTTACGCGTCGCGATTCACTGGGTCTTCTCCAGCAGCACCTAGCCCACCCGCCCGGACCGCGTCTAATCATTCTAGTATGAACTTGGAACCGGCGGAGCCCGCGCGGGGCACATCATCCGTGCAAGATTTCCGTGAACGCCATGCCGACAAGATCGAGATGGGTAAAGAGAAGTGGGGTGGAGTCACATCGCGCTTTAACACATTTGTGGAGGAGCGCAAGTTCTCCGCCGATGCCAACAAACGAATTCCTCGCCCGCCTGCTCGTCCCATCTCCATGGCCAAGCCAAACCCTCCAGCGTCACCTACAGAGCCCGATATCCAGACTCAAGCCCAACGCAAGAAGGCCCCTCCGCCTCCACCCAAGCGGGCTGAATTTCGTGCATCTCCTGTTGACGCTTCATCCCCATCACTTCCGGGGCCCCCTCCCATTCCTCATGGTACCAAGCCCCGTTAACTGTACTTTTAATTGTGTATATGTGTATGTTGTGCATTCCTGGCGTTGATGGATGTTTTTACTTACAACATAAGGGGGATTGAATTCAAACAACTTGTCTTGGTACCAATATTCTACCCAGTACGATGTACAATAATTGTACGTCATAGTCCTCTTCTAGAACGGTCCCCTGGTGTCATTTGCAAGGTACTCAAGGTACTGAGTACAATATGACCGAGGCTGCATGTGATCCAATTAGTCGGCTGTTTTATATCTGATTGCATCTCCCACTTGTTGGGATTATAATACCTCAAATATCCCAACGGGTATCTGATCCCTGCGATTTTCTTCCAAGGCTTCAAGGTTACTTTGTCAATTTAACCTTCCATGGCCAAAACCTTGGTTTGGAATGTTCCGAGGAACTCGGAACCTTACTTTGTCCAGATGACTCAGCAGTTTTTTTTTTCCCTCAGCCCGGGCACCTTGCAGGTTTCTAGGCAGGGTTGTGCAAGGGCCTACCTACGCCCTACTTTGTAGAGATATCATACCAAGCCCAAACACGGAGTTGTCCAGAGTTTCGGTTTTTTTCGAAATAAAAAAAAACAAACTTGGAAAATTACACTAATTATTGACAGTGCTATATTCACTACAGTTCGCCAATTCTTGTCTGGAGTTAGAAAAAGAGCTAACCCTCAGATGTTCTACTATTCCAAACATATACGATATACGGAGTACCAAGTACTATATACAACATTCAAAATATGACCGTTTTAGGTAAGTGGCGATAAATATAGAACCTCGGCTCATTTGATGGCCAAGCCTTGGAATTCCCAACAAACTAAACGCGGGCGGATCGAGATCGTCCAGCCCTAGAGGGTTGTTGAGAAATTTAAGGGCAAGTTATCTAGTGGATCCACTGGACTTCAACGTCTTTTTTTTTTCTTCCTTCTTTCTTTCATTCTTCAGAAATTGCATATCATCTCTTATAGTCTTTTTTTTCTTATCACATTCCTCGTGTGACGCGTTGAATTGAACGATTCCGCGCGGCGATCATCATGCACGACTTCACCGTGCCCACCAAATTTGGCCAGGCGATTGTTCGCATTGCCTTCCCTCCCGCCTCGCTCCTCGCCTTCCCCCCTAAAGAACTTCCAGTGACCATCCCCGCGCCTCACATCGATTCGCCGACATGGAAACAGCCCTTCAACATCCCGAATGATCTATACACCAAGGTCCTGGACGTCCGACTACCAATCACAATCGCCAGTGTCTACGCGATCACTGTGATCCTGATCAATCGCATCAACAAGAGTCGCGGATATAAGCCATATGCGTTCAGCAACACCCGCTTGTTTAAGCTGTTCGTTGTTCTCCATAATGTCTTCCTAGCCGTGTACTCCGCATGGACCTTCGTGGGCATGTTCCAGGCCTTCAGCGGCTCTTTCCCGGACAGCGACGATCCCCACGGAGTGGTTGGACTTGTGGATTCCCTATGCAAGATCAACGGACCCCGCGGTTACGGCAACGCCGCGATTTACAGCCCCATCACTGACGAGTGGTCAATTCCCAACCCCGCCTTCCACCTTACCAATGGCATGCCAGACCCCACAGATGCTGGTCGTCTGTGGAACCGGGGCTTGGCTTACTTTGGCTGGTTCTTTTATCTGTCCAAGTTCTACGAGGTTGTCGACACCGCCATCATCCTTGCCAAGGGCAAGAAGAGCTCCACTCTGCAGACTTACCACCATGCGGGAGCTATGATGTGCATGTGGGCTGGTATCCGCTACATGGCAGCTCCGATCTGGATCTTCTGTCTCGTTAACTCGGCCATTCACGCTATGATGGTAAGTCGGACAATCGCATTGTTTTGGATTTGTTAAGTGAAGTCACTAATTTTTCCCCCTTCACTTTAGTACACCTACTATACCATCACTGCTCTCCGCATTCGTGTCCCTAATGCTATCAAGCGCAGCTTGACCACCATGCAAATCACCCAGTTCGTCTTCGGAACCAACATGGCCGCTGCCTATCTATTCGTCCACTACACTGTCCCCTACCCATCTGGTAGCGCCGCCCTGCAACAGCTGAACAATGCCGCTTCCGCCGCCGCCTCTGCCACCGCCGAGGTTGGTTCGATCTCTTGGTTGAAGAAGCTTGCATTCCGGGCTGCAGGCGCAGAAGGAATTGCCGAGAACGTGGGCAATACTTTCAACGCCGCCCCTGTCCAGCAGACTGGCTACACCCAGCAAATGGTGACCTGTGCGGACACCACCGGACAGGGATTCGCCATCTGGCTGAACGTCTTCTACCTCCTTCCCCTCACCTACCTCTTCGCGCGCTTCTTCGTCCGCTCCTACCTGAACCGCAAGGACTCAGGAGTGAAACAGCCCACGCACATGGAGGCCGCTGAGAAGGCCGGGATGGATGCTTTGAAGAGTCTGAGCCGTGAGATCCGCAAGGCCGCCATTGAGGGCGAGACCAGCGAGGTTACCACCGATGATGAAGTCATCAAATCTCAGGCACAGAAGATCGTTGATAAAGTCACCACTCCTGACTCGCCGATCCGTACCCGCTCGGCTGCTGCTTCCAAGGCAAAGGCTGTCTCGGCGTCGGTCAATCGGTCGGATTCGGAAGAGGGCTTTGCTAAGGTCCCCACCAAGAAGGGAGCCAAGAAGCAAAAGATCGAAAAGGATTCTCCCTCCAGTAGCCCAAACCCAAATGGTGAGAATCCATTCGGAGTATTGGATAACAATGCTTAAAATGCAACTTTGGAAATGTTGGCATATTCCTATACAGCATAAATTTTGGAGTTTTTGGGGTTTTAAGAAATGATGCTCGGCTTGTTTCGGTGTGTTTCCCGTTCGGTCCTCCTTGGAAGTGGGCCTACACTCATTTTCCGGCCCGGTGTACATAATGTACATATCGGGTGGGATATCCGGGGAATCCCCGGACTATCTTCTCCCCGCAGCCTCGGCTTTCCGAGTTGTCATAGACCAGGTGGTGACTTGATGGGTGTGGCTTTACTTTTATAGCGTCTTCGAGTGTATTATTTTTACTAGCATATATTATTTTTTGTATAATTTTTTTTTACCCCTTTGCTTGTTCAATATGACAGATCGTTGCTTATTTATAACGTCCAGATATGATGATCATCCTGCCAAGTCATCTTGCCAAGCTTGTCTACGGTGATCTATTGCCACTCTAGACTTAATTCTTATTTCTCCTCCACATCCTCCACATCCTCCACATCCGGAGTAACCTCGATCAAACCCTGCAATCTGAATGGAGGAAAAATCTATGGGTTTATTTTCTCAAAGTGGCCCCGGTAGGTAAATCCGCCTTCTCATTCATACTTGCATCTCCGTACATCCTTGTACGTGCATGCGTACAAAGTACGTACATACATACAACCCATCGCGTTGTCCAGAAATGTGGGGTTTCTCCGTCTTTACCCCCGAAAATTCCGCAAATCCAGCGGACAAATGGGGAAATGAACATCCGGTAGCTTGCTTTGGACCCCTGTCAGACGCCGCATTCACTCGAAAATTCGAGGGCCGATGGGGAAACAGCTATAAATTGATCATGGCCATCCCAGCAATGCCCCAAATCATTCGCGCAGTCAACGAGCGGTCTACGGTCAAAGATGACGCGCATCTTCAATTGCTTGCTAGTCGCCCTAGCTTGTCTAGGAGCCGCAGTCGCAGCCAAAGCAGAAGACCAAGACACCAAATCATACGATCAAGCCGTCACACAATGGCCACTGCAAGATAATGGCCTCAACACTGTCGTGCAATGGGATCACTACAGCTTCCAAGTAAACGGTCAACGTATCTTCATCTTCTCCGGTGAATTCCACTACTGGCGTCTCCCCGTCCCGGCCCTGTGGCGTGACATCCTCGAGAAGATCAAAGCAGCCGGCTTCACAGCCTTCGCTTTCTATTCCAGCTGGGCGTACCACGCACCGAACAACGGAACAGTGGACTTCTCAACTGGAGCTCGTGATATCGTCCCCATCTTCGAGCTCGCTAAGGAATTGGGCCTGTACATCATCGTCCGCCCCGGCCCGTATGTCAACGCTGAAGCCAATGCTGGTGGCTTCCCGTTGTGGCTCACCACCGGTGAGTACGGTACCCTCCGTAATAATGATACTCGCTATACGAATGCTTGGACCCCGTACTTCAGCGAAGTGACCGAGATCACTAGCAACTACCAGGTGACTGATGGCCATAACTCCATCGTTTATCAGATCGAGAATGAGTATGGAATGCAATGGCTGGGTGATCCTTCCCTGCGGGTGCCAAATGAGACCGCCATTGAATACATGGAGCTGCTCAAGGCCAATGCTCGTAAGAATGGTATTACGGTGCCGCTCACCGTGAATGATCCTAATATGAACACGCACTCGTGGGGCAAGGACTGGTCTGTTGGAACTGATGTCGGTGGCAATGTTGATGTCCCTGGTGTGGACTCTTATCCTTCGGTATGTGCTGTTATAACCACTCCGAGAAATAATATGGGGGAAAGAAGAGAATGGGCAAAGCTAATTACCTTGTGTATCAGTGTTGGACCTGTGATCTCAGCCAGTGCACATCCACCAATGGCCCATACATCCCCTTCCAGGTCCTGGAATATCACGATTACTTCCAAGAATCCCAGCCTAATATGCCCGGTTTCATGCCCGAATTCCAGGGTGGCTCGTACAACCCCTGGGGTGGACCTGAAGGCGGCTGCCCTGAGGATATCGGTGACGACTTTGCCAACCTGTTCTACCGCTGGAACATTGGCCAGCGCGTGACCGCCATGTCCTTGTACATGATGTTTGGTGGTCAGAACCCCGGTGCTATGGCTGCACCAGTGACGGCTACCAGTTACGACTACTCGGCGCCCATCTCTGAGGATCGGTCTATCTGGTCGAAATATCATGAGACTAAGTTGCTGTCATTGTTCACTCGCGCTGCGAGGGATCTGACCATGACTGAGTTGCTTGGTAATGGAACGCAGTACACTGATAACCCCGCTGTGAGGGCTTATGAGCTCCGCAATCCGGAGACGAATGCTGCGTTCTATGCTACTTTCCATTCCAACACTTCCCTCTCGACGAACGAGCCCTTCCACTTGAAGGTTAACACTTCCGCTGGTGCTCTGACTGTCCCTAAATATGCCAACACTATTCGCTTGAATGGACGTCAGTCGAAAATCCTTGTGACCGACTTCACCTTCGGCTCGAAGACGCTGCTGTACTCCACTGCCGAGGTCCTGACATATACTGTCTTCGATAAACAGCCTACACTGGTTCTCTGGGTTCCGACTGGCGAGTCTGGCGAGTTCTCTATCAAGGGAGCCAAGAAGGGTTCTATCAAGAAGTGCCAGGGATGTTCGCGCGTCAAGTTCATCAAGGAACACGGTGGTCTGACCACCTCGTTCACTCAATCCGCTGGCACAACTGTTCTGGAATACGATAACGGTGTTAGAGTTATCGTTCTTGATAGATCGGCAGCTTATGACTTCTGGGCTCCTGCACTCACAAACGATCCATTTGTGCCGGAGACAGAGAGTGGTACGTTCTCTGTATTATCCTTCTCATGCTCAAAATACTAATCATCGCTACAGTTTTCGTCCAGGGCCCGTACCTCGTCCGCGATGCTAAGCTGTCTGGCCACAAGCTCGCGATCACCGGTGACGTCGTCAACGCAACCACAATAGAAATCTTTGCACCCAAGGGTGTCAACTCTGTGACCTGGAATGGAAAGAAGGTTAACATTCGTTCAACTGAGTACGGCAGTCTCAAGGGCTCGCTCAAGGCCCCGAAATCTATCAATCTGCCAACTTTGGGTTCGTGGAAATCGAACGACAGCCTGCCAGAGCGGTTCACAGATTATGATGATTCTGGTGTAGCCTGGGTTGGTAGGTTACTCACTGTTATGGGCATCACAAGGAAGAAGAAGTAGCTAATCTTCGCAGCCGCCGACCACATGACGACGCTCAACCCGAGGACCCCGACAAGTTTGCCTGTCCTTTACGCCGATCAATACGGATTCCACAACGGCGTCCGTCTGTGGCGTGGATATTTCAACGGAACCGCGACTGGGGCCTTCATCAACGTCCAAGGAGGATATGCATTGTAGGTTTCCACCATCACCACAACGAATCAACAGAACACTAACCTATTTCTTACAGCGGCTGGTCCGCCTGGCTGAACGGCGAATTCCTCACCTCCTACCTCGGCGCTGCCACAGCAGACCAAGCAAACCTAACCCTGTCCTTCACAAACGCAACTCTACACACCAGCAAGCCAAACGTGCTCCTAATCGTCCACGATGACACAGGCCACGACGAAACAACCGGCGCTCTCAACCCACGCGGGATCATGGACGCAAACCTTCTCGGCTCGGACTCGGGCTTTACGCACTGGCGTCTAGCCGGTACTGCCGGCGGCGAGTCAGACCTGGACCCCGTGCGCGGTGTGTACAATGAGGACGGACTATTCGCCGAACGTGTTGGATGGCATCTACCCGGTTTCGATGACTCGGCCTGGGGCAAGGAGAAATCCACTACCAAGGATAAGCATTCGACGACTTCTCTCCTTAGCTTCGAGGGCGCGACGGTTCGCTTCTTCCGTACTACCATTCCCCTTTCTATCCCTGCGCACACTGATGTGTCTATTTCGTTTGTTCTTTCCACGCCAGCTGGCGTAACGACGAAGTATCGCGCTCAGTTGTTTGTCAACGGTTACCAGTATGGACGGTACAATCCCTACATTGGAAACCAGGTTGTTTATCCTGTTCCTGCCGGTATTTTGGATTATACCGGAGAGAACACCATTGGTGTGGCGGTTTGGGCGCAGAGCGAGGAGGGCGCTACTATTGGAATTGACTGGCGGATTAACTACATTGCTGACAGTTCGTTGGATGTTGCTTCGATGGATACCAAGGCTTTGCGGCCCGAGTGGACTGAGGATAGAGTGAAGTATGCTTGAGTGCATTACTTAAAAGGTGTCGGTGGTGAAAGTCTTTTAGATCTAGCATTCAGTATACTCAACGTTATCATGAATTTCTTACATGGTCATTTTACGACACGAAATCGATCTATTACAATTCCTAGCTCAAGACATATTATAGCCAGATAGGTATCGGAAACAAGAATATTATGATCATGAGCCAAAATCCCTTGATAATTCTCACTGCATAAATCCCAAATATGAACTGATATAATCTTAAACCAAGAAGCGGAAACCACGGCGGCTTCCTACACCAGGAACAGCACCCTCGACCTCCTCGCCACGATCAAGCTTCTTATTGAGACGTACGAGCATAAACCGGAGCACTGTTGCAGAGACAATGGCGATAAAAGCAGTTGCGCAGTTGACAGACATGGCAGGAACTAGATGATAATTAGTTAAGACTGCTAGAAACAGAACCAACGGTAGAGAAACACGTACTGAATCTTGGAGCGTGGGAATTGGGATACATATAGCTAGCATAGATACTGCTGGCATTGCTAACACAGTTAATAGCAGCCAGAGCAGCGGCACGCTTCGCAGCCGGACGAGGCAGGGTATTTGAGATCCAGCCGAGAGCGACAACGTATCCGGAGTAGAAAGAAGGCACCATGAGCATCATCGCCACATATCGGGGTGCGGTTGTCGTGGTAGTAGCAGCAATGATGAAAGCCGCGACAGAAATGTATAGTGGTAGTGTGACGTGAAAGTACCGCTCTCCGGTGCGGTCTGCATGCCATGCGTTGGCAAAGGCGCAGATAACAGCTAGGCAGTAGGGCGGGGCTGTCAGTAGCAAAGTCTCGATGTTGCCGAATTGGAGTGTTTTGACGACTGTCGGGAAGAAGTTGGTGACTGAGGCGGAGGAGACAATACAGAGGATCATGAGCATCAAGATCCAGGTCTTGATATCTGCGAAGGCGAGCTTGGCTCCATGCAGGAAAGTCTGGTGCTCGCTGTCAACCCAGTCGTCTTCACCGATATCTTCTTCCAGACGCCACACGGCTAGTTGTTTCTCTTCTTCTGAAAGCCAGCTGGTGGTCCTCGGGAAATCAGGGAGAACAAAAATAGCAATAAAGGCAACCGCAATAGTGACAGCGCCTTCGATGATGAATAACCATCGCCAAGCGCGCAGTCCGAGCTTGTTGTCCATGTTACCAGTAATTCCTGCTGCGATCAGACCCGAGAAAGCACCCGAGAGCAAAGATCCAGAGTACAGCGCTGCGGTGCGGAAGCCCAGCTCCTTGCGGGTATACCAAACACTCAGGAAGTACAAGCAGCCTGGGAAGTAGGCAGCCTCGATGAAACCGAGGAAGAAGCGGATGACCACGAGACCGGCGTAGCTCTGGGCAGCAGCTGTAGCGGTGGAAATGATACCCCAGAGAATCATAGCAATAGGGAGGTAGAGGGATGGTTTTCCCAACTTGTTTAACATTAGGTTGGATGGGATCTGCATCAGCAGATAACCGACGAACAATATGCTGACGCAGGTCGCGAACTGATTGCCCACAAGACCCAAGTCTTCCTCGAGACCTGCTAGGCGAGCTGAGGCGATGTTATTTCTATCGAGGTAGTTAAGAATGTACATGATGATTATCATGGGTAGTAGACGGATGTCGATTTTGCGGACGAGAGCTTTCTCGGCTCTCGCGCGTTCTTCGGGCGTCAGGTTGGCAACGTAGGCCGGGGCTTCTTTCTGAGCGTTGGGCCTGTTGGCATTGGCGACTACTTCAACATTGTCGATGTGAGACTTATCGATATCTCCTCCAACTTCGATGTCTGTGTTTCTGGGAGACATCCTGGTGTGGTGTGTGTTTGTTCTTGCTGTTCCGGTGTGGGAAAGGAGCAACTATTAGGAAGATGGGAGAAGGAATGAAATAAGTAGCAGGGCCACGCCAGCTAACTCGATATGACAGTCTTAAACCAAAGTCGATAAGAAGATACCAAAGGAAGCAAGGGATATAAGAAGGGGGAGGAAGAGAAAAAAGGCACACGTGGGAAGTAAGACTCGGCGGTAAGTCGGGGCGAATTGCGAATTGCAAGTTCTGAATATTCTGTGTTCTGCAGGGGTGAGCTATGTGGCGTTGATTTCTCGTCGAGAGTAGGAGTAGTAACCGAGAGGTATCGGGTTATAAATGCTATACTAACCAACCAAATATCTTTCCCCACAGAAAACTTGAAAAAGACTGGGGTAATGTCAGACCCCGTTCGACCGATCATACCTTCGGTCACGGGCTTTTTGCGGGGGATAGTAGAAGTGACATAGGATTGGTTGCATTGAGGAAAGATCGTCTCCCTGCGTGGGGGTTCAAAAGCCCTATTACGATGCTTCTCGTATTTAAGCCTATTTAAAGGCTAACCCAGCCTAGATAGCACTCCGCGTGGGGGTGCCAGTACAATATGCGTGTTTTCTTTTCTGGCATTTCAACGCGATGGATATGTGGTTATTATTCACATTTGTATCTTTGTCTGGTTCTAGGCAAAAGTTAGGGCTATAAGAATCAATCCTAAAAGTGGTGGTAGATAGTAACTGATAGTATTCTACATTGTAGGCAGGATTTTATTCAATCCCCTCACTCTACATATTTCAACCGAACACGCATAGAGGACTGCAGAAGTAGGCCGAGTTTATATTATATTATTTGAATAATGCACTCTTGCAATGTATCCAACTGTTAAGCTTTATTAGATCCAAAAGGCTGAAAATCCAATATCAATTAGCTTTGTACTGTATTTATACCCCCACGCATTCTTATAGAACACTGAAGTATGCTGGTCATAATATCAACGGCATGGAAGTTGCAAGATTCCTCTTATTATCCCAGGGTTTAATCCCGAGATTCTCGGTCTCCCGATCCTTTTATTCCTTTCGGCTCTTTTGTTTTCGGAATTTCGGACCGACAAGACATTCCGGCTTAGGAAGAGAATATAGAAATATGGATGCAACAGTACTGTTGTGGCGAATGCAAAAGTTATTGTTGAGACAGAGCCGTGATACCTTGTTTGTCATGCTTCCACGGACTCTTTACCTAGCATCAATTTGTTTGTAGAAAATACTAACTCTTCTTCTTCTCTTCTCTCTCTTCTCTCTTCTCTCTTGTCACGTATCTAAAGCCATAGATCGACGGATGATAGCTCAACCTCAACTCATTCCCACTCACCAACCATTTGGAATAAAGTATTCCTTCATTAGGAGGGTTAAGACTAAGAATAACTCGGTCCTGAAGTTATATTCGCCTTCAGCAATCCGGTCCCATCAGGTAGTGTACCGAGCTGTCAGTTGTGAGGTCAAATGAAAGGGAATTTCAGAATACAATATCTAGGTTTTGGTCAGCCCCCCTCCCCCCTCAAGGAGCCCTGGAGAGAACATTGGGTGAGATAATGTAAACAGAAGTGGCTTCCTTTTTATGAAGAATTTGTGACTGACGTAGCCTAGGAATAGGCTAGCTTCTAAGAGCAATATCTCATTTCTAAATAAGTATTCTTACACAGTTGACTATCTCTTATTTTTCAACTCAAATCAGTCGAATTGCTAATCGCAATCATCCTTTTTCCTTTCAGTCTGGAAACCCCCTAACTTACATACGTCCACCAAGTGATTATTTGTTTCTTCCTCGACCTCGGGGGGCTCACTACTTACTTGCTATGGATAATGGATAGTTAACTAAGTTTTAGCTTATGAGTAATCCAAAACTCACCTGACAACCTGATGACCTGGAAAAATTCGAGAGTTTTGAGATTTTGATAGTGAAGGGTTGAATCAATCATCTGGTTACTACTAGTAAAGACTAATACGAGATGTGACACTTGTCCATGTGGCGAGCTGAGAATGCTCAGATATATTCTTGATAGACTCGTATATATTGTGATCATATTTTGATGTTATTATGGTCATTACATTGCCTAGGCCACCTAACAGCCTGGTGAGGTGCAAAACCTCGAGAGATTTGGGAAAGAAAATATATATTTCTAAAATAATTATGGCCTGCAAGCCTCCCAATTGCCTTGAATCAACACGAAGCTCATGTGTCTACTCCTATTTCCCAAATAACCACAAAAAACAACCCTACGAACTACAATAACAGCAATATAACCACGAGCGACATTAATTGAATCTGTGCAGACAACGAGAACCGCCCATTAAACACAGCTATGCACGATAGCTGAGGAGATACAAAAGTTGAGATGCCAAGATAGAAGGCACAGGGCTTAGACATTGGATTCAGAGCTTAGTGAGGGATAGATATGAAATGGGCCTAGAGATGACCATGAGAAACGATGTGCTAGAAGGACAGGAGAACAAAGAGAGAAAACTGAAATAAAATGAAAGAAAACAGTCCAGTAACCCACGCTCCCAATACTCAATGACAATGACTCACACACGATGCAGAAAAGAGAGAAATAAAATTGAAAAAGAAATGACGGCAGAGAACGAGTCAGTGAGGAATATGCACCGCCACACCGAGTAGATGGTAGGAGGAACATTCATTAGATCAGCACCTAAGACAAGATCCTCGAGGTGGGAAGAGGAATATCTTAGGTTTTGGAGGTACGGCCGCTTTGCTAAAGACCACCGATATTTTTTTCGAGAAAAACCGCACCGTTTTTTGGTTAGCGGAATATCCACCAGAAGCACGATTGTATTGGTCAAATCGCTCTGAAGAAGGTATACCAATCCGTAGAATCAACTAAGATCCGCCCGGGCAGCATACATTCTGTTCACGCGATGGAAGAAATCATCAAACACCTTATTTCGCCGGAATTGATGCATGTCTAGACAAGAATGCAGGCTCAGTGAATAGAGCCCTGGCCAAAGATGGCCAGGTTCAGGCCACGAAGCGATACAAGAAACTCCCGCCCAAAACTTAAATGAAGTGAGTGTAGATCTTGGAATTCTCATGAACTTCCATCTCCTGTATTGTTATTAGTAATGGCACAAACAAACCATAGAACAATGCAAACAAACTCACCATCTTGAAGTT